AAGTAGTTGTAACCGATGATGGCTTGATTGTGACTGTGTCAAAAAACACTGCTGACAACACATTTCTTTGCATATTACGTAATACTGAACGCATTCCAATCAAAGCGAAGGAGGACTGTATTTATTATTATTATTATTATTATTATTATTATATTCGAATTCGAACGATTTTTCCTTTTTTGAATTTTAATAAACTATTCGAATGATTTCTTTTTCCTTTGCTTTTATTTAAAATACGAAGTTGATTTGTCGGATAATTAATAATTTGATCATTTTAGGCTATGAATTTTCATTGTATCTATCACATTCATACATTTCTTAGTGACAGCCTATCTTACATCTTTATGATTTTGACAAATTTTTGTTATGAAAAATATTTCCAAAGAATGTAATCTAATCAATAGAAATTGGGAAATTATCATTCAAACAGTTTGCTAAAATTCAGAAAAAGATTTCTACGGAATAAACAAACTGTTTAATACAAATGTATTTGTTACCAGTCGTAGTGAAATTAAATTGATAATTTAAAAAGAAAAAAAATAAGCATTTTTTTTGACTAAGCTAATATGAATTTGGAAATTTTCAAAATTCACAGGTAAAAAAACTTCAAAAACTGACTTTCATCATAATCATTGATTCCTCTTGCAAAATTAACATCTTTAAAAGTCTTTTAAAATCTTATATAATCTTAAATCTTGGATATTTGATTTGATCGCTTGATAAAGATAATTGAAGTATTAAAGAAGAAAGAAGTAAGAAAGAAATAGGTGTCGTAATCTTTGAAGTAATGTTGAAAATATATTCAACGAATAATATAGTTTTAATAAATCAATTAATGAGACAATTTTAATAATCATAATTTTTGATTACAAAAAAGAAGTTGTATTAACCTTCAACAGCATCAGCAATAGATAAGGCGCAAATGATTTGCATTTCACGACGATAGCGCAATTGGGTACTTCGAAATATGCCAATTATCAAAATAGAATTACATATAATGGAGCAAAAAGCAAATGGAATAAATGAAATTGCCTGTAATATGTAAAACTATTTGTTTTTATTTATCGATGCTTAATTATTATTTTTAAATTATTAATTTGCATTTTTGTAATACAACAAAAATTTTCAAAATTTCTTGAAATGAAAATTAAAACTTTTAAAAATAGATTGGCAACACACTTCTCAACAAATTATCGCAATGATGCATTGCTATTTTCTTCCTAATTTCTCGTTATTTCATTCAGAATTTCAGCGTACGCACAAAATGCGATGTCTTTATAAAGATTCGATGAAAAATTACTAATTAATTAATTATAATTAATTATATTTCCAAAAATATACGATTATTGTATTTCAATGAAATTTGAATTTTTCTTTTTGTTTTACAACTTGCAAAATACTTTGGAAATTATTATCTGCGATAACTGTAATATGCTTATTATTACCTATGATAACTGTAATATGTTTTACCTGTAATAACTGTAATATGTTTATTGTTTTAAAAAAAAAAAACTTGCCTTAAGTAATTCCTCTCGAAAATCAAAACATTCACTAATATCTTCTATTATAAGTGATGAATTTGACATCTATAATTCAAATCAATTCTTTATGAAATAATAATAATAATAATAATAATAATAAATGCAATTTCAAGCAAAAATTTTGCAATGACGTAAAGCATACTTTCTTTTTTGATAGCAATGAAATTTTGAAAGATAGCAAAATTTTCTCATTCGAAAAAGCTTCTACACGACACCCCCCCCCCTTCTGATATCAATATTTTTATCAGTTCCATAAAAATCCAACCTTCAGTTAACTCAAAATTATAGACTATTAAATCTAAGCGATTAAGTTCCCAAATTGCACTTAGAAAATTGGAATCTATTAGGTGTGCTAAAAAATTACTTGTAAATGAAATAGAAAATGATGTCAATGAAGTTTCTCTTTTTTTCTTTGTTCATTTTGTAAGAGAGAGAGAGAGAGAGAGAGAGAGAGAGAGAGAAAATATGCTAACTTTTTTGGCTGGTATTACTTTTAATCGCTAATTTATCATTTTTTTTTTCAAAACAAAACAGCAGTAAAAACAGAGAGAATTATAATTAGGTATAAGATGCCCGCATGAAATTTAAGCTCTTATTGGCGGAATATCATTTATGCCCAAGTAAAAATTATACAAAATCCTCTGTATGAAACTAATGCCGATAAAAGACTTTCCAAATATGGTACTTTATGTTTCTTAAAGCTTTCATAAGATATAGAATTATCAATATTTCAAGTAGTGGCTTTTTAAGTCTTGTGAGAGTTTCTTAAAGCTCTCACAAGACTTAAAAGCCACTATTTGAAGTATTGATAACTCTATATCAGCAATATACAATATATCATGTGTTTTCGCATTGATTTAAAGATGTGTTGTTTTTCATTTTGGAAAATCATATATCACTTAAAAGGTAACCTCGGAATTATCACTAAAATAAACAAATTCATTATTCACCATTTTTTTTTCAGCAATAAATTTGCATCCCTTTCTGAAGTGTGCATCTTTCCTCATATGTTGCTCGAACTCGTAGAAACATAAGCATTGCAATACTTATTGTTGGAAAACTTTTAATAAACAAATAAAGGCAATAAGTGAATAAATTTGCAATAACAAATAAGCTGTAATAAGTGTCGTACAAAATTATAGCTTTCAGTGGAAAATAAAACAATCGAATAACATAATTGAGTCAAATTTCTTATAGATATTAATTGTTGAAAGAAAGAAATAAAAGTATAATAAGAAAACAGAAAATGAAGCCGAATACAATAAGAGATGTAAAAAGTGAATTTCTTCATTGGAAAGAAGTGAAATACCAGCTAATATGTAAATATTTAAAGATGCATAATCAGCTTAATAATTGGCTGTTGGTAATTTTTTTCGAACAAGAGAGGAAGAAGAAGTGAAATATCTTTGTGCAAATACTCAAAGGTACTACTAAGTCAAGCAAATTAACCAATTACCGATAAGTAACTAAAAAGTTGAAAGAATTCCAAGTTTTTTTTGGGTTCGAAAAAGGGGAGGTAATTGAAAATACATTCTCCGAATAGAAGATGTGAGGATATATTTTTTGAATTTTTGCTCAAAAAACATCTTTTCTTCTCATTCAGCAAATTTCGTCTTCATCACTGTTTGCAACAATCCCGCTCGACTATCACGAACAACTAAATATGTGTAGAGCTTTCAACAAATTTCTATTTAGCGCTATTTTATAGTTACCAAGGCTACACAATGATGCTAATTATAGAAGGATAAAATTCTACTTATCAATTCACATTAAATATACTTTGATGATTACTGTAAAGTAGTGCTCATTAGAGATCCAACTCTTTTCAAAATCAGCGGACAGAATAATTGATTTCGGGAATGAAATTTAAAATATCGATCGAATACATTTTGAAAAACTTTCGGTATAATAACAAATAGGAACTAGAAGGTTTTCTTGATACATATTTAAAATTTAAAGTGAAACAAATACCAAACAATTTCGTATATCTTATAATTTATTTGATTTTGAAGCAGTGTTAAAGAATTGTTTTAACTTTAAAAATTGTTGAAACAATTTTTTAACACTGCTCTAAAATGAANTATTTAAAATTTAAAGTGAAACAAATACCAAACAATTTCGTATATCTTATAATTTATTTGATTTTGAAGCAGTGTTAAAGAATTGTTTTAACTTTAAAAATTGTTGAAACAATTTTTTAACACTGCTCTAAAATGAAGTAAATTATAGGGATATACGAACTTTATCGAAAACAATGTTAAAACAACTAGGGAAAATAAATGAAGTATAAATGACTATCTTCACTCCTCACCATCTGAAAAAATTATTCAAAATGAAAGGGAGGGGTTTTCGCAAATGAGTGATAAGCTCCCAAATAAAGTTAGAAAAAACTGCTGAAAAAAGTAGGAACGAGGAAAAAATACTAAAAAAGATAACGTTTATAGCAGCAGAAATTTAAAGGAAGGAAATTAATTTGATATTAAAATTAAGAAAATATCCTTAAACAAATTCTGCAAAAAAAGGTTCAGCGATTTTTTAGTTTATTATTTTAAAATAATAAACTATGAAGGCAGAGTCGAAGTGATAAAAGCCCTATAAGCAGATTTTCTAGGCAGCTTGTCTAGAAAATTGCTGCTAATGAATATCTGTGGTATTAATAATGAATAGAAATACAGTTCATGCAAAGAAAATTTTAGGCCTTGTTGAAAAATTCACTAAGTAAATTATTTCAGTATATTTAAACCGGATAATGAATGCTCAGCTCATAAAAAATACTCAGAATATGGAGACTTCCTGTTAATTTCAAAAGCAATATATCTTGAAATTTCGAAAGCATTGAAAATCCTTATAACCTCATTCTGTGTATACTAAGCTAAAAAAACATTTTCCACGGAAAAACAAATATATCTTACAACATTCAGTGAGTTGAAAAGTTTGCCTTCCTGAAGATAAGTAACTTTATTCTGCTTTCATGAGAAATTTCTTGAGGTTTTAAATTATTTGCGCTGCGAAGGCAGGTTATATTAGGGTCATATCCTCCCTTGCGTTCGTTTAACAGTAACAATGTCATCAACCAGTGAATTCAAAAAGCGTCATTGCTATAAAACTGTTTGCCTCACAGCAATCAGGTGAAGTGATAAACGATTCTCGATGACTTCAACAATCCATTTTTTTAATTCTTTCCAAACCGGAAAATTTTCCTTAAACCGCTTTCTTTTCTTGAAGTAGAGGTTGCAGAACTGCTAAAACAAAACGAGTGATGAGTGAATGAAATTCAATAAAATGAAATCGATTGAATAAATTAGTCTCGTAAAGTATTTTAAATCTTTTTCAACTATACTTCAAAAAGTAGAGAAGACCTGAAGTTCGACAGAGCAGCCAAATTCATATGCTGCACAGTAATTAATTACAAGAGCTTTTTAGAAAATTATTGAAAGAAACTTACTCCAAGGGCGTTAAATCCATCGCGACTGGTATATGTCTTGCAGCTGATAAACTGGGTGAAGGTGGTGGTGCAAAATTACCCTGACCAGTTGAATTCAACCGTGCCGAAAATATACCAGATGATGTTAATGTTTTATGCAATCCACCTGCAATATTAAACTAAATTCTTAAGGAAATTTTCAATTGAAACCCATTCCTGTGAAAATAGGAGAAATGCAACTTAATGTTTTCAAATTTAGAAAAATGAACTCATACCGGCAACACATCGGCCAGCTTGCAAAGCAATATGTGGATTTAGAACTTCGTCTTCATTACCTTGACGGCGCATGTTGAGATAAACAAGTAACGATGACAATTCCAACTCCTCGCCGTACTGATTGCGAAGTGTCACAGATCGAAAACCTAAGAATAAAAGCATGAATCATGATACAAATGGGACTGTAACCGGACTGTACACCTTTAACTGCATTTCTTACAGCGAAAAATACTGGTATCTTATTATAAAAGAACTTTCATTGAGCATAAAGAATAGTAAAATGTATTATAAATTCTCAAAGAATGCAAACAGTGATAGGGAAAAAAAAGGCATACCGGTGCGAACGCAATCAAGTGGATACACGGCTTGTCCAATAAATGGATCCATTTTAGGTCCCATAAAATCGCCATCTTCAACATAAAAGCGAAGTAAAGCTATTTCTGGACAGTGCACTTTGAAGCTGAATTTTTCATTCCAAATCGGATTCAAGCCATTGGAAGCTGAACTTAAATACCATATTGAATTTGAAATATGGATTTATACTTGATTAAATAACACAAAACCATAGTTTAAGTTCTTCAAGTTTTGCTCACATTTCGACAAAAAAAACTAGCCAATAGGTCGTGTTCGAGTAGTGGTGGAATCAGCCGTCAAACCGACAACTTCTATCGTAACAACTGGAGAACAGATACCTCGATTTCTATCTTTTCTTGACAAATGCTGTGCTGCTATCACCTGAAGAACTTTTAAAAATCCTGATTTTAAAGAAATATCAAACTTTTTTAGCAGCATCAAGGATGTAGTTTCGATGTTGAAAATTTGGCTAATTATAACATTAAATTAACATCCAAAATGTTGAAGTTAAGAAAAAATGCGTTCAAATAATCAGCAACTACAGAAAACTGGCCTCGACACAGATTTCAATATTCAAAAAAACCTCTTTTTTATGTACGGAATGATGTTTTTTTCTGGCTTTAGAGGTCAGTGAACGAATGCTTACATGAACAGTAAGAATGACTGGACAGGAGGTAGACGCTATTTCGGCAGCATCTGGAGAAAACATTTCATCGATCATATAAGACGGTTTCAACACATATCCACACTGACCATTAGCCATAAATTTACCTTGATTCAGTTGCATTGACTGCAAAAAACATCTTATAGACTCTTTTATATATTTTCATTAAGGTCGATGCATCAAAAAAGCAGTAATAAAACAAATTAAATTAACAAAATATTCACAGATTCATGAATAAAATAAAAAGTTTTCAGAAGAATTGGAACATATATTCAAAGTTCTTATTCAGAAATTTACAAAATTTCACCATTCTACATTACATATTTTTCGAAACAGTGAATCAACTTTTCAAAGAATCAAAAATGTCATCTACAACAAATTCATGGAGCGATAAAAATGCGCCACAAATTACATAAAGGAAAACCATAATACACAAAAGGAAAAATTAGTTTCGCCAAAAAAATTTTTCTTAAGCGAAATATATTATAATTTACTGCCTACAAGGAAAATTTAAGAACATTATATTCCAAATAATAAGACATGAAAAGAATATAGAAAAAGTCGACCTCTTTATCATTTAATTATGTTAAATACCAACCCTGTCACCAGTTTGGTAATTTAGCGCAACCATATGGCATGCAGCATTCCACATCGGTACCGGATCATAATTTGTTGAAGTGACACGTGAACCCTGCGGGTAAACGCGCGACAATTGACGAGAATTAAACTGAACTAAACCTCGTTCCATCAGTTTTTCAAATTTTGTTTCACTGAACGAGCACATCTCATAAAAATTGCCTTGAGCTGCAAACATTTCAGCAATCTCTTTTTTTAATTTTTCTCAAGATCGATATACAAATTTACAATTTGTTCTTGCACGTAAACTATACGTTGTTGAAGCGTTTTAGGAATTAAATATAAAGTTAAAGTCACATCTGTTGAAGTTTACTTTTCAAACCGCTACTTTTTCCTAAAGTACAAATAAAGGACTAAAAGCAATCAAGTCTAAAGAATCAGAATAACAGGATGCCTCAAAGCTATAGATTCTATATACTGAATTTTTACCGTAATATCCCTTTTTCACTTTAATCACTGCTCAAAGTCATAATTACATTAAATAAGATTTATATTTATATAAATCTATATTCAATATTTTATTTTCAATATTTTAATCCGATGTTCAATATTTTTATAATTTTTGACATTCCTTCTTTAAATGTTTCTTCTTATCAGTTCATTCCTGTTTTAGACTTCGGGACAATTGATATTTTTATGATGAGGTTATTTAAGTTACATAAAAAACATAAAACACTCAGTCTTTCTCTAGCATTAGATTCTGAAAGACCAATAAAGATAACGATAATATACTTGCGAATTGTGAATTGAAAGGGACTGCTTGACAGTAAACTACCAAATCAGATAATTCAGAAGCTATTCGCAAATTTTTTTCCCGTGTACGTATTAAGGTGTTACGATCCGTAGCTGTTCTCGTCAGCTCATGCAGAATATTTAACCAGTCCTCACGATCTTCATTTGAATTGGCTGCCAACATGTATTCCTGGAAATAACTTTTAGATAAATCGAGTTTCATATTAAAAAAATCAATTCATCTTTATTAAAATTAAGACTTAATTTCTAATTGCAAGCGGATATCTAATTGTGAATAACAAAATTAATATACGCTTGGATTCCAATGTGCTGAAACACGTCTGATTCTAAATGCAAATGGTCGACCAGCAACTTCAAATGGTACTTCTTCAATTAAAGAATCAGCCAAATCGATAGCTGCGTAAAGGCCCAATTCATTCTAAAAAATTCTAAGTAAATATTGAAATCATCAAATTAATGAATAAACAAAGTTTGGAAAAATACTTTAAACTTCATTTATAAAAAACTCCAATAATATAATTTAATAATAAAATTTTTCAAAACTTTAATAATATTTTCAAAATTTTAATAACTCACAGGTTGATTATCAGAAGTTTCCAGTTCAACAACACATCGAGAAGGAAAGAAACCTGAATGATTGCCATATTTTCCACGCCAGCTATAAGACGAAGTATAGAATAATTTCAACTTCAAATTCATCAATCTCAGAATTTTTAGAACAAAAGCTTCAAATCAAAATTTCCAAAATTATAAAGTTACAGTTTCTATCTTAAAACCAATTCTTACCGATTGCCTTCCTTCCTCAACACATTTATCACTGCATTTACAGGGAATGAAAGCTCGTTGGGAAGAGATCCAGTATATGGTTTTATAGCTCGTACTAATATCTGAATTTAATAATGAATTATGCTTGCTGCACTGCAGTAAGAATATCTTAATATAAAGCAAAAATATCTTGATAAAAATTGATTGAAAAAGTTAAACAAAATGAAGATTTAAATAAGAATCAGAGACAACTTACTCTCCATTTGTTCAACATTACTTTCCAAAAATGAGATTTCAAGGGAAAAATATGTAAGGAAGCCTAAATACTACTAGAATTTATTTTCATTAGTTGCTTCAAATACATGAATTTTTATATCGTCTCGCCCAGTGGCTCTCTTTACTAATCATTTTTATTACAGTGGTGATACACACGATTTCATTTAGATTGCTGACCTGAACATTCCTAATTAAAAGAACGGCTGAATCGAGTAGCCTGCCTAATTTAAAATGCAAATTTTCCTAGACAGTTGTTCATTTCATGAACTAAACTTCCTCAAGACACGAACTGAGGATGTCAAAAATCAACTAAAGGAACCCAACAAAAATAATAACTTCGCAAAAAGCTTTGAAAATTTTGTGCATTATTAAATAAAATTAATCCCATCACTTCTTTATCAATGTCCTTGAGTTCCATGTAACAACCAGGTGCCCGATCGTTACCAAACCATGAACCAGTAGAATCAGCAACAGTATTTTCGTCTATGGGATATTTCAGACAAATTCCACGAACAAATTCTCTTGTAGAATAATATTCAACTATTTGATTCAAATTCTCGAAAACTGTTTGGTTGACAACAAAAATTCGACCATCTCGTTTCAAATGGTAATGCCATATTTCGCCGTTTACCCTATAAATGCGATACTACTTTCCATCAAATAGCAGCAATAATCTTTTCTAGTCAATATGAAAAGGTAAAAATATTTCAGTAAAATGAATAAATTAAAGACTAAAATAATACATACCTTAGAGAAAGCACAAAAACGTTTTTATCAGTAGAACTATAACGTAGCAAGAAAGCCCCGTCTTGTTGAACTGTATTCAACAGTTCTTCGGCACGATTTCTATCTGCTTTCTCACAGAACCATCTAAAAACAACAAACGCAACATTTCAGCATATGTCTACGTGATAACATTGATTTTGAGAGCTTATCTTTTTACAATTGATTTCAGTACTGGCCATCCTTTTTTTCTCTAAGCATAAAAAAGAAACTTCAAGCAATTAATATCGAAATGTGATTTACATTGCAACTAATGTTGTTCTTCAATGATTGATATAATATATGATATGAGAATATCGATGTAATATTTAAACAATAAAAACGAAAAATCCGGAAAGGCTAAAAATGCTTCCACACATTAAATTCAAAACTTGCATCATTCCCAGATGGGGACAAGGCTGCGGACACGGAGTAGACAATGTCGTGCTAAAATTCGGAGTCTTTAATCTTTCCTTCGTATAGTACGATATAAGCTCATAAAGTGTATCCATTTGTTTATTTTCCAAAAAATAATACTTTTTTTCACCATTCACCATCCTGGTGCGTATTCGACAGTGATGTACTTTTTCATTATGTCTAAAATTAACACGATCTATATTTCATTCGATTCAAGTCTATGAAAAACGTCCGAAATTAACATCATCAGCTTTATCTCACTATCCGGAAACAAATCTAACAAAGGCTTCCGCAATAATTAGAGAAAAATAATTTTCATCTAATTTTAAAAGATGCTTACAAAAATGATAAGGAGTAGTCGCCAATGAAAATAGTCGAATCACGAACCAAAAAAAGACCATTGCCTTTATCTTTATGCTCCAGAAGACGGATTCGTGCTGTATCCCGATCTGTTTTACCATGAAACCACTCTTCCGTAATGTGTATTTCTTCTGGAGAAACACCAAAACCTGTCAAGTTTGTCAAACCATCCTATAAAAACCTAAATATACACAGTGCATAGAATAGAACTGTTAAATTATTTTCCAGACCGAATAAGCCTTCCATGAAAAATGAATTATAAGTGCTTACTAAACATATCACCTGATTTTCATCATCTTGTGTATTTCCGAGCGAATCTTGACGTCTCAAAATCCCCTGATTATTGATATTATTTTCGCACTGTTCTAGCATATAGCATAAACGATCCGGAAACAGTACAAATAAGTGAGTTGTCCAGTCCTAAATTATATTAACTGCTCAAACTTGTGACTTCGAAAAATCCCAAACCTATGCTTCCAAAAAACATAGAATGAAAACAGAAAATTCTCTAAATGTTGGACTTCAATATTCAATCAATTTTATCAATTAAAAAAAACAACCGGCTTAGTGTTATAGTGCTTTTACATATGAAAACTGAGACAACTCACATCGTTTATTCCGCTTTTCAAAGACAGAATTCCTCGCCGAGTGAAATTCAGCGAAAGCAAATCTTGCTCCTGGTCTAAAATGAACTTTGAAAATTTTCAAACAAACTTTGATGTCTTCTAAATATTCTAATCTAGAACTTCTACATTTACTCCAATTAGAGAATAGAACATAAACCAGAGTATTTACAGCAACAAATGTAGGACCGTCTGTTATATATATATATTCTCAATTTTCATTAAAACGTACTTGCAAATATGCAGAACTGAACTGTAAGAACATTAAGACACGCTATTCAAAAGCAAAGTTAGAAAAATTTACCTTCATCAATTTGGTGTAAAGCAATATCTTCACTTTCTGTAGGCAATTTCTTATGTTTTAAGATAATTTTTCGCTTCAGAGCTGCTGGAGATGGTAAACAAGTTTCTTCACGACTAACTGGAGCTGTGAGTAAATAATCACCAAGAATTTCTCTAATTTCACGAGCAAGCAAACGTTGTACCGGTACCGAACAATTGTTTTCAATCGAAAGAATCACTGGAAACCTGAATTCATTTACCAATAATTCTTTTATCAACAGCGAATAAGTTTAGATGAAGTAGTTCTTAAGCATTATTTTCAAATAGCATTGCCAAATCCATCTTATCATTCTTTTGAAGCAGACAATTGTAAATATTTGAAATAGTTATGTAATAGAGAGAAAGATATCAGAAGTATTTTCAATGTTTGCTTTACATGATTTAACGCCATTTGTCTAAACTTACTCGCTGTTGATAAAAGCATAATGACGAATAGTGTAAAGCACATCGCGCAAATTGATTTTACTAGTCATTGTGTAACCGTGGTAGATAACAATATCTTGTATTTCGCCTGAACTTTTTTTTTGTCCATCCCAACAGTCAACTAAAAACATGATGTCATAAATATTTAAATGTTATGTCATTAATTACATTTGATTTATTAATTTTTAGTCAATCACATTCAAGTTTTTTTTGTCCACTGCTTCTAAATATTTCTCATTAAGGGAGTCCATTAGAGATATTTCCTTCCATCTAATTAAACAAATAGTCATCAATATCAATTAAGCAGGACAAAAGCATACGTTCAACACATCTACAACCCATAAGCAAAGCTCGAGCATATGTATCCAAAGAGGATTCACTCTTGAACTGATCACCAGTAAGATATCTAAATTTATTTCAGTTACATAAAACTCTTATACCAATACTAATTTATGATGAAATTAAATTCAATTCTCCGATCCTTAGAAACAAGATAAAAAAGTGTTTCAGATTAGCATAAATATAAAACTAACGTGTTGTGTGATGAAGCAATCCAATAATGACTTAGTGGTCGATTCATATCATGTATAACATTTTCATTAATAGAATCCCATAATGAATTTTCTCGAGAAAAGAGGAAATCGCAAAACTGAAAACAATATTCCTCTTTTAAGAAAAAATTCAGTACAACATCTCATAAAATTGATCCTGTGTATGAAAAAAGAAACTAAAACAATAAAATTACTTATTAAAGTAATTCCGAATAATACAGAGTATATCGTTTGAGCAGAATTGCAAAAATTTGGATGAAAAAAACCGTACTTCAGTAACGCTAAGGGCCGGTTCAGGAATATCTCTATAAGGATCCCATTCTTTTAAGAAACGTCTGAGAAAATCACTGGCTTTTTCGCGCATCATCCCTATTTCATCCTGAAAATTTAATTTCGACAAAATGTGCTAACTACGATGAAATATGCATTGGTCGCAGTGTAAAAATGTACTGAATAACACTGAAGATTCAAAAATATACTTCAATAAGATAAGAAGCAAGATATGTGAATCCCGCTGTAATGGTAAAAATGTTTATTTGTTACTCACGTTTTGTTTATCCTTGTGAAACCGTAAGAAATTGTTGAAGCTAACAACAGCCGCATCATCAGAATAAGCTGCAAAATGTTCTGAGAAGAGCTGCAAAAAGCGTTGTCAAAAATCACAATTAATCAATAAGCAATAGAAGGATTTGATTGGCATTTAACAATGCGGAATTGAATTAACATTAACTGGCTCAGGATTAGCTAAGGAAATGTGTATGATTGTAACGACAGTGAGACGAAACAGGCGCTTCGGCAAGCTATCTGCGAGAGATAAGCAAGTGATGTAATTACTTGAGAAGTAAAAAAGACGAAGTTTCCAACTTACAGGACTAGCGTGCAAAAGTTTGCGATAAGCATTTGCGAAAGTATCATAATACATCGTCTCCTGAAGCAAACCAAAAACGCTTAGTTATGGTAGTCGATAAAAATCTTTGCAGTTCAATTTTCTGTGATTAAATCAATAAAAAATATACCCCAATTTAAACGTAACAGATTTATTTTCAAGCCAATCATTTAAAATAGTTGTAAGCACAATTTGTCTGTAGTAAAATAACTTGCCTCGCAAACTTCTTGTAGTTGTTTTGATTGTACCTTATACTGCAAACTTGTTTGTACGAACGGTTTCATATGTTTTATTGCTACGCTGCAAAACTGAACAAACATGAAGACAACAGTAACATACAATAAATCTTAGCGTATTAGACAATAAATCCCATTTTAGGTTTCAATAAGTAATCCTATCATCCCCTTAATCTAATATAGCCACGGATAATATAATAAGACGAACTTGTCTCCATGCTTCGAATATTGCAACATACGACTGTTGATTTTTCGGTGACGAAATGAAAAGAATTATATTATCCTTACATTTAAGCATATGAAATTCGATCTTACCAAGAGTTTTCAAGACCATATCCGGCTATACTATAATACTGTTTTCTAAGCCATCGTTCCACAATGAGTGCATGACAAGCAGAAATTGTATCGAGCATCAAGTACTGAACACCTTGACACCACATTCGACATAAATCTTCTGTATCAACTAAAAAAATTTACATTTTTAGTAAACAGCTGTTAATCAAAAAAGAATTTGATATCACAGTAATCTGATGCCGTTACAGTAGTCGTTATAAGTGAAAAATTTCACGCTTGATTGACCTAAACTGTCAAAGCTTTATGAAATTACCATAGCATATTATAATGAACATTTAAAATGCTGCTACATTTTTGTGTACCACAAAGTGCAGATACTTACACAACAAAATCCAATATCGCAAATTGAAACTGGTTGTATAACTTAAAACTAATATTCTGGCCGCATCAAACTGTTTGATTTCTTTGTCCTTTTCCCACTTGTCGCCGATTTTGATCGTTCTCAATTTAAAATCAAGCGTATGTACTTCCTTCACTACTCGCAAATCTAACCGTAGCATTTTACCACTACCCTGAAACGCAAATAATTTGAATTCACAGTAAAGTCAATACTATACCAATATAAGTCATTCATTCACTTCGTATAGTTGTACATTTGTTTCACTAAGTCTATTGAAAATATTAGAATGCAATATTTCTGCTACTACTAAAATAACACTTTACCAAAAAGTTTATTTGGGTTTATCTCTTGGATCATATCCATTTTCGAAGTTATCACCACATTTTTATCTAATTTTATTTAATTTTCAACCGTGGCACAAACTATGTCAAGATTCTGTGCAAAAAATTTTCAGACTGCTGAAGAACAAAATATGACGAATATAAAATCAGACGTAGCCGAAAAATACAGAATCATAAAGCACATAAAAAATTTTTAGCTTATTTTTAACCTTGCCGGAATTACCCAGTTTTGACAAAAACAGCTGCCTTGTCTCACGGTTATATGCAAGCTTTTTATGCGCTGGATCCCGTCGCTTCAGCAGTAGAAGTTTGTAAACATTATGACCTGAAAGATTAACGACTCATTTGTCAATTGTTAAATGAAATGTTATCGAATGCTTAGAAAAATGCAAATATTATTGCCCTATAAACTTTCTTATATCTTTCCAAATAAAAAAGACTAATAATAAAGCAAATATAAGAGATTCTTTCTTCAGAGAATTCTTCAAAAACCATAATACTGGTATTCCCATTATCATCAAAGAAGTGTATTATCGCTTCGTTATAAGCTACTTTATATGGCTACATATATTTGACTTTGTCTGTTGCTAAATTTTTGAATTTATCACTTGATGTTTTATACAATAAGAAAAATCACCCATTTCCATTGCATGAAATACTTTTTCCATTTCGAATTCCATTGAGCGTGATGCTATAAGCGAATTGGTCGTAAACAGGGAAGAGGATACGACTGAACGTTGAGGTAATAATACTAAATCTGCTGAGTTTTGAGGATACATTTTTACCTCTTCCCAGAAATATGTCTCCACGATACTATAAGTGAATATTCATTCCACATTTCAGTCTGAAACGAAAATCAAGTTAAAAATGTTTTAAAAATGCGAAAAGATATACTACGAATATATACTGTTTCTGAATGTTACACTCATAATTCTCATTAAATTATGATATCACAGTTATTCATTATTTTAAGCCAAGAAAATACAAGTGTAACTAAAAATGATCCGACGTTCATAACGATTTGATCAGATTTTATCAACTATTGAATCTAATAAGTATTTCATCAATACTGATTAAAATTTTTTGGTACTGGCTAGCAGTAAACTGAAATTTAATTAACAGAAGTCCTTTAGTAATTTAATTAACTCATAAAATTTTCGTAGTGACTTCCTCATACAGTGATCTATTGGATTATCCTCCGACCATGACAAATTTATATATGAATCTTTTAAACCAAAATAATATAAAATTCATTATTTATAGATTTCATTTCAACTTTAGTAACTCATTCTCGCAAATTTTTTATCAAAATGTTTGCCAATTTGCAACAGGAATATAGTTCAAAATTAAATAACGAAATGAACCGAGGTAATACTTCCAAGGACGCATAAATTATAAATAACGAGGTAATACTTCGAAGCTAAAAACTTTTCCCAATACTACATCAAAGAAACAATGATATAAGAGATCATATACGTATAAATCATTATTCCTTTCTTCTATGGTTATGAAATAATAACATGATAATAATTATGAAATCTATCCAAAGTTCACCTGGCGTAGACAAATCTGAATTATTCTAATGATCCCGTCTGTTATGATGATAAATTCTTTCGTAAATAGCAATAGCTTAGAATGTAACTAATATAGATGGTAAAGATATTAATCAAATTACAACCACAAAATCATCGTCTCATAACATAGCAATATTTTAAATGTTATTATTGATTGGAAATATGAAGGATTCCTTTAAAGCAGTCAAAAATATTAGTACCTAATTGAAAGTATAGAAATTTCTAGAATTCTCTAAATTTTTTTCTAGCTTTAAATTTACATAATTGAGGAAATAAAATTGGTTTGAAATCTAAATCTTACATAAATCTATTATGAATTGTTTCCGTAAATTGTAATATTTCACATTTTGAAAAATGACGAAAAGAGTAAACTTCGAAAGAGCAAAAAAATTTCACCGTAGACCTATACCATAAAATACCATACTACATCATATTTTATCGCAAACCCATCTTCAAAATTTACATATCTGCCAAATGAAATCAATGACATATATTAACACTAACATTTTTCACTTACAATTCATTACTTATTTGCTGGATTTTTAATTCATTGATATACCTTAAGATTATCAGTCAATATCATATGAATTAAATCATTACTCGAGTGTATTTCCAAATTCACTGATTAGTCTTTAGAAAAATGTCTTTAATTATAATTGTTATGTAATACCTTCGATTAATCGTGAGATCTTTAAATAATTCGATCAAGTAACTTTTTTTACTGCAAACAGTTTTCAAACAGCTATTTCTGAAAAGTTGTTTTACTTAAACTAATAATTTCGAAATGAATTTAACCCGATATTTTCGAAAGCATAAACATTTCTTTTCTTTGAAATTATTCTTACTTCATCCATATGTTATACCTCCATAGGCACTATGTACTTTATTATACAAAATTCTTCTATCAATTAAAGTATTGAATTTATTGAGTTCGCTTTACTCAGAATATCTCTAATTTAAAAGAGTAATTTTCATTAAAATGATAGATACTGTAATCAGTATTCAATCTCTATATGAACTAACACAAAGTGAAGAACTTCATTCATCAAACACTAATAGACTATGCAAATGAGTAGGAAGAATTGTTGAGTCAAAAAATTTATCACTTTCAAATAGCTTTCATCACTAGATCCCTCCACCAGATTTTTCCCTGATCCTTTCTGATGCCATTTAAGGTCTATTCTCATCCCTATCGAAAGATTGAAAATCATTCTATTGACCTTTCAACCTAACACTACGAAAAGAGAGTAAAAGAAATTTGAAATAAGTAAGATATGTGAAATAAAGATGGAATAAATATGAGGATTAAGTAATAGAAATTTGAAATGAAATAAGGAGCCATCCTAGCCTCTCTCCTTCCCAATTATCTCTCAAATGTGTTCAACGCTACAGACAGAGATCTGACTATCGCTGCAAGAATCAAACTGGTATGAAAATGCCTGCAGGCGGAGCTGTCAACGTGGATGAAAGGTATGTGTGTGAGTGTGACTATGTCCGAATATAAGTCGGCCAGCTGCAATAATAATCCATCTTCTGCTATTGTCAACATTTTGTAGAACTTCTAGGCTGAATAGAGCGCGAAAAAATTTTTCAGGAAATTTTTCATTAGTGAAACAATTGTTCATTAGTGACCCTATAAAGAAAGTTATGAGTAAATGAGTCACTTATGATTGTGTCACTAAGCACTCTTTCAATCTTCGGATATTTCCCAATATTCTGCATTGCTGGACTACTGATAGGTTGTCGATATTGTTACAGTCTATCTCTTCATTATGTTATTACATCTATAGGGATTGAACATGCTTGCATTAATGTAGAAGAAATACCGAAAGCAATTACCTGAATCTACTGATATCTTCTCTTTAAGCTGAAAATAATTCCGCTAATCTATTTACTATTTTCATCATTTCATGCCAACTTTTCCAAGATGCTTTTGGTACTATCCCTCTCTAGCATTCATTCATTTCAAATTTAAAATTTATCCACTTAAATACTCCTATTATATTTTACGTAAATAAAACAAACTTATTAATACGGGCATTGTTTACATTGATTATTATTATTATTATAAATAATGCTTGGTATCATTCTTCATCCTTAGTATTTCTATAAAAATTTCAATTTGTATATTAGAAGGAAATCGGAAATATTAATAAAAATACATCTAAACTTCTTTATCTTTCCCTGATTTATAATTCTGATAAAGTTTTATATTGTTTTTATTGTCCATCGCTGCATCATTTACTGCCAACCTATCAAATATATTTAAAAAGTGTTTGCTCATTAAGCGCCGTTTAATTGTTTTAAAAGCGAATGAAAAAATTGATCATTTCGCTGATTCGATTTCGATACCAAATGGTCAAATATATTGATATAGCTAAATGGCAGCAATTTTTGTACTTCTTCTCCATCTATGTTAGTTGTTTAATTAATAGATTCTAATTTATTTATAAACTTAATGAAAAAAGAATTTTTTCTAAAAAAAAAATAAAAACAATGGTAATAAAATTATCATGATAATGATAATGATTATTCCCAAGTAATTTTTGATAATTATATTATCAAATTTTTGTTAGCTAAAAGAAATTGTACGAAGTAAAGCTCGAAAAATAAATTTGTTGGCAAATTTTAGTGAGACATCAAGAAGCATCCGTATAAATTAGTAAAGTATATATATATATATACTTTGTTGGAATATCAATTTCGGATCCATCAGTGAACTTTACAAGTTGGCAGTATTGAACAAAGAATAGTTTGCACTGTCATCTAATTGGCTGTCTACCTTCTTCCCTTCTTTTCATACTTATACGATTACTTTCAGTTATCCATTCTTAAATAGGTTATTGCTGATAAGGTATGGACATAAGTAATTTAGAAAATATTGAAAGTTTGAAATATTGAAAATTTAGAAAAATTTAGTTCATATATTGCAAAAAGTGTCTTTGTCTTTCACTTATATTAAAATAGGTTATAAATTGCAAATTCAACAAATGGTCGTTTATTTTGATTTAACTGTCAGAAGTTAAAGTTTTCATTGATGAAACAAATAACTGAACTCAGTCGCTGTTCATTTCCATTTCATCAACTTAGTAATTAAAAAGGTAGGAAAATGGAATGAGAGAAGTTGTCAAATGAATGAAAAATTTTCCAGGCAATTTTTCATTGTATCGCAGCAATGATAATAAATGAGAGTAATAAACCTTTTTACGATTGATGTCATTTCTAATAAACTGAGAAAGTAGTCAAACTATTACAATGTACGGTATTAATATAAAGAAGGCTACAACTTTAGTTAGGTGAAGATGGAAATTGAATTACAGATTCTGTTTAAAATGGGCCTATAGCTGTTGATTTAAGAATTTTAGGCCCTATTCTTTGAGATAAACAAACAAGATTCGAAGTTGTTAATTGTATCAGTGTAAGCAAATCTTTAAATATTTTTGGCTTTTTCTTTCTTTTTTTGAAAAAATATGCCATTATAAAAACTGGCAACAGTTTTGTATATGCATATAAGAAGTATGTCGAAGAATGTTGAAAGGTGCCAGTTGCACCTTTGATGGTTACGTGGTGGAGGTGGAACGTTCGATAAAGAAAAAGTTATTATCGAATATGAGCTTGATGTATCATCCCGATAATTATGCCTTTCACATTCAAAAAAATACTGCGAAATTTTTGACATAATGAAAGTCAAAAGTGTTATTACGACAACTAAGGTATACTTGCAGAAAGTTATTGAAATTGCACTTTACATATTTAAGTATGAGTTTTTTTTTCACTTTAAAAATATTCAATTTAGTTAAAATTATTTTAAACGATGAAATTATTATTGACTGACTAAATTTTACTTCATTTGTTGAAAATTTAAAATTTTAAGAAGGCAGGATTGGATGAGATATTATAGAATTGACATTAGATGAGGTATTATGGAATATCGCGAAATATGTAATGAATAAACTGAAAGTAAAAAGATTATTTTTTGTATACAAGACACTTTTTTGCTATCTTTTATGATACGATGGGTACTTCATTTTTGATATCAAGATAAAAACCCTTTAGAAATAACGACAGCTTGAAGACTTCATTTATTGGATAAAATTTTTTTTAGAAACATATGGATAATAACGATATGAAAACTTTTAATTGTATTTAATTTCCTTTGAATTATTTTGTTTGCTTTTTATCGTTAATGTATCAATGCAAATTTTTTGTGAAATTTTCTAACTTCTATTAGCAATTTAGTGAGAAATTCAAAATGAATCATTCGTTGAAACATATTAGCAAACAGGTGTATTCTATCTGTTTCGTTGTATTTTGTCGAAATTTTAATATCTGTTTCATTGCATTTTGTTGAAATTTTATAATTTGATAAAATCAATTTCTCGTCATCATTGCTTCAGGGAAAAAATGAAATAACATAAAATTATCAAAAATATTTTTAAACTTTCGCTAATTTTATTTACAAATTGCTATTGTTTGATCATTTCACTTTATTTTCTTCACATTCTCAAAATAACTGACAGTTTAGTTGTCTAAAATTGGCTAAACAATTAAACTAATGAGACAAGTTTTGTAAAGTTTATGAATTTAATTTTAAAGAAAAAAACTAGTTCAGAATTTTAGAAATAGCTTTGTGTGATCATTTGACGCTCGTTATTGATTGATTTCTCAACTAAATTGATAGAATTTTGCTGTATCGATAGGAGGAAAAACCAAATGAAAAATTTTATGTGTGGAAATTAGTGAATAGTTTTTATCTTTTCCTTTTCAGAAAATTTTGATAAGAAAGAAAAGCTAATATAATCGTACCTAATATAATCTATCGTAATATTGTATGCTTAATACATAAATAAAACATGTCGTAATAATATCGATATTTATCTTAATATTATTGTCTTCTTTATTGCAAACGAATAATAAAATGTTTATTTCTTTTATTTTAATTATCATAATTTGATTCATTCTCATATAACTACTGTATTTTACAGCGTCAGAGCTCCAGCAACGGACTAAATCTTATTTACTAAAGGTAAACAAACTTTAATGGAACGATTCCTCCGATTAAAAACGAGTAAGAATAATTCGAAAAAAAGTCCTATTTTAAAATCGACTTAGAAAATTAACTCAATCAATTTATTGTATTTGCTGCGGGCTTCTTCCAAATTAAAGCAAATATTTAAATTCCTTTGTGCTACAAAAACTTGCAAAAATTTTACTTACTTCGGTTAAAAACATTGCTGAAGCTCTCTTCAAAAAGAAACATTAATAAAAGTACATGGTAACGGTGTAAGGATAGCTTTTCAAAATCAGTATAAAATTTTATTTTATAGAACAGTATGTACATCAATATGAACTACATAATACATGATAAGTAATAAGATAAAGAAAGTCATGATTTGCACATCAAAATGGTTGTTGGATAACTTTCAATGGAACAAATAAGAGTGAAAAACATATTCATGCTTAAGTCCCGTATTCACAGTGAAAGTTCAAGTCAGGAGTTATATTTACATATGAAATCTACCAAGATATCACACCGACTGAAATTTTTCAGAAAATCTGAGATCGAGAAATGCGTATGAAAGAGCTAAAATGCTGATTAAATGCATCAATGTTTCAATGGAATATTTTCTATTGAAAATCTTCAGTAGAAAATTTCCAAGTTACCAATGTCATAATAAAAAGTGACACTCAAAATTCATTACATACGAATTTGAAGTGAAATCGTAACTGATTATAAAAGTCAACGTCATGCCGAATACTGCCTTCTTTGGAAATTAAACTAAAAGGCCACACCAAGTAAACTATGGCCCAAAAAAACGCACAATTTGACATCAGGTAAGGAAACGATAAAGTGATAAGAGGGCTAAATGTCATATTACAATGAATCAAATATGATGTCATGAAATTTCAGTTTAATATAATATTACAATTTCGATTATAATCATACTTCGTCACCCTTTTATCAGTTCCTATTTACAAATTTAGATAAATACAAAGTGGAATGAAAAAAACTACAAATGAAAATGGAAAAAAACAAATTGCTTCACTATTATTTTTCCATTCTTTCTCCATCGGAAGCTTTTCCTTTCATATATACATATAGGAAGATCATAAAAAGTATGCTCAACCCAAAATCCCTAAATTTTAATGTTTCAGTTGATCAAAAATGTTTTCAAAAATAGGAGAGATAATTTGCTCGCAGTTTACAGTTTTGAAAATGGGTATATGTACATAAAGAGTGTCACCTTGAAATAAAGAGATCAGAAATGAACAAACAAAGCATTTTCTGTGAGAAAAGGAACAATTATATTCCAACTATTTAATTTCCTTATTAGCATCACTTGAGAGGGCTCAAATTCGCTTGTCAAAAATCGGATCAAATTTTCCGAAGAAAATGGAAAGAACATGTAGAACATGGAGAATTTTCTACAAAATTGTATGATAATAAATTGACATGTACTCAGCTGCATCGCTCCTAGGTGTTTCATGTAGTGCAGAAGAAAATAGATCCATCACCGCACGCGACGACCAAATCATCGTCGTAATAATCAAACTAAAAATTAATCTTATATTTCAATGAAACCAAACGGAAACTATAAAAGAACATTTCCTTTCTTTGAATTCATGTAAAATAAAGTCTCTTATCAGTATTTTTGTTACTTATCCTTACAGTCATACAGTAAAATCTACTCTGGACGGTTCTGCACTGAATGCTTCTGATTCGGCAAACAATCTGGGATGTAAACCAGGTGTGAACACTTTAAAAAAGCGATCCTTTGTAATACACATTTGGCTGCCAATATTCAGTCTTACTTGCCGTAAACCACCACTTCCAACAAATACTTCCTGAAATAAAACAGTTTCTCATATATTTTTAACAAAATAATGTCACATTACTTGAAAAACTGTTTGATTCACAAAACATACGCTGATAACTGTTAAATCGTTTGGGTTGATAGACAGCATCTTGCCATCGGTGGTTCCACAAAGTAATTGTCCTTGCCGCAATGACATAGTTTGTGCGTAAGCTTCCAGTTCCAAATCGTTTACTACTTCCCACATACGTTTGTCGACACATGCTAATCGTCGATCCTCACCACATGAATACAGATAATTGCTGTCTGGCTATAATATTTCTGGAGTTGTAAACATAAATAAATAAGAAGCTTTTAAACTTAATTCCCTGACAAGGTGTCATTTAGCAAAAAAAGGTAAACTATTAGTGAATTTGAATCTATAAAACATTAAAAAGTTGAAAAAATGATTACCATCTGAACAAGATCGAAAACAGCACTTCGATGATACAGTATATCAGTAATTTTTTGCAACGAATTGCGCGCATCCATAACTACTACTCTCCGTCCAAATGTAGAACAAACAGTTGTTGTACCGTCATTTATAACACATAGCACTGCAGAAGCCATCTGTACATCACAAAGCGCCTGAAAGAAATGATTTTATAACTGCGTAGAAGAAATTACTGAGTTATGCTGTGTATTTTGTCTATTTTTTTTATAAAACTCATGTTCACTGTTGGCTTTACGCATTTCCTTCATATATATAACAAGCAGTCTCCCTCTTTGAAAAATTTTAGTGAAGCCCTATTTTGTCATTCAAATTTATTCGGTTAATTAATTAATTTCCTGATTTCTTGGTTATAATCTCATATGTATCTCCAGTTTCTGTTGTAAAAAAAAATTTTTTCATCGGTCATAAAATTGTTACATTAACATGCCCATCAACGATTCGCCACTGCTTCACATAACGATCCCACGCACAGGAGTAAAACGTATCTGCATCCCCTCTGCACACGCTCCATATCCATCCCTGCATACCATGTGAAGCTATGTAAATCATATTAGAAAATTTTAATTTGAATCTCACGTCCTGCAAGTAAACGTATGATTCAAGCAAGACGCACTATGATCCGGGAAGTTTTCATATAGCTAAGAAGGTTACTACTGATCATAAGGATTATATTCAAACGTAGATATGTGATTGCCAAGAGGTATACATCACAGAATGATTCATTTCGATGCAGAATCTTTTCAAATTGATTTATTTTGATTTTTAAATAAGACAGACAACCATTACCTGATGAGCTTCAGAAAATTCATACAGTTTCCAATTTTCGCGCCTCACTCCCTTCTGAAACAATGAAGATTTTCAGTTTCTTAAATAACATTAACATAAATTCTTTAAAATCTTACTTGTATCTTTAAGGAAACAGAATCCAATCTGTCCGTGCTAATAATCGACGCCGACATGCACCGCCCTAAATTTTCGGTACAGCAAACATAGAAACTGCATCGCCAAATGAGCTAATAAAACATCTCTGATGCGTTATAAAGAGAAACACTAACGAAAATTAACTACTAATTGAATTTAAATTCAATTTGAATTAAAAAAAAATTGAATGAGAAGCTCTAACTGTTATCGTATCTACATCCCAAATGATCAGTGCACGATCTCGGGCACCAGAAATACATAATCGTTTATGCGCCGATGATTTCATGAGTGCCACAGCATCAACTGTTCCATCGTGTCCTACAGCACAAATAAGTCGATCCAATCTATAATTTAAAAAAAATGCAGAACTGAATAATTCAAGTAATTGAAGGAAAATAAAAAGTCTAAAATTTTTTTTCGCCCACAAGAAAACCAAATGACATTTCATAACATATTAGAAAAGGAATCATACTTTCCATCTTTCCACCGCTCCGTTTCTTCTTCTGTTCTGGCACAACAATGTGATAATGATGATACTGAGCCATATAACTGACAGGATGGCAATTCAACTTCAAATTTCTTCTGTAATATTTTCAAAGTTAACCTGAACCTCGAAACATGACTAGAAATCTCAATCATCCGCTTTTTTTTAAAACAAAATTTACCTGCAATTTCCGTTCCCAATAGCTCTGATCAGCAATAATCGTTGCAAAGAACCGACACGTCAAGCGAACGTTTTGCCACAAGTCACGACTTGGAAGATAGCTCAGAATAATTAAAATTAATTCACAGGGTAAATCGACCATTCGTGACATCTTTTATACTGCATATGTAGTATTTGCAGTATTAAACTAGAATTCGAAACTATTAAAAGCAAGAGTAAGCATCTACCACAGCTTTTATTAGAAATTTGATAAATCAAACGAACAATGGGAAAATTCATGGGGAAGGACTAGTAAAACATTAAATAAACATTTGCAACTCACAATGTCCATAGTGAATTAAGGAAGATCAAGGTATAGAACCTTGATTTTTCACTTGAAGTCTATTTCTGCACAAAAATGAATATTTACTTTAGGATGCATTACTCGCAAAAATGTTCCTATTAAAATGAACCAACTCTGGATGCTAATATTGAACCGATCAATGATTTAACTTATTTAGTTCTGTTGCGAAACATCCAGTAAACCAGAAATTTCAATCTTCTTGAAAATTCGAGATTTATCACTGTCTCAAGTCATACAGAAATTAAACATAAATAAACAAATAGTTTTGATCAGTGCAGACAATCAATATTCTTTAAAAAAGCCCGAGAGACAAAAATGTAAACTTTTATCCAGCACATTACAGTATGCAGTAAAAGCAATGATGAGACGCGATGTCTCACTGAAAGGATAACAAAGAAGAGATCCAAAACATAATGAAATTTAGATGTAATAGCTTAGAATTTTTAATCATCAATTAATCATCAATTAATACTCCGAATTCATTGCCTAATCAACATATGTGCCCATCTTTTTAAAAGCATCTTCGACATCAAATTCAGGTTCCCAAATAAGTTTCTCATCATGCACAACTCGTCGGCGGAACATACGCAGTGGTGTCGCAAATGCTTTTTTCTAAAATAAGTAGTTACCTTGCTTGCCAATAAATTGAGCAATTAAAGAAAAATACATTAATCAAGTGCTTTGAAGAAATGAAATGACTTCTTTTAAACATTAAATTGATTTGAAAAACAAAAGAAAAAATCACGTTTAGAAAAGAAATGAGAGTAATTTCAAACACAAGAAAAATAATCGCACAAAACGACCATTAACTTTCAAAATTTGATGTGCGCGCCACGAAAAGAAACCCCTAAACGATGTGGCCTCGCAGAATAATAACAACCATTCTGTAATGCGCATCGTAACAAAAACTTACTTTATTAATTAAATAGTTTCCATCACGATATTTCAGCATTTTATTTTCAAGCATTGTACTGATGATATCTGATGAATGTATACCGGTTTCGTTGCTCATTTCTGAAAAATTTCTTTAAAACGAAAAAAATTCATGTATTTCCGAAGTATTTCTAATTAGAAATGCTCACTAAGAAGAAAATAATTAGCACTACTTTTGAAATCGTATTAATATTATTTAAATATTGATGAAATTAAATATGATGCCTTTGATCGAGATAGAGTTCATTTGTCGTCGCTTTCGAATGTAGGATGTAATTACTGCTTTCCAGTAGCTTCGATATGTGATTAAACCCATGTCAGAAAGTGGATGCTCAGGTCCACCGATTTTCCGTTCTCGTAAAGAAAGTTTATAACCTGAAAAAGATTGTCAGGAAATAAATTTATATTGGCATATTAAAATTAAGTTTTAATGATATAAAATTCAGTTTACACCGAACAAGATTTGTGAAAACAGAAAAAAATACTGAGATCAATGAGGAATTTGCCATATCCAGTTCGCTGTGATGATGGAAGGGTCAGCAAGCAGCTCAAGTTGTTGTTTTTGCTCGGATTTTTTTCCTTAAACAAATAGCATTTTGAAATATAGAACGATTATTTGTTCAATTTTTATAGATTTAAAAGTGATAATGAAAACAGACCTTCGAGAAATAGCCCAAGAGTATATAACCTTCCGCTGTATATTCCGTCAAGATATAGAACAGAAACGTTTCCACTTCATGATGAAGAGTTTTTGAAAACAGAAACAACTTAGAAAGCAAACATAGCCTTCGACAATAAGCCTAAAATAGTATCACGATGTTAAAAAACAACGTTTATAACGTCAATAAATAAATAGTTTTATATAAAGTACTTAATATACAATTTTGGTAAGACTTAAATGACACTTAGCTTCTTAAACTATATCAAGAATTAGTTTATATGGCTGAAGAACAAAGGAAAAGACATATCGAGAATTTTTAAATGAAAGCGATGAAAATATGTTTTAAACTTTGTGGACCCAAATCTCTATTTCTAAAAACTTTACGATCTGCAAAGGATAAGTGTGAATCCGAAAAATGAACAAACAATTTCATCGATGCCATCGATTTCCCAAAACGATAATCTATCGTCCCGGTAAATTTCATTCCCTGGCGGATGCTTCCATTCACAGTGAGTCTTAAAAGCAACATTTTATCAATTCATCAAACGCAATAAATAAAGAAAGACAAAATATTATAAAAGATGTGATCTGCATGAACGTAATGTTATGCAATTAGTAATACAAGACATCATACAAAGTAAAATGAATAAATTTGCAAGGAAATGAATGGCAAAGTACCGTATGTATTTCGTACAACGTAGAATCTGCAAGAGCTGCAAGACAGAATCGACATACGTAAATATTGGATGATTGTGCAATGCGTGTTGGATAGGGTGATGGATACATTGCTAGCAAACGTTCAGAACCGAAATGGATCCATTGTGTTTCAGGTGGTCTTTCTTCATCAGCATTTAAATCTTCCGACGGCTGAGACGCCAGGAATTCTCTTTTAGCAGCCGTGTATCTGTAAATCATATCTATAGTAAATTGAGAAGCCGAATTTTTATCTTAGCAGAAAAAGATCTCAAAAAAAAGCTGATTAACCATAAACGTCGCTGCAATCATTTTTCCTATTTTTTGGTATTAGTAATATTCATTAATCTTATTTCATTTTTTAAAAAAGCACAACGCTTCATTGCTAACTTCAAAATAAGCAACTGTGTATCGTAAAATGCAAGCAAATGAAATATGAGATACAGAACTTACAAATTATAATCAAAAGCAGTTGAGTTATCCTTCATCATTCGGTGTTTTTCAGCCTCTGTTAACTGGTCGGAAGCATCCCGCTTCCCATGAACAGAAATTTTAATACCATCAATAATACTGATATTCCTAGCTGATTCATTTTCTGAATCGCTTCGTTTTACCTTCTGAAAAACTATAACATGACTTTTTACCACTCATCAGAAATGAAAATACCGATTCTTTCCAACAATATCGATAGCCGTCTGACGCAATCCTCGTTTGAGCTTTAGGTCATATTGTAACAACTCATTTGAAGAACAATGGGGATTTCAGTACGAATGGATGCTTTAAGAAGTTATATTTTAGTGAGGAAAAAAGATACTATTTGCACCTCATGACGATAAAAGTGATTAATATTTCAAAATAAACAGTAGCACGTAAACAAGGAAAAGAACGAAAACAACTTTTGCATTTTTTATAGTCATTTTTTTCCTCAGTGAAGAATTCTCGCTTTCCATCTGTCGTTTCATTCGATTTCTTTCTTTCTGTTCTCTATCCTTCAAATACTGACGATAAAAATCTTTCAATTGATCGTTTATCTGGAAATTCATGAATACACAGTATCTGTTTAGCTAAAAGAATGTTTCACAATTAATATAAATGCTATTTGCTAATCACTTGAACTATATCAGTAAAAATAATCAAATTAGAAAATGCCCAGCACGAGGATATTATATTGGCATACGCCGTGAAAAGAAAGATAATGAGAAACATACGGCATCTCGCTCAGTTTGCAACCTCGCTTTCCAGAGATAGGCTGCTGTATAATCACGCCTTAAGTGCCAGGAACAGGACTTTTTCTCCGCCGATCCGTTTTCTTGCAGGAAGCTATTCGATGAAGAGGAATTATCCGACGATTCACTAAAAAATCTAAAAGTTTGTCAAGCCTATAATAGAAGCGCAGTCTTTCTTATTCCTTCGCCTTCATCGTTAACATTGTTTTTATAGGATGATTTAAAAGATTTATCCCCTATTATTCCTCTTGAATTTTCTCTACTTCGACATTTGAAAAAAGTCCCAATCCCAAGCTAATTAATTGAAAAGTGACTTTGCAGACGATTCAAAGGTTAATTATTACAATGTTGGAAAGATTAACTCCTTTTCATAAAGTAATTTCGATCGGTTCAAAAGCTGAAGAATAAAATTTTTCGCAAATTAGATTTTATACTCAAATTCTAAAATATTTCAAAATTTTAAAGAATGCTCATAAACAAACCTATTTTCGATATCTAAAAGGTGTTTGCATTCTGCACAGAACCAATTCGAAAGTGGGTCCTTCGGATTCATCCATGCTCCAGAACTTGGTCTGCACGTTCCGTGAAAAGCTACATCACATGAAAAACATTGCACATTTTCTGGCTGAAAATTACAAAACATAATTTGCTTTAGTTTAGTTAATGGTATCAGTGCTAAATTTGTGGCTTAAAATAGAAATGAGATTAAGAGGAATATCAACGTCTGAGCACATACTGTTTTATAAATATATTTTGAAAATAAGTGAAACTCTAAACCAGCAAAGGTAATACTATCCTATAGTGCTCGCATACACCAATCATCCTTTCTCAAAATTTCAAATAAAAAAATTGAAGAATTTTACTCTCAAATATAAAAACTCACGTCATATATGAAGTCATTGCAATTGTAGCAATATGTACATGTTGGACAAAGCCATGTATAGAATCGTTTTTCAGACACTAAGCGCACGGATTCTGATGTATACCCCAAACATTCCAAATGATCTGAACAAATTAAACAAATCAAACTGAAGATGACAATAAACTTGAAAATTACATCCCCGCTGCGTTACGAATTATATCAAATTTTACCAAGATCTAGAATTATAATCGACATATTCACGGCAGCCAAATAAAAGACTTCATTAAAAGAATAATGTATTTGGGGGTCCAACTTTGTTTTAAAATTGTATATGGTCTAGCGCATAATCAACATGAAAGTTCCCGCATAAAAATGTGAAAGAATTATATTAATAGATATTTAACCGGAAAAAATTTACATTTGTTTTCGCAAACAGAACATGTCATAAAATCAGCACTTATTTTACATAGCCGACAGTGATCTGCTTCTCGCGATCTGAAATGAGAAAATCATTCCTTCAAATTGGCAATATAGTGTAAAAGTGTTACAAGACACTGATTCAAATTGAAATGTCTAAAATGAAATTGAACCACATACTGCTTTTTATACAATCCTCTGGTTTTGATCGGAGAATTTGTAGAGATGGAATTTTTCTGCTGCTTAAATTCTTTGATTCTCGCCGAAATCTTTCTGCCCTTCCTTATAATGAGAGACAAGTCAGTAGAAGTTCGTGAATTAAGTCGAGTTCTCCTTGCTGCTGCGCGCCTAAAGATAAAAACTGATAAATAAAAAAACTAAAGACACACCTAAATTATGTCGCAAAAAGGCTAAGCAATCCACAATACTAAATAATGGTACGAACTACAGTAATAGTGATCTGAAAGTGTGAAAAATTAGATCTAGGCATAATGAGATCATACTTTACAATATTCTCAAGATATAAATCTATCATTAATTTAATTTTGGACTACTTAATTTTCGCTTGATTAAACCAGTTGTTGGTATAATCATTTGAGAGAATTCTCCAATGAAAGGCGGTAAGTTGTTCTGCTGTGACTTTTGGGCAGTTTACATGATTGAATATATGTAACTTAGCTCAATCCTAAATGCACAAGTTTAATTAAACTTAGACTGCTAAAATACCTCTTGCTCTTATTATCATTGTTACCGGTACTTCTCGAAGATGAAGCAGTCCGAGCCGACAAACATTTCTCCTTCAAATTCCCAAAACTTTTTAATTGTTGTCTTTTTTTCGATGCTTTCGTTGCTTCCAATGTCGTCTTCCGGGTCCTCATTCCTGTAACACAAAAATCTTCGTAACGCAAATATTAATGTATATGTGTCACGTGTTATCAAATATCCTGCGCTGAGATCAGAGATCAGACATCATGCAATACAGAACAGTGCATCATCTCTTATGATGCCTTAAATGAAACAGATCCCAAATCTTCTACTGTTTATGGACATAGGTGGATTTATCCTCACCTTTCTCCCTTCCACCATCGGCATCAAACCTACATTCATTTAATTATGGCCCACGTAATTGTTTTCATTAGATTCGACTATGACTTACGTAACTATATTCATTTAATTATGGCTCACGTAACTAAATTTATTTAATTATGGCTCACATACGTCAAACATCCTACCATCAATCATACCTCGCAAAACCATTTGCATTTCTTCCTGAAATTATTTTACATCTAAAAAAAAAATTCAAAGTACTACTACCAATCAGCCATTTTATGAAGTGTTTCGTTTGTTGCAGCGTAATGTTTGAAATTTAAATTAATGAATGTTATGGCATAGATAGAGAGTAAAATGAAGAAAGATTGTTAGGAAAGGATAAATTATAGAGATGCTGGGATGCGAGTGATGATCATATGATAGATATGATACCCGCTATATCTTAACCATATCTTAACACACCAATCAGTTATCCCTAACAGATGTTGATTTTGCTAGAGTTCGGCAGAAATATCCGACTGAAATGATAAACATTATGCCATCGCTGTTACTGCTATTCTAAACACTAGCTTCTTGGAATTTTTTGCTGTAGCGAAGTTTCGTAATTTCTCAGGTCAGATATTCCTTACATTGGATAGTATAGTATCGGCGACGTCAGCAAATTTTCAAAGTTTCTTACCACTTTTTACAAATCTTCTTTTGCTATCGCAAAAATCTAGCAGATATATACTTTTCTGCTCATTATTTCAATTAATTAAATTAGAAGATAGAAATTTTCGTTTAAAGAAAGGAAGAAAGCATTATCGGCAATCAATTAAATATAAAACAATGATGGTACAATTATTATTTCTTCATTCAGTGCTAACTCTCTCAAAGTTAGCAATTCCATTCTATTCGTACTATTCTTCTCTTTTTTTCCATACCTTTTCTATTACTGATACGCTTAAGCGTAAAGTAAAATCAATCAATTGATAGCATGCCTTAGGATTCATTCTATTATTGATTACATTCTTGTTCCCGATTGCTTGTGTTTCTCTTTTTATAACTTTTGCAAGTTTACTACGCGTTACATTTTTTCTTACTGTGTTTTTTCTTACCTGCTATTTTCTCATCAATTTTAGCATCTTATTTTATTCAAATAAGTGAAAAAATGTCAGAAGTCTCTTAGAACTTTTTTCAAGCTTATTACAGTTTCAAGCAGAGCGCAATCGATCCTTTGCAGTATTATTTACAAAGATCGCTTTCCATAAAGCCAGGAGTAAACTGTTCAACGATTAGCATCATGGTCCATAAACTTCCCACATTCACAAAGTAAATTTCGATGATCTTGTCTATTAAATCACATACCTACTGCTGATGATTTCTTGAATAAAGAAATGCCCAGTGCTTAGGAAAACTACCATCACTCTTTATTTGAAATTTCCAACAATTTTCCATCTTTTTCTCGCCGTCTCATTTTTCAAAATTTATAATTGTCTTCTCTCCTAATTTATCCCATTAAAATTAACATCATTCTATTCTTTATATATCTTCAAAAAGGTTTTGCGCTCACCTCTTAAGGTTTTTCTTTAGTTTTTTCCTTAATCATGGTTTCTGTACACTTTGCAGCACTTACGTTTATCAAATTAGTCTTGTTTGTGCTTTGTAAAATAATTCTTTTTTGTTGCCACCTTGATAGATAACACCTGAAATTATTAATCGTCTAACTTATATTTTGTAGAATGTTTCTAAAAGATGTATTCCTTCTCTCTTTCGTTTTCTTCATGTACGATTTTAAAGAAAAAGAAAAGGAAGATGTCAAAGCAGAATGGAGAGAATGCAATTCAAAATTTATCATCCGTGGCAGTTTAAGATGATTTATAATATAACGTAGCACAAATAATGGCAATAGAACATATAGTAAGATCAACCAGCAGCAATACGATATCATAGAGGCGAACATATAGCATTAATATCTTTTGACTTATCATTTTTATAAAATGTAAGTTTTTAGCATTTTATGATTCAAAAATGGTTAAATCACTATTCAATATATGTTTGGCAGCTACGTGTCAACATAATTTATATGGATATTTGGCTGATTTACCAACCTCTTGCAAGCAACGTCTGCTCGAGTTCTTTAGTTCCCATGACCAGGTAATAACATTATGATTAGTCAATCGTTGAACATCTCATCGATAGAGGAGTAGAAATGTCCAAAAAATGTCTAAGGTGGATTTAAATTTTAGACTCAAACAGATTCCCATCACTCCACCTTTTAAAAAAAACTCAACATAATAAGCCTTGAAATATTTATGTCCGTAGATAATTATCCCACCGGAAGACTAATGCTTGAGTGATCCAACAGTAAATGTTCTTGTTCTTATCCAAGAAACAAGTTATTTTTTTCACTAGATCAGATAAAAGGAAGGATCCTTTAATTCGAGGGATAACTTAGTGTTTCATATAATTCTCCCTAAATTCTCGATTAAATCATTTCATAGAATAAAATTTCATTTCCAGTTATTTCTATCAGAATGTGCTCAACTTGTATTGTCACCTTCGTTTGGAAGGAATCTTACGGAATTACGTTTTTATCTAAGTGATCAAGTGACTGACAATGTTCTGGAAGCTATTGCAGCTCATAATCGTGCACTTCAACAAATTTCAGTCATTTTCTGTCAAAACATCACTGATAAGTTAACGAGACTGTTTCTTTAAAATTCATTTCAAGTTTGAATGTAGCGGATTTCATTTAATGATTTATATGATTCATCTTCATAATAATGCTTTTATCTGAAAACTTCAAATTCTCCTAATTGCTAGAAAACTATTCTACTGGGAAGAAATTTCTAATTTTTGAAATTATTTCCGAATTCCATTACAGGGTATTAGAGCAATAACAAGCGGACAACGAAAACTCGAGAAATTAGAATTTAGGGCATTGAAGAAGCTTACATCAAATGGTTTATCATTGATAAAGTCCAATTTCTTATACACGGTTGATCTAAGCTCTTGCACAATGGTTAGTATTTGAGTAACAGATAAATGCATACTCAAATTGTTTTACCAATGTCGAATAGTTCTATCTGATATGCTAATACGAGAAGGTTAGGGTGACATGGTATAGTGGTTCAGAAGTGTTCTGCAACGCTACATAGTAGTGGTTCGTATCTCCAAGCCCTATGAAGATAGCAGATGACGAGTCTGATTCCGCGCGTTGTAGGGTGCAGTTATTGCACGTTACCGTGACTAATCCCTGATGTTTAGAGGCATTTGTCCGAGGGCTTGATGCGAGAATCATTCATCCATAGGAAGGGGAATAAAAAATATTACTTGGAAAACTCCGTCAAATGAATAAGGCGGATAGATAAGGTTATGATAATAAGCTCGTTTGTTACCCTCATTGCAATGAATGGTTCAGTCTCATTCTGTACTAGCTGCTATAGTTTACAATATTGGACACAATTTGCAATGTTATCTAACCTTTAGTGAGATTTGTCAATTTCACAGTTTTAATTCAGGTTAAAAGCGACGGGATCTATCAGCTTGTTTACTTGAATCGTAATATCCATTGTTTGTATTTGAATAACTGCAGAGGTTAGTCTTTTCAGTAATCGAAACAGAGTTAGCCCATATGTATATACCATTTCATAAATATTGGCTTTAATTCAACCTCTTAACTATCGTTTTTATGCCGCTGACTGAATTTTGTTGATAAAATTTCAGGTCTGAATGATCAAGCGCTTTATGATATTGCACATTATCTCGGGGAAAAATTATCTGTTTTGGAGCTGGATTTTTTACCAAATGTGGTCGATCCATCTTCTGCTCTGTTTTATTTGAGTCGTAACTGCCCAAACATCAAACAGTTGTCACTTTGCCGCTTTTTCGAAGTACTCTTTTAAAGGACTTATTTATTCACTTTGAACTTTTTCTGACTTCGATATTCCGTAAAATTTGTCCGCATCTGAGTAACCTTGTTGTTTTTTTTTTGCTTTTTAAAAGGGTTCTTTGTAGATGGAAAGAGAGCTTGCACTAATGCCTGAATACAGAATTGCTGGTGTAGGATTGCGCGATGTTGATTTATACGGTTCGTTTCATTTTTTTTTGCTTTGATTTTCTGTTCTCATTTTTACATCCATTCCATTTTTTGTTGTCATCTTTCTCTGGTATTTTCTTGCTGTCAACGAAGTCATTATTGTAGAATACCCTTATAATATGTACTATTTATCGATATTGGGTTTTATCTACTTTATTTCTTGTACCAATATACTCATTTACATGTTCCCAGTTTAGAATAGTTGTTACCAAATTTACCTGAAAGCAACCAAAATCTCGTGACATATGTGACATATTGTTGAAGATTGGAAGTACTTCCTTAATTACACTATAATTTGTACATGTATCAAACTTTTTAGGGAATTATTTTTTCACTTTACCTTTGTTACCGCCAACGGTAAGTAGGCTACGGTTGTCAGTATGCGGCGATGAAGACGTGAATAGCTTAATCGATCGCCTAGAAACGTTGCCTCAACTGACAAGTATTCATCTGCAGATGAGCTGCAAGGAACCAAGCTGGGTAAGATTTATTAATTTTGTTTAATTTATATATTCTAGTATTCTCGAAATTTTGGCCTGTTATCCTGGCGACAACTGTACTGCAGGTAATTAAAGAATCCGTCTCTTTTCACTACCACAAAGATTTCTTTGTGACTTGATTGTTTAACTACTATTTCTCCAATGCTTCCCCTTTCCCTCTTCTTTTTCATACATTTCTCGCCATATATTTTAAACGTAAAGAGGTATCACTTCCTTATCCAAATTGAACATTTTCCACAAAAATTAGCAAAAGTCATATGCTAATCTTCACACATGCTACGGAAGCTGTATACTTCACCATTCTACTCTCAAGATTTTGAAGCCATAATTGTTATGGGTAATGTAAAGCTTTCATTGATTTCCACTTAACCAGTCATTTTTAGCGATGTGTAGAAGATGCTAATACATTCTTACGTTCCATCTTACCTTATATAGGAAGCAAAATAACGCGACTTCATGTAAGCTTTTAATTTTTCGAATGTTCTATAATTTTTAGAAATTACTACAGTATCTGTAGACATTCCCGCTATAGCATCTATTATTTCTGTTGTTAGTTTTCGAAGTTTTTTAACTTTGAATTTATAAATCCCTACTTTAGTTCATTTTTTGAATTTCGGAAAATCTTACGGAACAGAATCCGTCACTTTTTACTACAAATTTTTAGATATCGCTGCCAACGGTTATTGATGGTGTTTTCAATTTGATAATACAATGCCTACCAAATTTAAGTCATTTGGCACTTGACGTAAAACATATCAATAACAAGCTGTTGCGATTGTTTTTTGCTGGTTTGTATTTCGATCCCTCCCAATTTGTTGGATGCTAATTTTGAATAGTGAAACTGAACCCGACAGAAACCAGACATAATATGTAATTTAAATTCAGTTTTCTTTGGTGTCTGATAATTTTTCCAACATTTCTGATGAACTTCGCCTCTGCTCTAGGTGGAGTTCATTCGCCAGGTTCAAGATTACGATCACTGAAATTATGCCGCCTTCGAACAACTTATAGAGCTCTGTTTGCAATTGCGCGTGGAGCACATTCGATCACGGTGCATAAAGTTTTAAGTTTTCTGGCTTGTCTTCAAATGCTTTCTGGCTTAATCAAATCTAGTACTCTACTGTAGATTGTTTCTAATGACTTAAGAAATGTAAAATTTTATACTTAACAAGGGAAGGAACGCCACTAACAAATGTGTCTGCTATTACTAACCTGAGAAAGTTTTTGGATTGTTTTTTTGGATTATGATTAGTTTTTGGTTTATTCTAGGACTTGGAGGTGTCGCATATTTCATGTGTTGATGACCGCTTCTTGGCGTTGTTAGCAGATAACTGCATGGGTTTGAAGAATATTAATTTGAACGGTTGTAGATATGTCACAGACGAAGGACTTGCTGCACTAGCGCGGTGAGCTTTAATTTTACTTTCAAGCTCATTTGCTTTTCGAAGGCTCAAAAAATGTTTGAGATGCCGAATTAGCTTTAGAAAATTTCTATTCTTGGTTAGAATAAAAACTTATACTCATTAAAATTAAATAAAAATGCAGAGGTGTCTCTTTCTATTGAATTTCCTTCAGTAGCAACAAAGACGCTCTAGCATCTGGTAATTGGATAGGTGCAATTTGAAACTATATTTACAGAAAGTGCTGCTTAAAGGAAGTGCGAATTCGTGCAACATCATGTACGGACAAGTCAATCTATTTGTTGGCGCAGTTTTGTCCCGATCTGGAATGGATATCACATGCTGATTTCAGTGGACGTCCAAAATTTAGTGACAAAGCACTGCAGTGTCTCAAAGATTCTTGCGTGCAAAGGGTTATTTGCTGAATAAAAGTAGAAATAAAGTCATTTGTTTCTGTATGTGGAAAATATGACAAACCTGGAAGTTTCGTCCTAGAAGCTAAGAGAAATAGATCTCTCAAAAATTTTTTAGAACGAAGAGCAGCGGAACTATACTCTTGCATTCTTGGCTTTCACTGGAAGCAAAACGGAAAGGGCGATTTCAGCTCGGCCTTCCACTGTGAATTTTCACCTCAGATAGCTTCCACCTGCCCCCTTTTGACAGATAAGCCCTAAGAATTATACGATATGCTGAACTTCCAAAATTACAATCTGCCTTTCTCCTCTTTTACCCTAATTTCATAATTCACAACATTAAGCGGAACTATGTTGGAGTCAATTCATTCTTCATGACTTTCACAGGTTATTTTATTGAAAGGAAAGCACTACAGAGAAATTTTTCTATTGGAATTACATCTTGTTCGGTTCATTTTTGAATATTTACTCTTTCACTGAAAAAAGAAACGACGAATGAGAATTTTCGAAACCGAACAAAACAACAAGAATAGGTATAATATAAGACTCGCCGATATGCAAATTATAAGTAAGCTGAAAGGCACTAACACAAGCAAAACATCCACAAGGAAATATTGGAAAATGTTTAGTTTAGAAGCAGCAACGTTGAAGTTCTCGAATGGACCATATTTTATAACGAATTCAGTATATCGTATGAGTCGTTCCCTAGCAGACACTGGCTTATACTTAATCATCTTTTTCAGTTTCTGCGCACTTTTCCGGTAACTGAATGAAAATTTAAATAAACGATTGTTTTAAAGTATCAGTATCATTATTGATTGGTAAAGTACTAGAAGAGAGGAATTTCTGGCAAGAAGAGGACTAAAGCTGAAGGACAGTTACAATGCATTAATATGCAAATATTAACTTATTTACCTTTCTTCATTGATGATAGTTTTAACTGCAGAAGATAAGCCAACTGCTGTAAGATTTTCTTTGTTCAGGATAACCGCTACGTTCCTATTCTTTGCCGTCGCAGCATTTCTAAACTGATCACTGAATAGTGGTATACAAATGAGTGGTACTCCACCATTGATACTTTCCATAAGACTATTTTGACCGCAGTGAGATATAAAAGCCAAAAGCTTGTGGTGATCTGTAACTTTTCATGAAGTAGTAATTGAGTTGTAGGACATTAGTAGGACATTGTGGAACATTGTGGGACATGATGAAAATTTTGGCTCTGATTTAATGTTGTTTGAAGCGGTAATTTCTGGAAAACAATGGAAAAAATCAGATGATGTTTGCAATATTTTCACATAGAGCGTATCGGAGTGTATAATTAATAAAAGAAATAAGTTTTACGAGAGGAAACTCACTGAGAAGATCGTTCTGTGGTACCCATTTCCTTTTAATGACATTAGGAAGATATACATCTTCTCCTCTTTCGTCATTTTCGTATTTCCATATGAAAGTGATCTAAATGTAATTTCGATTTTCATTCAACAACAAATGCTACTTATTATTATTACTCTATGCATTTTCCTTTTTAGTAATGATGCATCACTTCTGTTATATTCTGTTGTTATCTTAAGGATATTTAAAATAAACTTAATTATATTATATTCTGATGTTATCTTAAGGATATTAAAAATAAACTTAATTGGTCAATCCCGAGCTGAAATTGCTGAAATGAGTAAATTTGCAATGCTTCAGGACCCAGTACCGAAATGAGTTAAATGAAGAGTACCTCAGATAATTGTTGGAATGCATCTTCGAATATCTTCTTCATATCACTATCCATGTCTTTGCTTTTCACTATCGTCCCGAATGATACTAAAATGACACCACGTCCAGAATGATCCATAATTTGTTGATAATCCTGGATGATTATAGTAAATTTAGTATGATTCGCATAATTGATTCTACGCTATCCGCTTATATCACATACCTCAGTGAGCGGTGAAGCTTCCGAAATAGCTATTCCGCCAACAAATACAATTTTACGACTGACCAGACGGGGAAATTCTATCAATTCCTCGGTGTTGACAAAAATGAGCGAGCTTTTTTCCACTGCTTCCTTAATAATTCCACAATATTGTTTGTTTCATCTTCCGTTTTCCATTATAATTCGACATCAGCGTTAATTTTAGATATCAATAATGTTTCATAAAATATTAGAGCAGTATTTTTTGATCAGCAAGTGGCAGCTATAAATATTTCTAGAGCACAGAAACAAAGTAGTACATGAAGACATATTTCCGAGAGCCAATCGATTCAAATCACCGAGATTTTGCAAGAAGAACATTTTGACAGATTGACACAATGGACCTCTTTCAAGTAATCGTAGGACAACATCAATTCTATTTTCGTCTACATCTTATTAAATTAACGGAAAAGGATAAGATATATAAATTGTAGAAACATACAATATAATCGAATTTATTGGGTAAATGATGCTGGAGACTTTGAGCTGCTGGTTCCCAAATAAACTTTGTTAGGCCATAAGTTATTGCATATATGATAATGTTTGTCAGTCTATCACGGTAATTCATTTTATCTGATGTGAAAGCGAAAGAAGCTGAAACAAAAGATAAATCGATGGAAGTGGTCCCGAAAATTTAATTTTGGAGGTCATAGGTTTATTTAAAATTTAGTCCGAAGTCATACAGTTCTCCTGATGCACTGTAACGAATGACTACCGAATCTTACTGGGAGTATTAGATGGAAAAAATGTATAAGGACAAACCGGGCACATAGCTCGGATTAGAGCTTACACCAAAGATGTCGCTGGTCACTTCGAACAAATTAACTGCCGTAGCGGTAATATAATTGTTGAGACCGATCCTTTTGAAAATGGAATATCCGCAGAAATTGATATATTCGGTGATACCCAAATCGTACTGTTCTGCCTGCAGCGAATCCATCAGCTTGTCGTCTTCCAGATGTTCTCAATATTCCTTTTTTTTTTCTTTTATCGAGCAGATTGGCTTGAAACAATGAATTAATTTGTCGGAATGATAAAAGCATGATAGTTTAAAACTTACTTCGACATGTCATTCTTTGTGCATCGGACAGACGTTTGAATAACTAAAAAATAAAATCACTGAAAACAGGAATTACCACATTTATAAAAGCTTGCACAACAATCTACGTGTTAATTCAGGTTGAAAATTTTATTTTCAGGATAAGTGCAGATTTATTATCCCACATTTTAAAATAATTGAACTAAATGAATTACGAAACCTGGTAGACTCGCAAAATACTATTCCCCTTCTTCTTCCACATTATTCCCGATGAATTTTTCGCGAGGTACGGATTGTTTGGAAATCTCTTCCGTATTATTTTTGCCAATTTGGAACCATTATTTGATACATCTGGATTTAAATCCGGCACAAAAACAGTCTGTAAAATGAACAAAAGCTTAGCGATTAACTTAATATAAACAATGAGACCAGAAAATATTCCGTTATTTGGCTTCGGCCTCCCCCCCCCCCGCATTTCATAATTAGATTTTAAGCTAATTTATTTCGAAAAATAGAAATACATACCGATGGTTTAACTTTCTTTATAGCAAATTTCGTTGAAGCAATTATGGATTTTTTTTTTTAAATTTCAAAAAACATACGACATCGTGTCCAGCTTCAACCAGAATATCCGCTATTCTTCCCATGAAATTGACATGACTATGACCAAGACGTGGTGAGAATATTAATATTTTATAGGAAGAGATAGGCTCCAACAGTATTAGAAATAAGGCCATATATAAATGCATCTTGAAGCCTTGTCAGATGAATTAATATTTTGCTGTGAAACTATCAATTCTATAAAAATACAAAGAGAAGAAATGTTGAATGCATCATTTAACAGATTACATTCCACAAAGAGAGCCTTAATATGTGACATTATTAATAATTCGTTACATTACAATATATTTATGATATATTCCATAATTATTTCTTAGGAAGATGAAGTATATGACCTCTAAGGTCATATACTTCATATACTTATCAGAATCTTATCAGAAGTGATACATTTGCTCTCTCCAAGAAATCAAAGAATTATTTAGCAAAAATCAATACGCACATTTTATAAACACTACTGGATGATGACAAATTGATCTTTGCTTCTTTGTCATTTTACAACATAATGTTCATATTGGAAGTTGGAACAAAATGAAATGCTTGTACTTTAAATAATTCGCTAGTATATTTCAGCTGGTAACTATTAAATAGAAGAGGTAAGCCAAGGAGAGAGCATTAAAGAGAAAGAGAGTATTAACAAAAAAAAAAATATTTAATATTTTGAAGATACTTCTTTCCGGACGATTTTTAAATATTAAATATTTTGAAGATACTTCTTTCCGGACGATTTAAATTAAATATTAGGTATTTTGAGCATACTTCTTTCCGGACGATTTTTAAATATTAAATATTTTGAAGATACTTCTTTCCGGACGATTTTTAAATTGGATATTAGGTATTTTGAGCATACTACTTTCCGGACGATTTTTAAATTGAATATTAGGTATTTTGAGCATACTTCTTTCCGGACGATTTTTAAATATTAAACATTTTGAGCATACTACTTTCCGGACGATTTTTACCTGATCATTTTTTCTTTCAAAACTTTATTTCTCAGTAATATTTGATAACATTACAAGTAATAACAATCTTCAAAAAAAAAAATTGCACTTTTCAACAATTTTTCCATACTTCTTATTGATAATATCGATTGTTTCTTACCTGACAAAATTTGAAAATAAAAGATTTTAAAATTGAAACTTTGAAATGAATTACTGAATTATAAATTCTCGGAAAAATTGTACTAATTTTTCATTCTTTTTAAGTCTCTTATTAATTACGATAGGTAAAGTTGCACCTTTTTTTGCCACATACAAAATATCTAATTATATTGTAAAACTTTGAAATTTTGCTATCAGAATCTCTAATTAGGAAATCCTTTATTGTCTACAACTTTTTAGTAATTGATCATAATCGAAATCTCTTATTAATAATCGAAATAATTGAAATAATCATAATCGAAATCTCTTATCACTAGCAATTATGAAGAAACATTATGAAAAAACTCAGCATATAGTTTTCGAAGTTTAATTTATAGGTTGAGAGTTTATTCTCTTATTCTTTTTCCATATTAATTTTAAGTTTAGAAATATGCTAATTTCTAGCTTTTAAACAAACTCAAATTACACATATACATTGCTCCATTTAGCAAACATCACATTCACTCTACAACTTTTTACCTTTTGGTTGCTTTTTTCAACACGGCGGTTTTCTCTCGAGTGATTTCGAATGCATATTATTTTTCGACCTGTGCTACTATTGCTAATTGGTATTGGATAAATTATTAATTGAATAGATTCTATTTCATACTAATTACGCTAAATGTTGATTTAAAAATTTTGATCACTTAAAATTTAATCCATTTATGAGCTTCCATTTCCATGAAATTATCATTTCAAACTTTTAATTTGTGAAATAATGAAGAGAGATGAGCGTAATATCGATGGAGATAATTTAATTTTATTTCACCTGTACAATTTATTCATTAATTCATTTCAATCAAATTTTCATTCATCTCATAAATCAATTTTATGAGAATTAATTTTTTTAAAAAAAAAATCTTCAACAATTTTTCATTATTCATCCAAAGTGCTTTTTCTATTTCTTATGATAGCAATTCAAATTCAACATATATGATTAATTTCTTTCAAATATTTCATTTATGCAATAAATGTACATAACATATATCTTAATATCAAATTCTTTCTATTCCTTAAATTCGAAACAATTCCTAGTGATCTAATTTCATTTCACTTTTCCATCTTTTACTCCTAAACTTGTTAACTTTTAATTAAGGAAGTTGATAATTTTTAGTTCATCCTACTTCAAACCAAAGAAGTTGGAGTTGTATAGAAAAGGTAAGTAAGTATTAAATGAGAGCATTATCTTAGATAATACATCCTTATAATTGCAACAAATTTTATATGTACAATGATTCCAATGAATCTTATGATTTCTTTTTGTCACTTTAATTACTTAATATAAATTATATCTTTATTTAGTATCATTAATACTAATAAAGAAAAAATTACTGCAATAGGAAAAATTTCATAATCGAAATGAAATTTTCATTTGAAATTTTATCATAATATCATCATTTTATTGCAATATCAATGAAATTTTGCGGTATAAATTTGACACAATTATATAAATATGAATATATACGTTGTTTATTTAAAGAATATAACATTTTGTTGGTGGGCGATTGATATCATTAAAATATCTGAAAATTTGCATTTATATTATAATGGTAAATCGGAGATGATTGAAAATAATCTTAATAAATTATGCAATAATGTGGATTATGGTCGTTATGGAATTTCATTTGTTGAAGATACAATATTTTTCGATGATAAGTATATTTTTGAATGAATCATTAATATTAGTAATATGTAACATAAAATAGAAAATTATATGAAATGGATAAGAATTAATGATAATTGAAAATGAGCAATTTCAATTTAAACATTACATTTTCTTTCATTTATCATAATCTTTTAATAATACTCATTTATTTATCATTTTGGCTAAAATAATTCCCTTATTACTTTTATATTGTAGTACTGTAACTGCCTTCGTTGAAATCTCTTATTATTGTTGCAAGAAATGTAAGGAATATGAAGTATGTAAGGAAGTTATTTTTTGTTGTTTAATAATATAAAATAGAATAATAATCTTAATTATGTATATCCTATTTTGAAGGATATTTGAAATGTTGTAAGATGAAATTACTAGTATTCTATCATTATAATATGTGTAGGAAAAAAATAATTTTTTGGATACATTTTTAGGTTCGATGATATCATTGACTAATTTTATTTACATGTAATATTTTGTTTAAAAATTTTTATTCGGTAATTTCATTGTAAACTTATAAATCAATAATTAAAAAATTAATTATTCAATTTTTCCGTTTTGGTATTAGAAAGTTTTTGAGAGTTTACAATAGTTTTTCTGCAGAAATACTCTGATAAATTAATAATGGAAATTTTGTTGAATAAATACTATGAAAAACGATTGGAACCTTTATTGGATGATGACAAATATTGTTTGAACACTTATAATGACAAAGTGGTATGTGTAAATATATTGCCAGCCTATTTGCATATAAAATCTTATTAATATTATTATTAGATTTCAAGATCACTGAATGAATTTAAATTATTTTTTTGTTTTAAAATTAATATTTTATAAAAGTGGAAGAAAATATATTTTTATCTTTTAATCGTTTAATTGTTTAAATTTAATTTTCAAATTAGTTTCATACATTTTTTAGGATTATTTTTCAATCGATTATTAAATTGTAAAGAATGAAAAAGAATTATTTCAGAAGAATGTCGTAGATGATGCACCATGCATACTTCTTCTTAGCTCTAAAAGTCAAATGAAAATATACAGCGGTCCAATGCTTTGGAATAAAATTGATATGACCATTTATCATCCGGCAAATAATTTTGTCAGTCAGAAGTTTACTTCATCATCCATATTAATATGAGAGTAATCTAAAAATCAATGAATCTTATGATTTGCGAAAGGATAGCATTAATGTTACCACGAAACTATTGAATATATCTTAATTTTTCAAATGACTGTAATCATGATTTTTAATTGGAAAGAAATATGATGAAATATAAAGGATGAGTTAAACAACAAAGAAAAACCTCAAATATTATATTTCGATGGAAATTCTGTAAAATATAAATGATATATTTTTCAGTAAGAATTTTTCGAAATCCAAAAAATCGATTTTTAGGAAAAGATAATCAGAATGTTTGAAAGTGGTACGATTTCCAAAAATATGAGCACAGATGTTAATGATGAACAATGCTTAAAATTCGAATCGGAGAAGGCGTATTTTATATTTTGTTGTTGTTGGAGCAATCCATATAATTGCATTTATGATCCAAGAACAAAACTTACTGTTGAGACGAATAAGCAAATTTGGCTAGAATTAGCTAAAACTCATAATCCAGCATTTACTCTTCGAATGGAAGCAATAAGTTTTGGTAATAGAGATATCGAATGGTCATATCATGAATTCATCTATAGCATTCCTAGCAGTAATAATTTCTTATACTTCTTTTGATATCATTTCATTTTAATACAATTTTAATTTCCTTATTATTTCAATAGGTGTAAAAGGAAGTTATTATAAGTAGGCAAAAACAGTTCATAACATTAAAATTTTATTTCTTCATTTATTCTGTTTTCCATTTAATCTATAATTGACTGCATGATTCCATGTTATATGTTTTCCGGTTTCGATTTCGGTTTCGGTTATTCACTGAAAAACATGTAAAGCATTCAAGAGGAGCAAAACATTAAAAGTTTGCATAATTTCCAGTGTATAAGAAAATTCTGTTTACAGAATCAGACGAAAAAGATATTATTCCGGGATTGAATGAACCACTTTATTATTGTTCCAAATTAGTTTCTTATGACGATCCCGATAGTTTTACTCGCTCTTCGATTACTTGGAAGCGAATAAAAATTGAAGAATTTCCTTTGCGATATCGATTCTGCAAATTTTCAATTTCACTTCATTTTCAAAATAATAGAGCAAAAAGGTTTGTGCATGTATATAATAATTATGCAATAGTGATCGAATATGATAATACTACTGAATTACTTAATTTCATTGATCAATTTTATTTCGTTAATTTAAACAGAAATAATTATTTTATCGAAGATAAATGAATCATGCTGCAATTATTAATTATCATATCGGTAGAATGAAATAAAATATTTGCTAATTATAAATTAATAATTGATAAAAGAAAAAATAAAAACAAAATGAATAGCAAAAATAATGAATGAATAGTTCTCCTTTCGATCACTGAATTGAACATAATAATATATCAAAGAAGCAACGAATAAATAATTTTTAAATGAAGATATATTTTTAAAAGTTGCATGTAAAAACTATGAGGATGTCTTTTATCGTGGAATTTTGGTTGACTTCGAAACGACGATCATTTCCAAAATTGATGAAGTAAAAAAAATAGTGATAGTTGATAAGGAAAGATTATTTTATCAATTCTAATAGGAATTGAAAATAGAAAATGATTAAGGTAACTACGAATTGAAAATAGAAAACTAAGGTAACAACGAATACTAAGGTAACTACGAATAAACAAAAAGGTTGCACTGAAAGATTGATTTAAAAAATTTTGATTTAGATAAAAGTTCGCTGCTGACATTCAATTACTACTGAAGACAAAATGTTGATTATATGAAGTAGCGGATAAGACATTAGAAATGGCAGATAAGTATTTTAGAAGAGAATCTTTGAGTAAAAGATATTTCTGAGTTAATCTTATCCGAATGAAACATTAACATATCAGTGTTATTAGCACTTTCTCAAATTGAGACAAAAGCATATAACTTTTATCTTAAATTTTGCATTAAACTATTAGTTAAATCAACTGTATATTTATCCTCAATGGTAATTTGACACTCTGAAGATTATACAAAAAGTTTTTGAATGATCAAATTTTTATTATTTCATCTAATTCTATTGCTAAATAATTATTCAGCGATATAAAATGAATCAATCAACTTTTGGAAGCAAAACATTTAAATGTTTGTGATATATGTAATCCTATTGAATTTACCAGATTATTTAATCACTCCAACTATAATTTACAAGAGAAATTTGAAATGGAAAAATCATGAAGAGCTAACTAATATTATTTGTCAATAATGTGGCAAAATTATATATTCAGGATCGAGTATGTGGTTAAACCGGATATTGAAAATACATGTAAAAGAACACAATGTCTACATAATTCACCAAAATGTTTAACCGATATCTTACGAGCAAAAACATCACTGATTAATTCGACTTGTTGCTGTGGGAGTAATTTATGTAGCACTTGGACGACATATACCGATTATAAAGATTTAAACGTGAAATCGAAATATTTTACTATGTATTACATTTTTCTTAAATTTAGTTTTTAAATTTGATTTCTAAGATTCCTTAAATTTAGCTCTTTTCATCTAAATTATTTTAAAATTTGATTTCAACGAAATATTATATTTGAAGGAAAGAGAAAGAAGAAAGAATGAAAGAAAGATAATACTAATATATTGAAAGAGGAAAGAGATAGTAGAAAACAAAAAAATTTGTTGATTTAAATTTAAACTTTGTTCTAATGGATATATGTTAGTCATTAACATATTAAATAAATTTAATTGGATAGATTTCATTGACAAAAAATGAAATTCTTTTTTTCAGCCTTTTTAAGTCATGCCTTCATCAATCAACAACATATTTGAGAATCTCTTTATCGAGAATTACCGAATGTGTAAGAAATTTTGATTTCCGATTTTGGGAAGAAATTTTTATCGATGAAAGTTATTTGATCACATATACATTTGGTCACAAAACTGTAACAGTAACCGACGATACCGGTAACAGGTTAATAATTCATTTCGAATGTATCTTTGTTTATTTGGAATTTTAATTTAGACATATAAGTAATTTGAACCTGTTGTACCTAAAAGATTTCCAACTGCTAATTTTTTATTGTAAAAGTTCATAATAAATTAAAGCAAATTTAGTTAGCCCCGTTTGATCCAATTCATATACTGTAATACTTTATATCCATTTGTTGACCATAAATATATTCGGGAAACAATATCTAATTATGGATATCCAGGAATTTTATCTTCTCAGATAATTTTTAATTTGAATTTGAATTTAGGCATATAAGCAGTTTGAACATTTAAGCATATAAGTAATTTGAAAAAAAGATTAGAATATCATTAGGCTACCACTAATAGCCATCCTGATAATTTACACTGTTGTAAAATAGTTTAGTAGTAGAATAAAGTAGCAATCTTCAAAAAAATTTGAATTACGAATTATCATTTGGTAGAAATCAGAAAAGTTTATGAATAGAAATATCCGAAAAATTTAAATGCAAAATTTAAACTGAATCTTATTCGAGCTAATTATAAATCGTAATTTTTGGAGTAAAATAGGCCAACAGAAACTTGGCTTTTTTTCCTTATCTGTTTGGCTTTTTTCCCTTAACTTGGCACTTTTTTCCTTATCCACTAGTTTTACATAATTAAAAAATTTCTAATGACTATTTCCATTTTGTTTCTTGTCATTTAAAAATCTACTAAATAATTTTTTATTATTTTAATAATTCAGCATGGATAATTGCCAATAGTTTTGAAAAATAAAATTTACAAAAATACTTAACTTATTCAATCTTCACTCTCTTATTCATTGTCATATTTGTAGAAAATCGTTATCATTGTAGGAAAAGTCTATCATGTGCTATTTATCAGACATATCCAGTAAGAGATCCATATTGTCATTTGATGAAAAATTATGAAAGCGAAAGGAGTATCTTGCAGTATTATACTTGCAGATGTAATGATACTTCATTCTTGGATGGAGTAAGTTTATCATCAGTTGCATCATATTCATCATATAGTGGCCCTATTTTGCCAACATGCTTAAGATAAAGTTTACTAATAATGCTAATTCAATAAGATATTATAGTAATTGCAACCTAAATCCTTTTAATCTACCCTTAAATCCTAAATGATAATATTTTTACTTTGCAAAAATTGTGAGGAAAATAAGCAATAAATTATAAGCTAAGTAATACTTTTCAATATCAGTGCATATATACCTTTAAGTCTAATACTAATATAATATATTTATCATCATATTTTTTGACAATCTATTGAATTTAGAAAAAATGCGATGCCGGAATTAGTTCTGATTTGTTACTGGCATCATCGAATTGGACTAGACCAACTTGCTTTTTTACCAATATCACTGATCATCGACTTATATATACTTCCGAAAAAGAAATTAGCTTATACGAAGGTTCTGAAGAGGTATTTGATGATTATGTTTGGTAGTAATAATTAAGAAGGAAAAAATTACAAATGCTAATTTCAGAAAAAATTTTTCATATTAAAATTTATAACAGTAATAATTTTACTCTCTTTCAGGAAACAGAAGAAATACCGATTTGTGCAGTAGCTATAACAATTAGCAATTCCGGCCTATTTTATCGATTTTACAAATCGCGTTATTCGGAATTTCAAGAGGAAGTTGAATCAAAGAAGCGTTTTTTTATAGCTAAACGAAGCAATCATACAGTTTATACAACATTATGTAAATCGAACAAAACCACTCCATGTAACAGTATGTTTCTATTCTATTTAATTTCTCTTAAAACAATAATAAACGATACAATATAATTCACCTTATGATAACTGATCAAATATCAGTTATAAATAGTAGAGTGGTGATTTGTTGTAATAAGTATCGATTAAATTGAAATGATGAAAAGTTTCACTTATCGAGTAATCTGTTGAATTTTATGAACTACTATTTATCGAGTAATCCGTTGTAATTCGTTGAATTTTCCATCACTCATTTGTCACTATGGAGAAGTATGATTTTTTCGTTACAGATATACAAAATTTGATGTTACATAATCTAAGATATACGATACGTTTTCATTCTAAAACAAAAAAACCACAATCTTATCATCGATGCGTTATTTCTGGTGGTACTAATGTAGAGATGAAAACGGAAAATTGTTCATCAGCAACCGGTTGCTTCACATTCACTTATCATAATTCACTTGAAAAATTGGTTAGCAAAAGAAAGATTGGATGAATTATTTTTTAAATTTAAACTATCAGAATTTAATTGTAATTTTACGAAAATCAATTATGGAAAATTCAAATTTTATATATATAATCTTTATTTTCATTTCATATCATTGATTTTATTTCTTGTTAAAAAGATTCTACATATGATGTTATCATCATCATTTATCAGTAATGTATATAGAATGCTATTTGTTACTATTTTGAATTTTTTTGACTGCGATTAGCAGTAAATATGAAACTTAATTAATTATTGATTATAGATGATCAATTAATGATTTCAGATAATTAAGAGGGAGATTGTAACCCCTCCAGTATTTCCTTCAAAAATTAAAAGTTTTGATAAGATGAAGAAAATTCTACAGGATATATGAAATTTAGAAAGATTTTTCTTAAGTGATCCTATACGATAATTATTCAATAATAATGATAGTATCTCTGTCAGCATAATCCGACTAAATATCCATTTCAGAGTGGTTGTGTGGACAAAATACCAGCATTAGTGAAAACATCATTCGACTTATCACCTCTTTTGTGGTGTCATCAAAAAACTTATTATGATACCAAATACAGATGTAGAGCTTATAAAGGGATCACAAATGTGACAGCAAGTGGAACTTTATGCTGCTGTTATAAGGATTGCTTCACTATGTTTGTACCTTTCACCATTACTTTTAGAAGCTGTAAATTTTGGACAGACAGACAGATAGATATTGAGGACTTTAGGATGTAAAATATAGCAAAAATATTTTCAAGTTTCAAATGTGCTAAAGAAACAGTACTTGGGGAATAATATCAGACGGAATGGATTGGTTCAGGTCTAAGTTTTTGAGACTAATCATTGCTTCAATTTAATAAATCACAAAACTTACTCAATTTCTGCAACAAATCATTAAAAAGCATATTGCAGTTTAAATTTTAGGACATATGAGGAACATGGTTTCAACCCCTTCGAAAGTTTGTTATAGCGACTTGATATGCTTGTTTTCTTTGTGCAGTTTGATGGTTATAATACTTTCTTTGCCGGATTTCCTCACTTGTGTAGTTAATTGCATAAATAAATAAACTTCGTTCTCATAAAAATGACTTCCAAAACGTGTTCAGTCAAACTCTAAATCATTATTCTAAACAATCACAAATTTAGTCTCGATAGCAAGAAAAACATCAGCCCCATCTAAGAACGTTTTAATCATTACATCTAATGGCATCTCCCGGAAGACGCAATAGTTCAATTGTTTTCTGTTTATTCTTTATTTCAAGAGCAATTTAAGTTCCTTGTCAGATTCATTCCAGATGTTACCTCGTCAAATATAGTCGAATAATTACACTTCCACGATGCCCTAAACTGGATATGATCGAGTAAAAGGCGATTATTGAGTAAATTAGTCTAATATCCATATCAGATTTAATAACCATTCAGTTTACAGAGTGATTTCTTGAGAAATTTGTGTGAAAATATAAAATTTGTTGTTCGCTGCTGTAGGAATCGATAACGATTAAAGTTCTATGTTGGAAGAGACATAAATAAAATCAGACAACATAACATAAAATGAAAAAAATGAGATGAGAAAAATTTTTTAACTCATTTTTTATTTCAAACTTGTTTATTATACTTCACAACAACCGTTGCTTATAAAGAATATTTATAATTAAGTTGAATGAAAATGGAATAGTTTCGAATGAGACTTGATTAAGTTAATAAAAATTAAAGAGAAATGAAGAAAGCCACGAACAGCAAACAAATGTTAATAAAGCTTAATTCAATATAAGAAAGAGAACTCAGGTGAATTTTTATGAAGCCAATAAATACCAATCAGATAACTATTTTCAAGAGTCTGAAAGCACACAAAATTGAAAACAGCAGCTAAAATTCAGCATAAAACTCACATGGTTTAACGCAATCAGAATTTGATAATTTCAGAAATACCTGCATTAAAAACGTAATATTACTACTACCTGCATTAATTCAAATATAAATATATGAAAAACTGGAAACTGAAACGAAAGAAATGAAATAAATAAAAGCTTATAAATTAATACAGCACAATTTTAAAATACAGAAAATATAAACGAAGAATAACGCTGGATCTTCATAATCCCTTTTCGGATAGGACGAAAGTCATGTTGGATTCCTAAACAATATACTCAGTCGCTCAGCAATTATATCCACTATTCAAAAGTTCATTACCACTCATTAGAGGAATAATCAAGTCGTCCATATTTGGACAGACCAAATTTTTCTCTAACAGTAAGCGAAGTTTATTTTCAATCCAGCTGGAGACAGTACTCATATCCACCAATTTGTCGCCCACTTGGGGAACACTTCTGATTGAAAGTTCCGGGGGGGTGCGAAAAGCATACCTGAAATTACCAATCTGAAGCTTCTCAATGTCTCAGTGAACTTCTTTGTCTAAAAACTCCATTGCCGACACTTGAAAAAGTCAAAGTAGTGATTAACAAGAAGACTTACCAAAGTCTGTCAGAAGGAGGCGGTGGAAAGTTGATCGTCATAGTGCCCTCTAGGCGTGTTACATCGACATTTAGCAATAAACGTGTCGAAGATATGCCCTCCATCACCTAAATTGCAATAAGCATTTTCTACGAAATAGTGCTTCCAAATTCAATTATAAAGATACAACGAAATCGTGAGCTGTGAGGAAGAATATATGAAAGAAAATGGGGAAAATCTCGAATGCTTACTATTAGGAAAAATGGCACATTAGAAGACAAATAAAAAATGAGAATATGTCGAAAATGACAGAGCCCTTGTTTATCACATAATAATGGATATGAATCATTTCTATTAAGTTTAAAAAACTAAAACTAATGAAAATACAACAAGCTTCAAGATGTTATTAGCTGACTTGAAGCTTATACTACAACAGAAAAACAAACCTTTTTTACAGGTGGGAATTCAGAGGCACCTTGAAATATATTACTGCTAGCTATTTTATCAACCACATTCAGTAACTTTCTACCCGTACTTTCTTTTGCAATCTGAGTTCTGCAAAGCATAGATTTTAAAGAAATCTAATCCAAGTCTGTTCAGCCCTAGAATGCCAAATGAATCGGTATTACTGAGAACAGCAAAATTTTGAAATATCCCCAAAGGAACTGACTTCTCCATTTTAGAACCAAAATCTTCATCTGGACTGCTTTCGGGAGATTCTGGAAGGTCTGAATCAGAATAATGATGAACGCGTATCGGGATTTTCACTTTGTTAATCTAAATTCAAAATAACTGCTTAATTCAATTTTTAGTTTCAGTATTTTTTTTGAATATTCAAATCCGATACAAATTTAAGGCAGTACCTCTCTGCACATTCCATTCTTGTGCATTCCCTCTTTCAGTCTCATTAAATTGACTTTTGTTTCCAATGTCAAATGGATTTTACCGCGGTATTTCAACTAGAAGAAGAAGAATATACTTCCATTTGTTATTTCGTTGATATATTTTTTTTTCCTTAAACTAATTAATTTAGTATAATACGATCCTTATCAGAAAATAAACTTATTAAAAATAAAAATTGAAAACACAGAAGCTGGCTCAAGTAATACATCCATAATTGAATTTCTCACTCAAATCAATTACAATGCACAACAGATACCTCAAAATCAACCCAAAGCCCCCAATCATCCAGAATAGGTGAATGAACAGAAACAATTTCAGGAGGAGTAGTGCCCAAATCCAAGTTTGGAAGCTCTAGAGTTTCGATAAAATACGGCAACTGAAAGTAAATAGTAGAACTATTTCATTAAATCTGTGAAGTAGATCATCTGAAATAACCAGTATTTTAAATCCAAAACCAAATAAGAATTTTATCGAATTGAAATCAGTTAATACAAAAAGTCTAAGCCCTATTTCTAGCACACCTCGCTTAGATTTAATAAACTTACTTAGTTTCCAGTTTTTAATTATTGCACTTTAAAAAATATATGTGGTAAATAGCTTACAAAGATTAATGTACAAAACATAAGTATATCAGAACTGTTAACTAACATGGAGAGTGGCTAATTTAGACTGAATTTTGTCCTGGACTTGTTTGCACCAATATGTATCATGACAAAAGTCATAAAATATTCTGAAACATATTGTGCAAATTTTATTGACTACAATTTTTCTGAAAATAGTGAGAAAAGATAAAAATACCTCTATTTATTTCCCAAAAGCTTTTCATGTTACGCACAAATATTAACGGTAAAATCATCAAAAAATTGAATGCCAAGTAGATGAAATCCAAACCTAGCAACTAAAGCATTTACAGACATAACAAGCTGTGAACCAGTATCAACTCTTCCAGGATTCCATTTATTACGTCCCAAATCCATATATATAATATTGCCATCAGTTCGTTTTTCGTTTCCCTCGCGTGGAATTTTGAGGATTTCATTAATACATCTAAGCAGAAATGAAAAATTTGAATTTCATAAAGGAAAGCCGAAAATTTACTGAAGAAACTTATTTCAAAACTAATAAATATTTGAAAAAAATATGAAATTAAAATCAAGGTTTATACTTGTTGAACTGCAAGCGATTGCTGACGTAAAGAAAATACTCGAAACTCATTTTCAACGAATCTGAATCCACAGCTGAGAGAGGAAGTGAAAAACGACGATCTGGTGAAACTTTTTTCACATCACTTATTGGAAGCTATAACATTATTTTCTATATCAAAAAATCCAGTCATTTAATGCAAATATTTTTAACTCGATTAATCAGCACTTCATCCCAAATTATTTTTTCACCTCCGGAATTGGTCATTTACCGGAACTGTTCATTCCTCAACTGCTTCACTCCACATACATTTTACCTACAACAGTCGTTTGGACTGTTTGGCTTTCTTTGGTTGAAACTCTCAAAATTTGTTCAATTTGTTCAATTACTGTTATTACTTGGCTTCAACTTATCTAATTGTGTGACTACTAATGAGTGAGATTCATAAATCAAAGCAAAAATCGTCCAAACCGTTATATCTACAGCCGCAGTGCTGTACCGACTGCACGCTTCTCGTAATCTGCAATAATTCAGTTACCGCAGTAGAAGTAACGAAATATTTATGTTGATTAGATATTAGATAATCAGAAAAAAACTGTCTGATAGGTAACAACTTAAAATATTCCAAAGCATCAAATTATAACAGTCAAGCGCAAAGATAATATGCAAATGCAAATTGATGTTTAAACATACCTCCACCAGTGTTAGCCAAACATAGGTGCATATCAACTCCTATGCAATTTCCATATTACTCTACCCATATAGTAACTAAAAATCATTTATAATTTTTTAAATCTACCTGTGAAACCAGCGTTCTTTTTCTCTAGCACTTCGAACAAATAAGTATAAACTCCGGCCTCTCGCTAAATTTTTACTTCGACAATTTCCACATTCATCAAAGCATGAATTGTCATCTGAGTTTCTCTGATTACTTTCTGTACAAAGCACCCACTCTGCAATAACGATGTATTGTTTCCAAATATGGAACCTAAGAAAAAATATGCATTTTTTTTAAAATCAAATTATGCACTTTTTAAATAAAATAAAATTCTCTTGAATTTTATTTTATTTGCGATTTTTTTTATTTTATTTGCGATTTAAAAATGCGATTTTTTTGCGATTGGAAAAGTCTCAAGAATGCCAAAACATATTAGTGTTTAGATAAAACAGTTCAATCTGCCAAAGACCATACGGTTCAACAATAACTGTTTAATCATAAAATGGAAATAGCAATAGTTGAACGATTAGGTTAGTGTATGCTCTAGTGTATCTACATCTGTGTAGCAACATTATCAAGCAGTTCATTTGATTAGAGTGATTTTGCGCAACTTATCTATGGCAGAATATCAGGAGCAATGAGAAAGACATACGCGAATCTCCACCGAAGTTTTCCTGTGAAAGATGTTTCATACCATCCTCACGCATTGCTTCTATTGATTCTGACCTTAAAGTGAAGATTCATACATGAGCTTAGAAATGAGATGAAGTTTGGAACATTAAGCTAAATAACCCACGCATGGAAAGTTCGTGACTGGCTTTTACAAATAGCTCCACCGTGTGAAAAGAGTAAATCAGAAGGTTATAACAGTTCTGTGATTCTAAGAAACTTCGACTTGATGCTGACTTTCTTGGAGTCGCAAAGTGTAAGAAGATAGTAACATTCATATAATTTAGAAAACCTACAATTTAAGGGTCTCAATTCTTCTTTTCAGTGCTTAGATAAATCGTAACCTTATTTTCTTGTTTTTCCCGCTTATTAATTTGAGTTCACTGATATCGCAGCTTTCGTCACTGGATGATGCAGACTTCGCAAATTCGATTGCTTCATTCACAGAACGTGATTTTCGAAGTAATGGAAATCTTGATATTTCGCTATCTCTAGAAGCTAAGCGAATATGTATTGGATATTTACGACTCCACCAACGTCTTCTTGCCAAACGTTTGGGTCGCAATGTGATCTAAACATATGAAACTTGGACCATCCATCAAGAACTATATGAAAATGAAGTAAAGCAGTTAAGAAATAATAAAAATCATATTACCGTAGCTCCCACTAGATTGTATATGCTTTGACTTGAAACTGTAGGTTTTGCCTCTGTTAATGTTGGATCAGTGTGGAACGCATGTTTGAGAACAGCTCGTTCTGGACGTGAAATGCGCAATAAATTACCATCAAGGCGTACAAGAACTGTTTGAACATTATTAACATGATAAGTTGACGAATCGTAATTGCCACGAAGTTCATTCATCCAGCCCTACAAAGCTCACTTTATTATTTCGCAAACAACTTCGGAAATAATATAATCATACCAAGGTTACTACCAGCACAATCAATAATTCCTTAACATGAATTTGTCATTCCTAAATTCTTACAATTCCAGCACATTCTAATTGCAGCTCTGTGGGGAAGAACAAAAAACATCACAATTGGAATACATTTAATAAATCTTTGTTGATTTTAGCAGATCATAGCTCAATCGCTTCCTCAAATGAATGTTCTATTTAATAATGTGCACAGGAGATAAACTATGAAATATCTTAAAGCAAAGCACAACATAATGAAATATAAAATAAAGCTTAGATCAAAAACTATGCTATGAACTCTAATGATATATCGATCACATAATCTGGTCCACAATGAATGTATTGAAACCAAAAAAAATTCAATTGGAACTAAACTGCCATTAGCTGAAAAAGGGAAAATGCAAAAAACAAATACCCCAATGAAATTCCTTTTTCAAGTGAGTTTAGCAGTCAGCGAATACATCTGAAAAGTAGAAAATAATCGCGCTGACCTTATAAATTTTATTTTTTGGAGTTTCCTGTTCCTTAAACTCTTCAGATATGTTCACAACAACATCGCTATGTACAGGAAGATTCTTATTCACCGGTCCAGATACAAAAAAGTACAGGAAGCATATAAATGATATGTACAAACCCCAAAGGAAACCACTCATAAAACCTGAAAAAATTTATTGCAAAAAATTACCAACGAAATATTTATAAACCATAAAAATCTTATAATTCTTGTAATCTGCGATAACGCTACAACAGGAATAAATATATACAAAAGAATGAAAACGAAATAGATACAAGCAAACCAGGAGAAATAATGGAGAATGCAAGAAGTAGAAGCGATAATGAAAAGACGCGATGCCGCAAAAAAGGCAAAATTTGACACCTAAAACGATAAATTAATGTTCCACCTGTACAAGTAAATTAATCTGTACTATGTTTATTGCTAAAATGGTATCTTCGAGCATACCGCGCTTTTGATGCACGTAAATCAACAGCGGACATAGCATAAATCTCGTAAAGAGATTTCAGTTAATTTTTTATTTGTCAAACTACTATTAGCCTATAACAATTCAACAGCTTAACTACGTGAAAGCTTCTCGAAATTGTGAAGCAAAACATCTGCATTGTAGAAGAAGTATAACTCATCTCTTGATCAAAACTTGAAACATCCATGGCTGCTCAAACTTCATGGCTTTACTACTTTCACCACTAGAGGCTTTAAACACATGAAACCAGTCGAAAAACGATGATGACTGAGTAAGTAAATCCTAGAAAATGATTCGATTTTCCGCATCTATTAATTACATTATTAAGCTAAAAAACGAAGAAGCTTCGAAGAAATCATGCACAACAAAGGGCTAAATTTGTTCCACGCAATGAATAGGAGCTGAAATATCAGATAATTTAAGCTAAAATAATTTTTTCTTTTTCAAAAACATAGAAGGAAATAACGGACCTTATTTGAAGGAAGCGCTTCTGCTGGTGCATAGTCACTATTTTGCATTCCAATTTCATCCTCGACACAACGTGCATCTTGGGCAGTGATCGTTTGATAGACTTGTCCAAGCGAATCAGCATTTTCTGAAAATGAATGTTACTTGCTGTAGGATCGTAGGAACTTACATGCATTTCAAGCAGAATTCTTGTGTTTTAAAAGTAGACATGGTGTATACTAAACAGAACATTTATTATGCCAGTTACTGCATTGAAATTCACACTTGCGACTTTTTTGTTCTTATGTGAGTGCACCAGCTGACGCTCTCTATTCTTAGCTTTATCAAAGATAGCACTTATGCGAGTCATATATTCCGCCCGAAATGACGAATCACTGGAACTAGTTGAATTTCGATCATTGGTTTCTGCATTAAGTAATTCAGGTTGCTGAAATAGGCATTATAAGTTCTGCATATGAGAGAAGAATAACTGTAGTCAATTGAGATGGCTTGGTTTGAAGTTAAGCAGTGAAATTCCAAAATCCACCCAGAAGTATGTAAACGGCATTGCAATATAATAATCTTTTTTTTCTAATTATAATAGTCTCTGTCCAACAATATTACTCTATCTTTCTTTCCTTAGTTCATGCTCTGTTATTTCTCAACCTCACATTTCAAATGATACAAACTGATTATCCCTTTACAGCATCCACTATCTATCTGTTATCTATTTCTGACCTATATCAAAAATTTGCTTCTCTTTCCTCCATATAAAATCATAAATCCTAAAAAAGAGTTTTGATAACCCTGTTAGTTGAAATTTTGAAATTATTGCTTCAATATTCCAAACAAAGACGAAAAATCCATTACATGAACAGAAGACAAAGCGGCCCGCAGTTTTTTTTTTGAGATTTTTGCAGTCTTACTTTTAGAACTGCATGAAGCAGCCGAGTCACTATCGCAATCACTTGTATCTCGCTGAAAAAAACAATAATCAAGTGTAGCAGAGCATTTGGAACATTTGAAATTTTTTTCTGCTTTCTACAAAAACAAAATCTTACTTTTTTAGACTACTAATAGATTTGAGAACCGATCAAGAAAATGTAGTGTACAAGGGAGAAGCAGGAAGAAAACAATGAACTTGGTCAGTAAAATCGTGAATTCCCGTCAAATATTGACTTCTAAATAATTTGAAGAAAAAAGATTCACAAATCATGCAATACTGTAAAGAGTGATCAGCACGCTGAAAAACTGATGAAACAAACAAAATTGATAACGTCTGATGCAAGATTAAAATACTTCTAAAGAACAAGATTTAGATCGCTATCGGGTATTAGCATCTAAATATGCAAAAAGGCGGCTATTTAAATAAAAATGATGGAAGTAACTGTTTGACTTACCGGTAAAGCCCACAAAAACTGATGCGTTCTTGGTTGCTCGCACGTTTGCCCTCTGTTATAAATTTTTTTTACCTGATCGGATTCATTCGCATAAACTGAATCATAAAATGATGTAACAAATAGACCACTGTCTTCTGAGGCATTTGAGTTTTTAATAACACTTAATTTCTGAATGATAAAGCTTTCAAGCTAAAAAAATTTAAAATTTCATGATTAATCAGCAATAATTCCGAACCCTGAGATTTAATATTGCATAAATGCTTACCATTATCGGTATAATCGCTCTGAGGAGATAATAAAAGCGAAGATTTTGACTGTCCTCTTGCTTTCGTGAATTTAACAATAGGAATTTCTGAAGATTGGAATGATAAATTTTTAAGAGAAGAATAAATATTGATCCAGTTTATTATAATTATTTGATCTGAAAATTTTTTAACACTTAACTTTCCTCTTTTTCGAAATGAAATGAAAAGAAGAGAAAAAGAAATTAATAATGTAAGGAACATACTGCTTGTACTGCTTGTATCCTGCATCTTTTTCCTATAATGACTTTCGCCTTCATAGAGCTCCATTGAAAAGCATAATCTGAAATCATTCTTAATGTTAACTGTTGCAATCTATTTGATGAACATGACACAATGTCAAACATTTACAAGCAAATATTCATCATTATATTTGCAATCTTTCATATCAAAACGAAATTCCATTCCCTTCCTCGCATTATCCAAAACACAAACAAAAGATTCGTTAGTGAGAGTGATGGAATAGAGCAAAGCAAAAAAAATTTACCAGTCAGCTTCTAACTCAAATCATCATCAACACGTGATAGGCATTGAGGGTAGTAAGAGTAAAAGACCATTCTCAGACTTCACTGTTTCAAACCATGCGACTTACATGAAAATCTTGTCCATTTATATTTAATTTTATTTTGTATATGTTTAAATACTTTGTGTTACATCAGGTTAAAAGACAATAAGACTGAAAATTTGAACATGTTTAGTTGAGTAGGGACGGTAAGTAGGATATAGCACTAGCTACGATGTACGTATTCGTTTGGAGCTATCCTGAACCAAATTTCTGATTCCGACTTGTTGTATTTGTTTATAGCAAGTGTAGATACTTTCACAGAGATCTCTGCACAAATCACTTGGTTCATTTCGATTGCTTCTTAATTTCCTACTACTTGCTTGACTTTGCAGTTCTATGTTATGGAGTCGTTCCCTTACCATAAAATTGACTTATAACCTATCGAAATTTACAGTTAGGTCACATTCTGATGTTTCATAGCTTAATTTGCTGTTGCTATGGTGGAGAAATGTTGCCAACTAGCAGAACATCTTGTATAAAACGATCATATTCTGATAAGTTTATTTCGTTATTTGAAAATATTGTTTCTAAATGGAATTTTTAGGTTGTATATAATTTTCAATATGTCAGTGGCAGCATGTGTTGGTGGTAGTGTGGTATTACTTCGAATTTCATCACCAGCTTATTCGGTTGTTCGTAACTTGTTACGTCCAAGACGAAATATACCATTCCGAGGAATTTACAAGACTGAGGGCGATTTGGTACGGAAAGATGATCTCTTAGTGTGCCAGCACAAAATGAACTTCCATCCTGGCTTAAATGTACGAATAATCAAATTATTATTTCAAATTAAGGTCACCTTGTTACGATAAGTAATATAATATGGTTGTATTCCGGACTGTTTTCATCGTTTGTATGAAAGTTTGAGGCCATGATATCGCATATTTTGTTAGGGAAATTTTGGAGTGAAGAGTGATAAATCGATAATTCCTAAGTCTTGTGAATGCACTCTTTTGTCACTGATAAATCATATTTCCATAAAACTGTTAGTGAAGAATTAGTTGGAGGATGCCCTAGAACCGTATTTTTCGCAGGCTATCACTACCGTATTATTTCATAGTATTTTAAGGTTTATTTAAAAAGAGATCGAGGTGGACAACTATTACTCAAAGCGATAACGGATGGTCACGTGATGATTACTCAAGAAAAAATAAATCCAGACTTCTCTATACCTGAAATGCTGATTTATGAAGATATGGAGGAAGTTTATAAATTAACATTCAATGTGCTTCCACTAGATATGTCACAGTCGTTTAGGTTATTAAATGAAATTTGATAAAGTCTTGAAAATATTTTGTTTATCTCTTGGATTGATCTATTTGTAATAGTTTTACGTGCAATGTCGTAGTACACAATTCTTTGTGAGTAATTATCCTCATTTAAAACTTCTCCCCCGACAAAATGAAATTTAGTTCAGATGTTAACTTTGGCAGAAACTTTTTTTTGACCTTTTATTCATTGGTCTCACATTTCAATGGTATTAGAACATCACTTAACAATTAAATGATCTAAAACGAACTTTCAGGCCTTTTAGCTCTCTCGAAGGTCTGAGCTCCGAAAGCTGGATAAGCTTAGAAGTATTTGGCAATAGGAGGTAATAACTTAGTGGGTCTAAAGTCTTAGTGAGTCCAGCATTACCTAAACTGACCAGAACTTTCACCAGAAGAAAAATAAATTTAAAACTTTAAATCATTAATTTTAACAGATTTTCTCAAAACATTTGGTTCCTCTAAAAAATTGAAAAACAGTTTTAAAAGACCAAAGCCACCAGCAGACAAGAAAAATGATTCTTGTACGCGTCATTGACGGCGATTATAATCCTTCTCCATGTCTTGGAGAAATCTCGCTGTATAATCCTTCAATTCTTTTGATTCTGAACGTGATAAATTGACAGCTTGTTTTGCGTACTTAAGTGCTTCTACTCTGCAATTTGACGACTAGTTAAAATCATCAAAATCAATAGTATAGTAACACGTTGTTTGTGGTGGGCCATTGTATGTTAGATAAAAGTCTTCGGAAAGAGGCTCGGTGTTAATTATATCATTTCATGCGCGAAATTACTGGTAATTCCTATGGAAATCTTTTTAATTTGATAAACATAGTTGTGTGAAAGATTTCCTCTAGTTTTATTTTATTTGACACTGCTCTAATATACTTCGAATTAACGCACCTTTGACCGCAATGGTAAAGCGCTTCTGAATAGTTACAATAGTATCCAGGCAGTAGACTGCTGCATTCGTCGATATACAATATTCTGTCTATACCAATTTCCAAATATTTTTTTGCAAGATCAAACCTGACTGATTTGAGCTAGTTGAAAAAATCTTGTTAATCATGCAATTTGGCTCTGGGCCACTGCTTAAATAATTCCCTCTAAAATTCCATTCCTTCTATGGGAATTTTAGACGGGGATTATTTTCTTCCATTGGGAACTAGACAACGTGGATGTTCTCAGGTCAGCCATAAATGAAACACAGTAGTAAGTGACTTCTTCAGCTGCTGCGGAAAATTATTCCTCTTACGGATCTTATCAAGGAACTACTACAATAATAACAAATAAATATAGAAATTTTGTTGCAATTCCTTTTATATCAAAATATTGACCTCAATCCGTCGAACGAGATTTACCTGTTCCTGGCAATCAACAAAGCACCATAATTATTGAGCATATTAATCGTGTGGAAGCAATTAATGCCATAAATTTGGTGTGAGATCTGAAATCATAGCAATCGCATTTTCTAGATATGCCCGCAATGTTATTATGAAATTACGCACCATTCCAGAGTGAAAAGAAATTTTTAGAAAAATTACCTTCAGGGCTTCGTCCATGAGTTGTGTAGTATCATCCAACCTTTTCTCTTCCCTGTATCGAACCTGCAATGTTTAACTTATTGTTGAAATAATGATTGCGATGTTAAAAAAACGATGAATTAGCTTACAATGAAGTGGGCATATTGCTCGAGACACAGGCCGTAAAGGGCAATAGGGTCTGTAAATACAGTTCCATACTGATTGATAACTTGTGGAATATCACACGAACCACTGTAGTTTATTGCATACTTCCCCATATGCTTCTCCACTACCTTCAGTAAAGTTCCGTTTAGTTAGTAAAAAATTGTGCAGCTAATATATATATGAAATGTGGAAGCCATAAGCTATCTGAAGAGAAAGGAAACTTAAATATGTTACGTAGAAGAATATCACTGATTCATCCTTTACATACTTTCATTTGTCTAGCAATGCAATGCTTGTAACCAATTTCGGCGTCATCTAATTTGCCGTTCTGGGCAAATATGTCGGATAGTTTGAGACTCACATCGATAAATTCAGGGTCTTGATCTTGTTTATTATGTAGGTTTATTAACCTGAATCACTGACATTCGAAAATAAAAGTGTTTTGTTCAACGTTTTAAAATTATCTTATTTTTCGGCAACAGCTGTAGAAAGCTTAAAATTTACATCGAAACTCCGAAAGTAAAAGATAGCTGTGTTAATAAATGTAAAAACTCGAAGTCGATGTAATCCACAATAATAGAGCGAAAATAATGCCTCATAAGCAGAAAAAGACAAAAACTGCATGGACAAACGATATCGAAAAATCATGTAAGATATATCAATGGGGAAAAAAGAAAACCAAAGCCAAAAAACTCGACAAAATCGACAAACCGTTGCAAAAGATTGCGGAAAGCCTGCTCTGCTTCATTCAGTTTCCCCATTTCATAATAAGTATTGGCTAATTCGTCAATAATGCGACTAACAATCAACTCATTGTTTTGTTCACTGGCCATTTGCATCGCTTCCTCCAGGACCATAACGGCTTGGTCATATTTGTGCTGCTTCCTGCATAACCATGCCTTTAAATGAACTTAGTGCATGGCTTCCGTATATTTCACAAGATATTATAAAAGTTGACACAAATTATTATACTGATGCTGAAACAACATGCTAAAAAAATAAATGTAACAACATCCTGAAAATTAGATTAATAGTGATGAAAGTTCGTTCCGCTACTTGAAATGTGGAAATGTGTATTAAAATTTTCATAACAATAGTATTAATGAATAGTTTTCGAATTCTTACTTTTTTGACTTTATGTTTTAACGGATCCTTATCAAGTTCAAATGGCGATACTCCGACTAAATCCTTGAATGTTGTCGCCAACGAGAAACCAAGTAAAGGAGCACCAGCACCTCGAGCAAACCATCGCCAATACTTCTGACCCGAATAACCGCTTTTCTGGCCGTTTGTTTGGCCATGATTCCTCAGAATTCTTGAAAATACTACCAGTGCTGTCAGCTGTTGTTGCTTACGAAATATGAACGAGTAACAGTTCAGTAGCCTTCCATGCATCTTTAATAATCAGATATCCTGAAAGTACTTTGTAACTTAACTTCACAACAAATTCCAAATAAAAACAGAGCTGTCATATTTAGCAGAAGAGAATCGAATTTTACTTAAAAATTCCACAATCGAAAATTTCGATTATCTGAGGTCCAAAATACGAAAGAAATAACCTTTTCAAACGTCAACCTTTCCGAACCTCCTTCAAAAACAAATTTAATCAATTCAGCCAGCTAAACATAAAACATAGGACCTTCAAAGATTACCAATCGTGCTCTTACAATACTTTCCGAAAGATCCAAAATTGAATAAAATATCAATCTTTAATTGTCGAAACCGATACTTTATTAAACAATTTATTGATATCCATTAACGAACTTCTATGCTTTACAAATAGTGATCAAGATAAGAACGACGTCCAAAAAATAAGAGTTCAAAATACTTTTCCATTTTGATTTCTAAGTGAGCATCTGTTACTTCATTCCAAAAAACGGTAAATTACGAAAACTTACGAAAATACTATTCTTGAATAAACTTTGTCTTTACATTTCGATAAAAAATTCATCAGAGCAAGAAGACATTTATTCGAAGTAAAACACACTCATTTCAGGAATAAGCAAACAATAAAGCAATGTGTAAGTTTCTAATCACAGTGAAAAAGCTAATCCATTTTGATAGCAAATGATGACCCGCAGGAACAACCCTTCTCAGCGACTGGATTGTCGACGATACGAAATGATGATCGCATCAAGTCTTCAAAATAATCCACTGTTGCACCTTTTAAAAATTGTAGTGATCTCTGAAATGTCTCATTTTCTAAATAACATTACAAAAGAATCATTGCATTAAAATGCCTAGTATTTTTCTCCACGCCTGCATTAATCTAATAATTATTTGAAGTCTTGTTGATAGAAATAAAAGCAAAAAGCGAATATATTTAGATAACGAAGAACTTCCGTTTACCAGCAAATGCATCTGAGATTTAAGTTAACTTGTACTGCCTTTTTTCATTTGTACAAATTGTCACCACGTTTCATTAGTATTTTGACTTTTTCGATATAATTTTGGATTTATCAGAATTTTGAAACAAGCATTATTGATTCACTATCTAAAATGAAGCAACCTCAACTAACCTTCAATAAGACAAGTTGTGAGTCTCAATTTTCTCCCTATCCCTTCCTAAAAATCCTACGAATCTCCAAGTAAAATGCAAAAATAAACCTCGTCGACAACGATTTTAATACGATTTTTGCAGAAAACAAAGTCATTGTCATTGATTTTGTTGTCTAAACTCATTTTATACTCAAAACCAGAACAGCCGCCACCATCAACCATTATTCTCAGATGCTCTCCAGTGCTAGCAACTTCTCGTAGGCGATTGACACAATTTTCAGTAATTTTTAAATCAGTAGAAGCACCATCCTTCGCATAGCTTCTTCGAATCACAAACAGTAAATGCCAACTTTTCATCGCAATTTTTGGTCTATTCATTATTTTTCATGTCTGGAAATGACGAAATGAAATTCCGACAAATTAGTTTTTTTCACTGACATACAAATCTCACTAAACTAACAGTATTTATGACGCTGAAGTTTACTCATGCAAATATTGGTTTTGAAATATCTTTAATAAAGTGAATTCATATCTCTCCTTGACTAGACAAAAAAGCAGTAATCAAAACAAAAGAAATATCTGGAAAGCCAAACCACAGTATAACAGACGAATTCTTCATCAGACAAATAGGTAATAAAGTAGAAAGTTTATTTCAGCATTATCTTATTAATTTGACAAAAAAATTCAAGATTCAAATCTCAGCAAAAGAAAAAATCTGTATTCGTAAAATTTAAAACTCAGGGCGTTATATATCGCGCCACGACATCATAACAGGTTTAAAATCCCAAATCTAACATTTGAAAAATGAAGAGAAAGCACCGATTCAAGAACCTGACGTTTTAATTGAACTCAAATCTGGTGCTGAAGAAGTATTCGGACTTGGCGCTCGTTGTGAAGACTGTATTTTGCTTTTCAGTGCATCCAATCGCATTGATTCTAATTGCACAGCTCGTGCTAATCCTTAAGTAGTTATATTTCACATGCATGACAAGTATCACATCTCAACCAATAAAAAGAGCAACGCTCTGAGAAAAGATGTACTTTCAATAACCTAGCTTTGGCACTACAGTCAGCAAACGAAAAGTTGAAACAGAAGTTTATTTCCAAATTACCTTATAGCTTTAAAAAATTTCATACCTCATATATCAGCTACAGAGAAGATCCATATTAGATGCTAAAGGAAATCAACATAGAAAAGATAACAAAGGGAAAAGGACTAACCGACTCTTGTCATGTTCTCTCCTTTTCAGCGGAAGGGTATGAATATAACTTGAGAAAAGCAGATAAAAAGTAAAAATATAATTTAAAAAAACCTGTAAAATTGACATGAAGTCGTTGCAAAGCTCTTTCGTCTCTTTCCAAATTTATAAGCTGTTTACGAATCTGAGCGGCGTTTTGTGACATTACCCTCTATCATACTAAAAATATATGGCCAGAGATGCTGCCTTATTTTTAAAGTGAAACACTTTTAAACTGACCATATAAAGTTAAACCGGAAGTAATAGCTGATCATGTAACCACCATTTAAAAATTCATACAATACATTTAAGAATTCTGGAACAAATTATAGTAAAATAAAAATAATAAAATAAAACACTAGAATAAAAATAGTCGCTATGTTACAATGGATTCGTAAACATGTTACCAATTAAATATTTCATTTCTATGAAAAGATAACTTTATTATTGCCATCACATTTTACTAGAAATTTAGAAGAAAAAAAACTGAATTATATATAACAATGTTGAACATTATGGCATACTATTTTTATGCACAGTAATACGCAAGAAGAGAACATAAGCAGTGAGAAAGAGTCAAACGATATCACTATAAATGCTGATAGCAATTATACTGTCAAACTAGACCAGAAATCCTAGTTTGAAAGAAAAATATTTGTGAATGGGTAATATGTTTTTCATACACTTTACCAGAAATTTAAAAGAAAAAACTGAATTATACATAACAATGTTGAACATAATGGCATATTATTTTATGCGCAGTAATACGCAATAAGATAACATAAGCAGTGAAAAAGAGTCAAACGATATCGCTATGAATGCTGATAGCAATTATACTATCAAACTGCACCAGAAATTTTAGTTTGAAAGAAAAATATTTGTGGATGGATACCACGTTTTTCATAAGATATGAAAAACATAGTATCCATCCACAGAAGTGATGATTTAATATAACAAGCTTAATCAGTTCAAAATATAAAAATAGTAAAACCCAACAAATCAAAATCAGTTTAGTTGAGCCGGAAAATATTGGTAAAATGAGACAAATAGAATCTTTTCTTTAGAGCCTAAATATATTTCATTATAGATTAAGGGGAAGAAAAACATTCAAAAATGAGGGAAAGTGAATGAAAATATTTAAGCTCCGCTTATCGTTTGAAAACAGATGCAGGACTATTTTGGTTCGCTCTTCGTCGTTGCCGTTCAAAACGTCGCTCCATTTCGTCTAGTAATCGCGGTGTATATCGTACAACCAATCTTACTGTACCTCGTGCCGATTTCAACAAGTCCACAGCTTTTTCATGACTTTCCCATTCAACATTAACCCCATTTACCTAAAAATCATTGTATCCCAATTATTTTTGGGGAAAATTAAGCACTAAAGTCTGATTATTCAAAATTAGAATGCACTTAACAATGTATTTCGAGTGATTTAGTTTGACTGCCAGAATACTGAAAATGTTTCGAAATGAAAGACTTCAGCATTATCATTAGGCAGTCATAATTCCTACGATTTTATCAGAATTTTTGTAGAAACAAAACTCTTAAAATTATGATTATCTTTATCTAATTAAATCAAACAACAAATATTAACCGCAATCAACTGATCGCCACGTTTCAATTGTCCATTCCTGTCAGCGACACCCCCCGGTATAATGCGAGATATATAAATAGGGGAATTCTGCTCTTTCCCACCCATAACGTTGAATCCAAGACCTTGATCTGTTTTTGGAAGTTCAACAATTCGCGGATGTGCATGTCCCTCAGCTGCTGCAAACGCTGCTACAGTTGCTTTTGCAGTTGCACTTGTTCTAACCTAAAGAATTTAAAGGAAAACAATATACTTCCTCAAAGTTGCTCGAACGAAACACCAAAATCTTAAACACAGATTACACCAACACACAAAAAAGAGACATCTCTTTGTTTCATAAACATTTCAAGTAAAGAGAAATTCGATAATTTTTTTCTTGAGATTTTGAAAACTACACCTCTCGAGAACTATCAGCATTGATCGTATCATAAACACTTTCAAAAACTTCGCGTACTGATGAGAAGAAATCAGACTGTAAAATATTTTGCAACGAGGTAAGTCTTGGACTATTCAATTCACCGGTTTTTTGTACATGTTCGATCAATTCAATAATTCGTTGTATATCTGCAATAATGAATTACCTTTGGTTTGTCAAATTTGCACGTTAAAGAACTAACATTTCTAGACATTATTTAAAACCTTTCAAAACATCTCAACAGTAACGAGTATCCTAGATACTGAACCACTTCTAACAAAGTATACTTTATTTCCTTAAATAAAATGATTTTGGAAAGAAAAAGTCAATAAATACCTCTGTCAATATGAAGACCATCGGACGATTCTTCCATCAAAAATAATCAAATTTGTATATATGACTATCGACTTGTACTTCTGTTTCTAAACTATAATTTTGGAAGCAAATCTCGAAAAAATCTTATTGGAATCATGAAGTCACCGATACTGTTCGATATCAACAGTGTCTGATTTATACCTTTACCCCCTTCAGATTATTTTCAAAAGTTCAATTGCAAAAAAAAGATAATCTACCATTTATCTCAAAAAAGATTTCATGCAAATAATATCGTCTAAAAAAAAACTACAAAAATTTCAATTTAAAGAAATAATGAAATATTTGACAGCGATATATCGCATCGAAGTAATGTGAAAGTCAATATTCTTTTCATGAAAATGCAGTGTGAAAGTTAACATTCTCTTCATGAAAATTTTTGTATTCTACAAATGCCTGCAAAAAAGAACACTATATATGCACAATAGAGATTACAAGCCATGTACAGCTTAATGGGAATAACGAGTACAAGCACAACACTAAATTACAGGTAATTTGTGAAAATAATGAAGACTGCTCAAGAATTTAATTCTAGTCCTAGGTAATCAGTCTGAAGAATCAAGAAATTTACCAGTCAATAGTCTAAAATTTAAAGTTTGTACGAATATCTGAAAGAATTTCTCGTGTGAAGAGTGTAAAATCCTCATTACGATATCTCCATTATAACTGATCCATTAAACATTTCGCATTTATTTGAACCTGTGATCTTCCATTTTAATTGTTGCATATCCGATAGAATCAGTTTAAAAAGTTTTGTTGAAAATCTTTAGTAACTTAAGCATGATTTCATCACCAAAGTGAAGTCTTAGTTACAGATGAAGTGGTACGAAATAGGAGGTAACACTCGAAAACTATTGTAATAAGACATACATAGTATTAAACAGGTCTGGACGAATAATCGATTTTTCAAATCTATGCTTATAAGTAAATTTATTAAAAATGATCAGCTATGCTCATGTTAACCAAAATTTTCAAAACAAATAAAAAAAATTTATGAAAGTTCAAAACCAGCTCCACAATTTATTGCATAGATTAATTTACGACGCAATGTTTCAGTATCATCGTATAGTGGTAACTTCAACAAATTCATACATGTCGCAGCAGTCGGTAGTTTGTCGATGTCGTGGACAAGCTGAATACCCATTGGTGGTGTTAAGGTCTAAACAAAGTGAAATTGGATATTTGCAAATCAAAAATGGTTTTTATGAGTGAATCGGAGAGGTTTCTAATTATAAATAAGAAAACAGAATAAAATCCAAAAGATTCCATTCAATCTCAACTATTACTCTTTTCCACATAGTGAACACTCAAAAATGTATAAATTCTTTGCGAAAAAACAATGATTTGTGAGCTCTTTTTATCTACCTTGTCAAGTATAAATTCTCATTTTAGCATAGCAAATCAATATCAGAAATTCCTTTTTTAAATAGATAAGACAAAATATTGGATTAATTTTAAGACATATTACCTTAAACCCCATTATGGGTGGTCGTGGACAACCAGTTATAAATTTTAACAGCTTCTTTTTGTCTCCAACTGAAAATCCATTGATGACCGACCAGAACAGGTCCATGTATTCCTGATCATGTTCTGCTTAAATAAAGGTTTTTCAAATGAAGTAAAAACAATTATAAATCGCAACTAAGCCGTTTAAAGCATTGGGGGTAAAGGCGACCAATGACAGAACTACGAAGTCTTACATTTTATGTTATGTACAGCTGTGAATTTTTTGAGCTCATTGAAGTCAATTTCTGAATCACTACCGCCAACCAACATCGAAATTTCTAATGGCGAGAACATTCGCAGCCATTCGGGGTCTAAAACGTTCCTCATGCCACTTCGAAGAGCGGCGATCATCGGTGAAAGCTGGAAAAAGTTTGAATATTTAACTTGTTTTGAGCAACATTCAAAATTTATTTTCATTAAATTTATCAGTGGCAATGGACATGAACTTCTGTGCTAATGAAAAAAAATCACAAGATGAACTTACTCGCTTGGAAAGGTAGTAATTAACATATAATTGTATATATTCCATCCTGTTGTCTGCTGTTACTTTGATACAACCGCCATTTTTCTTCAGTTCTACCTTCTGCGGAAAATGATAATTACAAGGGAATTCATTTCTTATCTCAGTAATTTAAAAAAAAAAATTTTTTTCAACATTTAAAAAGCATTATGCTTGCAAAAGAATTCATTTCTTACCTCCGTCACGCCAAAATTATCAATTATAACAGTAAAATCAAGGTCAAGAGCCTCGATTTCTTCCAATGGGCAGCGCTTCAAAAACTTCAAATTTTTATGTAGGAGAGGATCGTATGATTTAACTAATTCTAAATCTAAAACTGTTCCGTCCGGATTTCCCATCCACTGCAGCAAAAAGAAATCCGCAAAGCGAATGTCTGCCAATAAGCCTTCATAGATCAACTGCAAAATGCATAAATTAAAATATCAGGACTGCAAAACATGATACAAATCAAGTCAACTTCGCTAACTTAACATCACTACTCTATTAAGATAAACCATCTTCGCGCTTGCATGAGATCAGAGTAGAACTTCAGCAAAAGCGTTAAAGCAAAGATAGTTACAACGTGAATAATTCAAATGAATAAGAAAATGAACAAGTTAAAATCAACTAAAAAACAGATGTTTTGGTTGCTGAATCCTGGTACATTACTGCTGCGATTTCAATTTTTCCTACTTTCACAAAACTAGGAACTCGAAACTCAGTAAAAATTACCTTAGCAATAATCCGTCCGATGAAATAGAAATGATCAACAAAATTAGTAGGATAAAGAAATGGTGCCAAGGGATTTGGATATAGAAGCTGTTCATGGGTTGCAGTAAAAAAGCCACGAGACGGATCAAGACCAGTCTGAAGAAGTTCGGAAAGGAATTCCCTGAAAATGCCACCCCCATCAACGCCAGCTTCTTCTAGTCCAGCCCAATTTACCATCTGTACGCGAATTGTCGATTTCATATCGGGAACTGAAAATTCAACTACAACAGTGTAAGTATTAAAATTCTGCATAGTTAACGATCCTCATGGTCTTTTCCTACATATACAATATGGAAGAATTACTCAACAAACATAAGTGTTTCATTACTTACCGTTATGGGGTTGTAACGCTCTGAAAGCATCTTCGTACAAGGTTGCTCTGTGTACAGCAATAAAATGTCCATTTCGGCCTGAAAAATCTTTTTTCATTTGAAAGATTTCTTCATATAAAAAAGGTATGGCAATAATTGACTTTCGAAGAAGTTTCTAGGAATATTATTTTATGGAAGAGGCAGAAGTTTTTCTTAATTATCTATAATTCTGTTACTATTATAAAAAATATTGCTGTACTTACCAGTATCATTCCGTATGCGATCTCTCAGAAGCAATTCTGTGAAGATCTGAAAATATTCGGATAGGAAATTAACAGTAATTCAGCTACTTAAACCTTTTTTGCCTCATTCACATTTATAATTCACAATCAAAATCACGAAACAAAAGTACATATTTGTAGTAATCATTTACATTTGCTTAAAAACGATTCATTGAAAAAGAAGTGAGCTTACCTCAATTCGTTGCATAAAAGGAATAACGAAAGGAATATTGCGGATAATCGATAAATTGCGCAACTCACTGACACTTGGAGGGTCTTCATTTGCATCTGAATCCTTGTTATGAAGCAAAAAACGTACAAATTCAAATGGGCGCCTTGCACGACGCCGATGACCATATCCATTTTGCCACATTAGCTAAAATGATGACCACCTCTGTAGACACATAATAAAAACCATGTCTGCAGAGAAATAATAAAAAGCTGTCCCATCAATCTTCCAAATAGTTCATAAATATGCAGAAAACTCGAACTTTAACTACAGAAAAAACATTTTCTCCGAATTCCTATGTGAATGATGAACATTCATAAAAATATATCAGCGTCGATGAATCCCAAATTATGACCGTCGATATAGGATATTTTTTGCTTTATGTTAAAGATTCCTTCAGATATTTTAAAATCAGTTGACTAAGAAGCAAAATAGTAGCATCACGATACACTTACATTGGGAACTATAATTATAAAAAATGATGTCATCAACTATAAAAAATGAGTGGGAAAGTGAAATCAACTGACAGAATTAACGACAACATTCCTGTTATGACTGGACCAAAAATTGTGGGGCATGACGCAAACTCGATTATCTCGTTCGTGAAATGCTTTCGTTAACAAAGAGACATCCTAAAAGTAAGCTAACAGCACTTTTCAAAGCATGTCTTCCATACAGCATGTCTATTTAATTCTATTCATTCGACGGAATAATACAAAGGAAATCACTGAAAGAGTAAGTGTTAATTTTATTAAAATTACCTGGAATAAATCAGACCACTTCGAGCTTTTCACCAAAGACTGATGGAAAGGTCCACTATTAACAGGGAAAGCGAGATCGATTAAACCAAGTGTTAGATCTCTTAAAAGTTATAATTAATTATGAAAAATAATATATTAAAGAAAACAAAAACGAAGTAAAATAACTCAAAAACACAAAATTTCAAATCAACAATAAATCATTATATCATTATATTGCGAAACACTGCTAGCAAATTATTTTATTTAAGAAGCATCACTAAATTATACTGCAACAAGCACAGCCATTTTCTCACTGCAATTTATAAATACTGCAAGCTGTTTTAATGCCAATTCCTGTAATTTACGCCGCAAGACAGTTAAGGAATCTAGGAATAGCCTTACATTCCGCGATTCGCGGAGCTTACCGGCAATGAAGGATGACATCAGCAACTTGGTTTAGTGTAAGTGGGAAAACAGCATCTTCAACACCACCATTTTGGAAATCATCATCGTCAACTGTTTTCAGTGCATTTGTCATCAATGTTATAAATATCGATAAAGCTGGTATTAATGACTGTTCATCAGAATGCGATATGTTTTCACCCTGGAACACAAACATATCATGCATACAGTCAATCTATAAGAAAAGTTAATCTTTTGGGATTGACACAATTCTTAATATGCATAGTGTAAGGAATTTATTTCTACCAGTTAAACTAAAAACAAACTAACAATGCAAATATCTCCATTATATATGAAATAATATCACTAATGCTTGGTACTAAATGCTACTAAAAAAGAAAATGTCTGAAAAGATGAAGAACAACTACTGACCCGTTCAAGTATTGCTATTAGTGATTGCTTTACTCCAAATACTGTATTTGTGTTAAGGGACACTATCAGTTCCCATAAATTAGGAATTAGCTGCCGAAATGAAGAGAATAAATTCATCAGTGAAATATAATTTGCAGGTGAATGAATCCGTATGAAATAAGTTAACATGCAAAACGAAGTAATTCCTCCACGGTCTCCCAATAACGCACTTGTAAATGATTCATTCAATAGAAGAAGTCTCAGATTAGAGATTAGAGTTTTCAAGTAAAACGGTGCCGTCTGAAAAGGTTACTGGTAAATTTCATCTGGCAAATTAAACTTAATTAGACAAATAAATCTTCAGGTTAGCACTTCGCATGTTAATTTTTTAGCAAACATATTTGAATAATCTATAGTTCCATAGCTCTTCAGAAATTGCAGTTAAACAAAAAACATTTTTATATCTTTCCATAGTAAAAAAGTTCCCAATTTCTAATAAATTAAAATACTTTCCAGAATGTCCGGTTCAACATCACATGTCGTAGCCACGATAGCGTCATCTGATTCGTCATCTGTATCCGAATCACTATTATATCGTTCTGTCACTTCCAATGGGGGCGCAATATTTTGGGTGAGTGTTGCAAACACCGTGACCAACTTGGTCTTTTCCAAATTGCTTAATTTCTCTGTAATAAACTAATAAGATCAAAACAAGGTGTCCTATAACCAGGATACTGACAATATCTGATTATCAGCATGTCAAAATACCTTAAAATCCTAAAAGCATAGTAATACGCCTGAAGATATTTTACAGTTTAAATATTTTTTCAATAATTTGTAAGTTTTTTATAAGCAGATTTATCTATGAAATTTAATCACTTTTATCAATAAAAGTAGCAATAATTATCATACTCCCACGAATTGACAAAATAAGCTAAAAAACTGAGGATAATAAAAAAATATCAACAACTAAACATAATTGAGTGAAAAAAAACTAAACCTAATGGAAATGCCGAAGTAATAACCACAGCGGTATATGAACTTAAAAGTGCAGAAGCTGCATCTTGTGATGATAACCGATAACCGCCACTTAATAAACCATCCACAACATCAGCGAATTTCAAAGTTCCTGCTTCACAGAGTCGAGCTAGAAACGGCACTAAACAACAAATAGTAACCGCTTCAAATCTTGGCTTGCAGATCGTGTTAAATAATTCAAATATAGCATCCATTCTGCAATAAGAAACAATGAAACTTCGTGACAAAAAACTAAAAGTCAGCCAGACTGACTGAAATGAGAAAAGTTAATTTTTACTTCATTGGTAATGTATGATCTTGAAATAAAGCTATGATTTCTGTAAACAAAACTCATATAAATAATCGCTTCTCTATCCATTATTTGAGTAATTTTAAATAGAAAATTTAATATCCAAATACCATATTCGAAGAGCTTACTTCTCGGAAAGGCGATTTATAGGTAAAACTAATATTTGCAAAAGTGATTCAGAGCGCTGTGGAAGTTTTTCCTCGATATATAAAGCTGAAAAACATCATATTTTAGAAAAATGGATGAGTATTTTCGTTGTCACTGCCAGTGTTATCACGATGCCTAACAATGTTCAAGCTCTACAATCGCCTTACTATAGAATCCATTGGATTGAGGGATTTATTCCTAGTTGAGCAATAAAACGTAAAAGGAGAAAAAAAATTGACCCAAAATTTCTAAGTTTGTTCAATTTTCTACTTCAGAATTTTCTACGCTCTATATGAAAATAATGCCTAAAGCAAGGTGCTGAAAAGCTTACGAGATGGCAGTTGATGGCAATTCGAGAATAGAGTCAACAAGGATGAATAAAAACCATAATTCAACAAAGTTAAGCAATCCTCCTCCTTTATATATATTTCGAAAAATCGCAAGGCAGATGTATATGATTTGGTGCGATCGCTGTGTTCAAGAAGCACAACTGCACATCGCAAGAGTTGCTGTCGTCTCCTTCGATCCAATAAGTCGCTCGTTTTTAATTTTTGTGCTAGTACAACTGCTTCACTGCACAATTTTAACTGAAGTTGTAGTTCAAAACAAATAAATTTGAAGTTTGCGCAGGGTTATTGTCCTGGATTATTAAATAAAACCATAACTGGAACCATATAAACAAACTTTGATAGAATTATGGAATAGATTTTCCATTTTAAAATGCAAGACCAGCTTTTCTAACTCTTCCAAGTAAAACTAAATAACAAAAACTGCATTACGTAGGGATGTCACCAGATTTCGAAAACTTACAGTTCTTTCACTGTCAACAGCATATCGGAAAAAAAAAGCCAAACGAGAAATTTGTGTTTCCAATAATGTAATGCTCTGTGTTGGACCTGCCTTATCGAAAAGACTTCGTAAAAAAATATGAAATTGTTTTCTAACACGATATCCTCGATATGAAGATTGTATTTTTATGGCTGCCACTTTTCGTCTGAAAAAAAAGAATAATAAAACTCAAAGAGGTCAAAATGACAGGAAGGAAGTCCCTCAAACATCAATCAGCGGTTTGTCCACACCTTGTGAATGAACAGCAACCTGATAATTGTAAAATTTCGATTTGTTCTGTCTTTTCTGAAATCAAAAATTAAAAAGTAAGTTTATGTTAACTACCAAACTAGAAAATCAATAAAATATAAGCCAAATCCTATGCTTCCTGAAGCTGTTTATCGAATACCTTCACTTCTTCAAATATGCTCATTTGACATGTTGCAAAAACCGAAATGACGACACAACAATATCATTTAGAAGACCCAAATTCATAGGGAATTCACAGTCAATAGCATGATCTATGCGGAATAAGTTTAAATTTTCAGTAAACATTCCCATAATACTATTACCTGAATGGTCTGAAGCTAAGTGACACCGGAATCCTAAATAGCAGCCTATCTAGTATTTAGATGTGTTACCTGGATCGTTTCTGCCTTTCGATACGTTCTTCATTAATTTTTTTCATAAAATCTTCTTTTTTAGCCTAAAAAAAATGAACTGAATAGATCAATGTTGTGTTGCAAGACAAATGATTAAAATTAACATTTAAGGAAATAAATATGTGCGTAACTTAAGCAATAAATAATAGAACCAACCAAATCAGAAAAGATAGCTTCTTGCAATTTATTTCGTCTAATCGAGCCATTAAAATCGTAAAGGTTTAAATTACCAGCCATAGTGTAATCTACAATAAACCAATGTAGATTTTCCACACACTCCATGTAACAGCATTCAACAGCCAGCACCGGTGAATTCTGTGGTTAAAAGATCTTTGTCTGAACACTCCAAACGTACCAAATTATCACCCAGCATTTTATAATATAACGTAACTTTCATATTGGCTATCTCAAGTTAACGGTCGCAATTATCAGGTCAATTCTTAGCCTACTTTGCTCGAAAGAAATGCTGAATATTCTCAGATTACCCACAATTAATATACACCTCTGTGGAAGACTACATGTATGCCTTTGTTGAGCCAGACTATACTCAACATCCCAAAATTTATTAAATTTTGCCTTTAATGATATTGAAGATAAAGATTCAACAGAATTTTTAATGCAAAGACTTTCACTAACAAATTAGTGCATTGGCTGTCCAACGACCAAGCATGTGATAGAATTTAAAACTCTTTTGAGGTAACCAAATATTATATATTAATACATTCCTTTGAAGCACAGGATAACAAATATAGTATAGAAAATACAATTAAAAGAATGTCAGGCATTTAACAGCAAATATATCTTTATTCTTTCATCAAAAATCCAATATAAACAAAAATTTTAAGCGTGGCATTACAAAACACAATTAAGAATAGAAAGTTAAACATGAAAATAATACATGAATAATACAGCGAGACGTAAAACGTTATTTCGGCTTTCTTTTTTTCTAATACAACCATAATGATACTCACTGGCATATGGAATCCTCAGAGAATGATGAGGAGGAAATTCTTATCTGATTGAAATAAAATCAGATCCCTCCAAAAGGTAGCGTAAAATTTCTATCAGACCACTTGTAATGCCACGCTTTTTTTCTTAAAAAAGAAATTCCTCATCAATGGTTGCTCAAAATATACTACTAATCGTCAGATTCTTCAGTAGCTTGTTGCAACCAATCGATGATTGGACGAACTAGAGTTTTAATAGGAGCATTCTCATGAACAGTATCATACCACTCCAGAATTGCATCTTCTTCAAAAATATCTTGTTCATAGAAAAAGTGTACCACTTTTGCAGCCAATACTTTAAAATTTGGTTTGGATGCTAGATGTTCCTGAAAAACGTAAATTATGACTTCGTACCATTAATGATGAAAACTTAACTTTGTAAAATGGAAATTCAAATTCACGTTCGCACATGTACATAGGCTTTAAACCTGCTTTAAAAAATATGAAATTGTGCTCACAGTGCATAAAGGAGATAAAGGTTACCTCAACTGCAATAAGCGCCTGAATCTGGCTTTTTGTTGGCTTGTAGTAATTGACGAACAATAAATGCCAATTTTTAGCAAGCTGCAAGCAAAAGCTTATAAATATATGGAAATCTTTGTTTCCACAAAGATCAATCCATATTTCATTAGCGATTTGCCTTGATCGCTTTGATGAAATGTGGGTTAGTCTAAAAGACTTCTAAAAGACTAATCTATAACCCTACCTTCTGCAGCTCTGAAAAAGAATCTGACAAGGAAAGGAAAGATAAGAAAACGTTGCGTGCAACGTTCTCCATTGTTATATTGTACGCTAGTTTTGAACTGTTAATTTCTAAAATCAGATTCTTTATCAATTGGTTATCGCATTCTTCTTGTTCTGCTATCCTGTCCATACTTTCTTTAACCTGAAAATCCACAGCTGACCAAAGTTTCCTTATAAAATATGGAAATTCACATGAAGGAGCTCATAGCAAATCAATACAAAAATAAATCATGAAGGGCATACTTCTTCGTAAAATCGATCAACACTATCTATTTCTTTCTCATCGTTGGCTTGTTCTGTCTCTTTCAAATTATCCATATCTGGAACTTCGGATTAAAACATCAAACTATTGCAACTAAATTGAATTAAAGATTTCAAGCTGTAATGAAAAGTGCGAGAATTTAAAATTTCGAATACCTTTGGACATCACTGCTGTGTCACGTAGTCGAAGATTTGAACAAGTAGTGTGCCAAAAACTATCTCCATTTTCCATCCTCCATTCGAATCCATCTTAAAAATTTCGCAACTTATTATGTTCATTCCTTCTTCTGAAATTATCAAAACAAAAAAAAAGTTACGAAACCAACATTCCGACGGAATGCATTCGAACTGTTCGTCATCATCTTCATAAAATTCTGTACTAATAACGCTTCCTGATGGTAATGTTCTACCATCTGGTATCTTCACCTAAAACTGAGCCCCATGAAACAAATTTATCAATTATACAACCGCGGTGCACTAACTTGTGTCACAGCATATGTTGTACTGTACGATAAAATTACGCTACGATGTTAAACTGGCCTTACGAACACCGTATCGATTCGAACAAAATAAACTAACAACTTTTGAAAAAAATGAAAAAAAAAATGTAGATAAAAACCTTGGACGATAAGACACATCTCAGAAGTACAACGTTGCTACCTATTGTAACATCATCTGCAATATAACATTCCGACAAGTGAGTATTTGCACCAATTGAAACACATCTACCGATTATGCAGTCCACAATTTCACATCCATTGCCTCAAATAAATCTCTTGCGGATTTATGTTAAATAAATGTGTAGGTAATGAAAATACATCGTATTGTATTATAGCGAAATCATAGGACAATGACTAACATAATCAGCAATCCATTGTATTACTCTACTCGAACCGTTACATAATACATTAAAGATATAAAGGCGTACCGATAGATGTACCAGAACCAATTGAAACATTTTTTAGCATTACATTCAAACCGATCGAACAATTTTTTCCCAATAAAACGTTTGTTCCATCAAAAACTAATGGCAAAATCCTTAACAACAATCAGGTTAAAACAATATATGATTTCAATAGTTTAAAAAATTTCTAAAATTTTGAAACCAATATAATCAAACGTAGTTTCCAGGCATTTTAAGAAGAAGTGACACACCTTTTCGTCTGACAGTTCTGCTGCAAACTCTCCGATGGAGTATAAATATTATTTCGTCGACAAATATAAGTTGAATAAGAAATATTATCAGGAACAAGAGGGAAGAAAAATCGCCCCAAAATAAGCTTATTCATAAGCAACAGATCTGCGTAATCACTGAAATTAAATGGGATAATTGGAAAAATGAGAGAAGATCGTTGAAAACATCAGCAACAGACTATAGGTTATTCATACTTTTGAGGTAAAACCTGTAGCAGCTATAACTAGCAACATCTAGAGTGCTAAATATTCCAAATTCAACAAGAATTCGGACTTTACAGCTAACATTATGTTGAAATAAAACTTTTATAAAGCATTAGTGAAAATTCAAGAATCTCATAATAATTCATGTTTCCTTTATTAACAGCAAGAAAATTGTTTCAACTTTATTTATTATTGACATGTGTATATGTGTACATGCATATAAACATAGTAGTAAATTTTTCTCCAAATGCAATTTCAAAAAAAACAAGAGAGGAAAATGAACGTACTGAGTACAAAACGCCGGAATTTGCTTTGGAAGAACAGAAATGCAAATTCTTTGACCAAGAATCTCTTCGTTAACTAGAATTTCTCTAATTATATCTTCTTTATATTGAAAATCGAAGTTATCACTAAATTGTAACAACACATTTATTGAACAAAATGCTATGCCAGTGTCTCGAAGATTATTGCAAACAACGGAATTAGCTGCAAACACATCCTGAAAAAAAAAAGAGTAAATGAAATAATTTTTAGAACGTCAGAATATGCACAGAAATCTTATTAATTGCTGGATTTCTTCAACAAATTTATTTCATACTCCCCTCAAAACATTTTTCAGCACTTCTAAATTATCAAATAATAAGAAGGAAAAATTTATTGATTGAATATAGCAGTTGCTTAGCCAGTTATGAAAAAAAAAATACAAAATCAACAAGAGTAAAAGGTCAGGAATGAGGAAGATGAACAGAAGACGAAGATGCTAATCATAAATAATGTAAAAACAAGATATTTCAGTCTATCAATCTTTCCGTAATTCGGAAGAAACATAACTTGTCTATATCAAGTTTCGAAGCATCGTCTTTTTGGTGGTAGAATATAAGTCTTCCGCTTTTCTTTTCATAAGCGATAACAGGGCACTCATCTTTCCACTCACCATAAACCACCAACATGACATTATTCTTATCCTTCCTTATCTCCCTGAATCAAAATATGCCATTTCTTAAAAGTTGAAATATTACACACATTAAACTGACTTGCAAAAATGCCTCAAAAAATTGAAAACATAAAAGTTCTGAGCAGCTAATTTAAACCGATATTGTCCTGAAATATTACGAATTATTTATACTTGAAGCAACTGAGTTGAGTGTTAAGATCCGTTGCGGCGAGAGTCATCGGAGTTGCGAGTAACAGGAAATCCGACGTTATGACAGATCGACTATGAACTTCACGAAGCGCATCACCAATACTCATACAGTTCTGACATAATACAACAATAAATGAGTCGAATAGTACTCTCCAGTAGCTAAAACAAAAATATACAAAAAGTAAATTGGATGAGACCGAAATTATGAAATAAACAATCATGAGATGCTAATTTCGTTTTAATAAGAAAATTAAGAATATTACAGTTCAAAATATTGTGGACTCTCAAACGTAAGCCGGTAGCAACTATTCAAGCTCAAGCTGCCATACATACCGTTACTAAATTATCTTACAAGAAGCTAATTTTTTCAAGAAAATGAAAAATTAAAGAATGACATAGTTTAAAATACTTAAGATGTTAAAGCATAAGTCAATGGATAATTTAACATTATACATACATTAAAGATTTACGAAATGAACCTATTGAATAAATGAAGCTGAAAGTATAGCGTATACTTTCGTATCTATATTGAATTTGGTAGGAAGGATTAGAAACTAAATATGCTATGATGAAATTTAGAATCCAAATATGTTATGATGAAATTTTATACTTTATGATATGCTGAACAGCTCGTTCAGAGTGGGACGATAAAGCAACTACCACATCTCGAAGTTCAGTTCGACTAATCCATTCCAACACATAGTGTAGGATTTCGATATCTGCTATCCTTAAACAACTCTGAAAAAACCTCACATTAATAACAGACGACAAGACATAAGGAGAACGAGATTTCATCCATTTTTGTTCTATTCAGTCACTTTCACAATTACATTTTATTGAAATGACATGAAAAAAAAATCGTGAATGATGGTTAAACTTGAGTAGAGGGCAAAAGCAGATTGAAAAGGTTCAATTCAATTTCAGTTTATTTCTTATATACAATGAAGTCTTTTACACAAATAACTATAAGTGTTATAAATATATGAAAACTGCTCTATCAGATGATTATAAAATTGAAAATAAACTGAACATCCTTAGATCTTTTACATGGCTTCCATATATTTGCAACATGCAGCCTTTTCATATCACAATAACACTACGATCTTTTTATTTTTCGTAATAAAAGAATTCATTATTATCATTTATGAAATTATGTCTTGTGATGGAACCGTTTCAAGCAATAAATCGTCAAACGTGATTGATCATCCTGAGAAGAAAAAATTTATTGGAAGTAAGGAGTTAAGAGTAAGTCGATGCAAAGAACTTACAATAGAAGAACCGGAAGTGACGGGAAGAAAACGAGTATCAAATGTGTCCGCGATAATTAGAACTTTGAAGGGTTCTTCCTTTATCTCGGCTGTTCTTCCTTTATTTTCTTTTCTTCCCATTGCCCGTTCCGTCTTCCTGAAAGCACTACCAGCAACACGTTAACGATCTTCCCGCTGCCGTCTTCCTTACGTTTGAAACCAAGTCCTTAATCATACTAATATACCTGTATTCTGATGACACCCCCACCTGCTGCAGCACCATTGCCACCGCTAAGCGGCACTATGTTCTTACTATGTTCTCTCTCGTCCTGTTAGAGTTAGAGAATGTCTCGATCAATGGTTATCTTGAAGGCTTTTCACGCACGTTTTGTACGTCATTTTGCCTTCTTCATGGAGCAGAAGTGTCCTGTAATGTCCCACGTATTTAACGTGACAAATCGATCAACTTCGGGACTTCAAATAACAATGGACCATTTAACATTTTTTCTGTCTCCGCTGGAAATCTCAGACGATCGTATCCGCTATTCACTCTTATCCATTGGCAGAGGTGCTCTATGAACTACTTTGATTCTTCTCGACAGCGTTTGATGATTTGAAATGGATGAGATGTCATCCACATAACCCAACACAAATATTTAAGCACATTTTTATTCAAGCCGAATATGAAACTAGAAATTCCTTTACAAACTTTAAAAATGTTTACAGATGCGATCATAAATCGACCCCGCAATCAGAAAATACAAAAATCTTTTGGAGTTAAAGAGGGGAACTCTTGAACTGAATGTTATTTGTCCCAATAGCACGATTCAACTCCTAATTGCACAAACGTCCTTACTTAATCGTTATTATCTTACTATCGTTCAGAAAACATGATAAATATATACACAATCATCCAAAGTAAAAATAAAATATGCAGGACTACACACATTTTATGCTTACAAGAAACAAAAATATTAACAATTTACTATACGAAACGCTATCAGGGAGAACTTACATGAGAATCGTGAGAACCATTTGTTAGCCCGGAGCAGATCCACCATATGTAGTAATTAGTTATTCATGAATCGACCACGCGTTATTTAATTATTTAGTGAAAAGAATAAAATATACAAAGCATATAAGCACACTTCTTTTGAAAGACAAGTAACTGAAACTTTAGAGAGAAATAATAAAGTAAAAGAAAAATACAATACAATCACGAATCGTAGAGATAATAATGAATTTGAAGGTTAAAAAAGATTAAAAAGATAAATAATATTACTCAATGGTGAAAAGTTCGTACAAAAATCTCTTGCATTCTTCTCCATTATTTTGCTTCGGGTTGCACATTTCGAAGTTTTTTAAAGGACGCATTTCTTGATAAGTGAGATGGACTAGGTGGTCTGAAAAAACAATACCCTTTACTTCGAAACTTATCATTTATTATATTTACCATGAGACATTTTCTGCGTCAAGGAAACATAAATTGTCCAAGAACTATAACTAAACTAAAAAGCTTTAGCTAAGCTGTATTCGAAATTTGACTCATCCTCTTTGAACTTTTTATCTCCGAAACAATCGAGCTTGCACGACCGCTTAAAACCAAAACAGCATGTCTTGAATACAAAAATCATCATACCTAATAAAATAGCGCGAGTCAAAAACTCAGAAGTTTCCTATATGAGTAATTAAGGCGAAAGCTCTTTGTGTAGTGCACTTCTGAATTCATTCAGAACTCGATAAGGAATATATTTTTCACTAATTTATAAAATTCAAAAGAGCTGAAGCAGAAATAACCTTGAATTAAAAGCAATTTCGTCTCTTGCCAACGGGCTGACTACAGCTGGTGTAGATATCTGTTTAGCTGCTGTTAAATGGTGTGCCATTCCAGCCATTTTATGTTTTAGCCCCTAAAAAAGTTAATTTATTGATATAAAAGAACTAATGAGGAAATTTATTCAATAAATTTAACTGAACATATTTGATCTAAACTGACAAGCAATTCATTATAGAATTACGAAATATATATATTTATATATATATATTCATACATATAATTTGAAAATTAAAATTCCTCTTTTATCAAAATTGGAACTTAGGAAAGTGATGCTTCAAACTTACATCACACATTCATAAGTAGTGTAAAATAGAAGAGAATTACGCAACAATTAGTTATTCGACTTTTACGATACATATGTTGACCTCTTTAATTCACAACAATACCTGCAACGTAGACGGTCGATTCGCACATGTCAATGCTAGCGGTGATGCAGAAATCACTTTCTCTTCTTTCTTAATAGGTAAGCTAACATCTGAAAGCCGTTTGAAAACGGAACCCATTGTTGGTACAACAGCCAGTGCGGAAGACGAAGTAGCTGCACTGCTGCAATAAGTAATACCATCAAATTATAACTTAATATGTACAAGAAACCAGTAAACACTATGTCAGTAAGATTAGGTTTTATTGAATTCATCGTCCAGAAAGTTCTCGATTCCTCCAAACAATTTAATAGCCAACCTTAGTTGTATCCCATCTTGGCTGGAAGCTGACCGAGGCATAAACGTCTGTTTCTGGGATGAACTTCCTGGAATAATGTCATTGCTAGCTCTTTTACCGCTTAACCGACGAAGAAGTGACGATTTTCGAGTCTTCTTCTCCAGTTGGACACGATGCTGCGGTCTTCTCAGTTTCTTCTTGGCCAGCTTGCCAATTGTACGTCGTGGCGCACCCTCGCGAATTGAGGTTGATGAAAGCGGCGTTGTCTATAAACGTTTTTCATGTTCAAAATTTGAGCAATTCGTTCGTCTACAATTTTTATACAAAAATTCTTTAGAACAAAAACTTTACGAAGAAAGTGGAATGAATTATCAATGCGAAGTTATACACGAAGCAAAAAAGGAAAAGATATATGACTGAATCAAACAATAAATTTATGAGGACATGAATCACATTATCAACAAAAGTATAATGAATACACGTCTCATCTGCTACCCTAACATATTCAACGTGATTCTCACAGCTCCTATTCCTTGCACAACCAAATCTACGAAATCAAAATCAGTTAATCTCTTCACAATCTAGTTTCTTATTAAATAAAAATTACCAACCTTTAGAGAAAGTTCATTCCCATATGCAAGAAGACGATGCAGCAGCTGTGGATGTGTAAGATTAGAAACAGGTTGAGAATGAACATGGGTGATGAGGTCATTTGGCCGTATACCAGATTCGTAAGCTGGAGAGCCTTCTTCCACTTTTGTCACCAAATGTTCAATAGTGTAATAGTCTGATTGTTCACCTAAGTAGACACGTACTGAACGAATCGTGAATCCGAAACCTTTCGGTCCTTTCCTAAAAGTGCAAAATTAAATGCGCTTTCATGATTCTGTATCTTCGATTGAATAATTCTTTACAATAGAAAATTATACTAGTGTACTTTCTCTCTCTCGAAAACTATACTTCCTCATCCGCAGAAAAAACTAGAGTTCAAAACCAAAAAAACATCATATTTTTATTCGGTAAAAATAAAAATTTTAACATTCCTTACTTGATGATTGCTGGTGCTTTCAATTGAAAATTTTGTTCCGTAAGAGGAGCTGCATTAACTTGTGAATTGGAAGAAATGCCATCAAATGATGACGCACTGGAAGCCGAACCGGCCGGGGAATGTTGAGTGATTAGAGGCGAAGAATGCTTTGGGATTTCAAGTTGCAGTGTACGATAGTGTTCGCTAATCGCTTCATCGCTTCGAGTCTAGAAAGCACAGAAAGAAGCTACATATATATATATGCTGTGAATTAGCGCAAATCATTTTCTAATTCGCTTCCTCAGTAATTTAAGTGTACCTAGAGAGTACATATGTGCATTGCCAGTGAAAATAAATGAAAGAATCCCCTAACTAGATAATATAATTTAGATCTGACCAAAAACTTACAGAATCGAAAACAATCAGATCAGATAATGGTCGTGCTTCAGTTACAGGCGACAGTTTTTTATCAGATGGGGTAATTGTATTCGTGTCGGGTTCGCAGGTTACCGAAAAACTAGAATGAGACCGATTAATTTAGTTGAGAATCAAAACAAGCACCTATTTTAATCCTCAAAGCAAAATAAAAAAAAAGGTCATGGAACACGTCTATCCTAATCCTACAATAAAACATGACATTTTCTGATAATTAAATGAAACTTCTTTTTTACAACTTAAAAGTAAAAGAAACTGTTTAGCGCGCTTACCGTGGCAAAGGAGATGTTACTGCGTTGCTCTTTTGATTCTGGTAACTGTCTGTGGTTGGTACCGGTCGCGAATATTCGGCAAAAGATACATCAACCGAAGAATCTGCAGATAAGCCAACTATATTGAGATCACCTGTTTCATTTGTTCCGCTGCTTGATGTAGACAAATTATTTTGAAGCTGAGATGAAAAACATCGTTTGCGTAGCGCTGCCTGAAAACAAAAGCGTTAGCTGCGATGAAGAAAAATGGTAAACATGAGGCACCGCAGTTTTCTTCGAATAGTTTTAGATGAAACATATGTAAGAGATGAAATTTTTATAGATAAAATTATCATGCATTGTTGCAATTTTGGACATGCCTGACATAAATTACTGAATTTTTTTCCAGAAAACAGTAATAAGAAAAAAGAAGTGAACTGACCGCCGGTAGCGGACAGTCATGTTTAATATCCATCTTGTTTTCGTGAAAATCTCCGCTTAACTGACGAGAAACTGAAATCGAATCCGATCGGGTGTTCTTCAAGCCATTAGAACTTGTAGCCTGAAGAGAGATTTTTGCGAATAGTTAGAAAATTCAATGATAGATAGAAATACCTGGGTCATATTATTTGATTCAGTACAGATTACTGAATGCCGAGGTGATGCAGTGTCAAAGGAACCAAACATTGGAGTATTATCTTCGTCACCGCTATCAACATCGTGATTGTAGCTGAAAAAAGTAAAATATGAGAATTACTAACAACGAAATTTAAGAATAAAACGGTGCAACTTACAAGTAAGCTCATTAAAAAATGCTGGACCATCCTAAATTTTTCCAGAAATGTCTTATATCACTTTCAGATAAAGGCTCAGATCATTGATACTTTGACGTATGATTTATACACAAAAGTGTCTTGACATGTAGTTAGCATTTCTTGAGGATGGTCTTGACGATGCATATGCCATAATGCCATAACTCAGCACATGGCACATAGTAAATATATTTCGTAAGCGATGAGTATTGAAATATTTCGAAGAAACAAAGAAAAATATTTGACAACTCTCTCGGACAAAAGAAGAAATCAAGTAGGATAACGACAAACCGATCAGTTCTAGCATCAAAATAAGATGTATCTTCTTCTCCTTCCAGCTGAGGCACAAATTCTGCCTTTTGGCGCAACAAAGACTTGAAATTCAAACCAGCAAAAAAAGGATCATTCATCAGCTGCAATTTAAAAAAAAACAAGTTTTTATTGATTCAACCGATATCATAGAATCTGAAATTCCGAATGAAAGCGTAGAATTGTCAACTAAAACACAAACATATTTGAAGGAAACAAACCTGCTGAGCACCACCAGCCGATCCAAGCCGTTCTACTGGATCCTTCTCTAATAAACGCATAATCAAAGATTCAGCTTCCATGGACAGTGCCTCTTCCCCTTCAGGAAATTCTATCTCCTCTTCAAAAGAATTTTTCAAACGAAATGGAGGAATATATTTTCAAATAAATAATTTTATGTCAAGAGGCCATTTGAAGTAATACCAAGCGATAAACTAACCGTTAACAATTTTTGCAAATAAATGTTCTGGAGTATCAGCTATAAACGGAACAATTCCAATTAGAAATTCATATAAAATAATGCCAAGTGCCCACCAATCCACTGGTTTACCTTAAAGGTGTATAAGTGCTAAACATTCATTATTTTTCAAAAAGAAATAAGGAATATCATAGCAAATATATTTTCGAATAAATAATTTTATGTCAAGAGACCATTTGAAGTAACACCAAGCATAAACTAACCGTCAACAATTTTTGCAAATAAATGTTTTGGAGTATCAGCTATAAACGGAACAATTCCAATTAGGAATTCTTCCCATTCGCAAAAGCTTTTTCTATACTATAATAAAAACCTGTGGAAAAGACAGAAATCAAATGAACTTACCATATCCCTGTCTTAAAATTACTTCTGGAGCGATATATTCAGGAGTACCACAGAGCTGCTTATCCATAAATTGTTGCGTATCCGAAATATCATTGTAATTTTCGCACAGTAGTGTTGCACGATTCATAAGGCCAATCTTTGAGAGTCCAAAGTCAGTTAACTTTATATGACCTACTGCCGTTATCAACAGACTATAAATAAGTGGGAAAATTATTAAGTTGATATAAAAAATCATACATGATTAAAAAGTAACTTCGCAAACTTCATTGAAACTAGTGAAAAACCAATAACTTGAAAATAATTCCTGCTTTGTTTTATATTATATTACTAAATGACATGATGATAAAATGAATTTTAAAGAGATGCACAATGCTCTACAAGTTAGGCCACTTTAAAAAAGACTGCGCATGCCTCCCCATGAAATTTAATCAAGGGCTCTTAGCTCTGCTTCGAATCATCGTGACATCAACAAATTTTAACCTTGTATGAAACAAAACTTATTTTTACCCACATAATACTCCTGACTGTGTCTATCAAATTTACTACCGACTTCTGAAACTCAGATTCTATTAAAAACTTCATATTTGATTACAAAACAATTTATTAAACAACGAAGAAAAAAGTTTAAAAAATATAAGAGACTTACTTGTCGGGCTTCAAATCACGGTGCACGATACCATAAGAATGAAGATAATCAATAGCAAGAACAGTTTCTGCAAGATACAACCGTGCCGCATCAAGTGGTAATGTTCCAGTTTTTTTCAATAGAGCTGCACAATCTCCACCTTCCACATATTCCATTAACATGCACAAATGATGGCGTGTCTCGAATGAACCATAAAATGATACGACAAATGGATTATCCGTAAATGTTAGTATATCCCTTTCAGCATACACCTGAATCTTACAATAAATTTGGAGGGACATCAAACATTTCGACTTTTCTAATTCAATAAAATTTTCTACCAACTTAACGAAAAGAAATAATGGATTTTACAAGCAAACTACCTGATTTATTTGATTACGCATTAACAAAGTTTGTTTCTTCATCCGCTTCAGTGCAAATCGTTGTCGTGTTTCTTTATGTCGAACCAAATAAACGGCACCATATGCCCCATTGCTTATTAGCTTAATAATTCAAATTTTTGTCTTCCAAAACTAATAATCATTGGAATTAAATATGACTGTGTTTTGGCCAATGCGAGATAATGAAAAATCTCCCAATAAAATACTTCATCATACAAATTTAATTTTATAAAAAAAAAGCACATATTTTACTTTATGATATGCACATATTTTACTTTATGATGGCTGCTTTGCAATATCTTACTAGAATATATCAACTGCACAAGTTGTTCAAGTATGTACCGACTCTCCAAGTCTTAGAAGTAAGTTTTTCACAAATACGACTAATTTTAGAAGTATGAGATTAATCAAAATCTCAAATTCTTCATCAAGAACTGCAAACTCATGTTGATTAGTAATAACAAATTAATCCACTTATATTTATCAAGCACTGAAATTCGAAAGCATTTCTATTTACCCGAATTGTTTCATAGTCATCTTCACATGGTGGACGTCTTTCACATAATTCGCGTTCACAATCCACAGCCAAACGAGTATCATTATCGAATAGTGAACTATGCTTTTCCTCAAAGAAATTTTTCTTCTTTTTCTTTAATAGAAATACGTATCATACAACGAAATTGCATTCTATTAATCAAAAAACTCATTCACTAAAGCAAAATTTCCTAATATTTATTAGTCGATTAAACTCATGAAAAATCCTACGTTCTTGAAACAAATTATGAACCACTTACATAAAAATAAAGGCAAAACATAATTTTTCTTACTTTCAAAGAAGGAAATACTTGTAAAGATAAGATGTACACAAGACCATAGATGCAACATACCTTTGAAATATCAACTTTCAATTCGGACATCAAATTTTTATTCAGACCAAGTTTGCTTATGATGTATTGTGGTAAATCTGGAACTCTGGCATTACCTGCACCAAGCTGCTCACGAACCGCCCCTTCTGTTTCTTGTAAGAAGTGATAGAACTGATCTGGATCGAATTCCTTTAATCATATCAAAATTTCTATATTTTAGATACCGAGAAATCAGGGAAAAGCAACAAACGCCGCTTTCCTGGACTGCTTAAAGATTCCGAAATGCATTCTTTAAATCTCCGCTAATCCTCGTTATCAGTGAAGTCATTTAGGTTAGAATTCAACCATGAAAACTAATTACCAAGCATTCTAAAATACGAGCCGGTCGAGAAATGATCATTAGCACATGTTTCACCATTTTAGACAAAAAAGCAAAACTTTCAGGAGAAGTTTTTTCGTGTGCTTCGGCGACAACAGCTTCAAGTCTTTGAGATATTTCAGAGAAGTAAGAGGCATTGGTAAGATCATCTTTTGACTTTGATAGACAATCTGAAATCTCCTCATACTCATAATGAATACTTTTAAATATGACCATAAATGCTTAAAAATCTTCATTTTGCTCATATGTAATGTCCCAGAGCTCTTCAAAATAAAAATTTTCATGAGACACGTAGTATCTTTTCCACGCCTTAGCTTGCCATTAATTTGATAAAATTAAAGCAATGTTAAATTGATCGGCTTCAAATGTAATTTATTTGTTTTCAGGTGAATTCTTTTTCGCCATTTTCAGGTAGTCTATTATTTAGGACTTTAGAAGCGACATACGAAATACCATTTGCAATTTCGACAATCTGATGATGAAGAAATCGCGTAGCACCATCTGAGATCAGTCTCATTCTGGGATCGCTTTCCAGATTATCAACCATCACCGACCGACGACTAATTAGTGAGCTCAGCGAAGTGTTCGATGAGCCATCCCAGGGATCTTCCAAGCATATACTTTCTGGTCGTAAGGTCGTATCCAAAGATGCAATACCAGATAATGTGGCATTTTCATCGATGAACAAAGTGAGCTGCTCTTCCATTTGTTTTTTCGCCTAAAAAGCGACTACGTAACATGAGGAGTTTTCAGAATATTATCTCCTTTTCATTGGTGATATTAATTTGATTATGGTGAAAATAGAGAAAGTGTGACAGATTTAGTAATGCCTATAGACTGATCACACAATTATGTTGGAATCATTCAAGCTTTATAGTTGGTTGCAATACCAAATTTTAAATTGTTCAAACCTTTGGGAAACGTTCCTTGTAAATTGTTTTATGAACGACAACACTGCATGTCGAATCAGAACCGAAATTTATAGAATTCCTATAAAATATGAAGTGGCTATAATTCCAGATAAATTTGTGAACAATTCAGAAATTTTATAAAGCTTACCATTCCAAAAGATATCAGAAATGCTCACTGATAGTGCAACAGCACGCCGACATAAAGCATACTACATAAGTTTTAAGTGGGTCAGTAATTGTATATCAGTAATTGAATTATAATATCTTAAGTTTGTGTAAAAAATAGATTCATATTATAATGCTTTTTATTTGTGCACAATGTGAAAAAAAGGGAGTTCTTAATTTTATAGCAAAAAAATATTAACAAAATATTCAGGGAATTCACTAAACCTTTAGTCATGCGCAAGAATAAATTCAATTTTCCATAATTCTAAATGATTTCCGAATTAAACAATGAACAATGGCAGCGAAATTTTTTACGTTGGAAAGAAAACGCTATGCGCAAACATACGTTAAACTTCGAGAACGAGGACGATTTTGTCCCGGGAAATCTTCATTTGAACCCTCAGCACTACTAAGTCGTAAATCGGTAAGAATATCGCAAAGTTGTTCTTGAGATGAATATTCACTCTAGAATTTTTAATAAAAATCGCATTCAGTTTATCAGAATTTGATTTGCACAACTTCCTTACTCAGTCTATCAGCATATAATTTGCACAATTTCTTTACATAAATATTATATGAATCTCTGCCTCTATTGAGTCATTCACAAAAGTTAAATCCAATATTCTTTATTGATAATGTTCCAGTATTTCAACTTACAAAAATTTTCTTCTAAGGATTGCATTTTAACAAAATCCAACGAACCAGTCCTTAAAGAAACTTCTAAAATCAAATAACCGAGAATGCTGAATTGCTTCCAGGTGTTCCGTAACCGCTCGATGATGGAAGAGAAGCAACGGACCAACGTCTATTATCCTGAGCTGGTGCTAACGGCGCTGTACGGGAACCATTTGTTCTAAAAAATTTTATTATATGTATCTGGTTTATTTATTGTTTATATAGCTACAAATCTCGTTACTAACAAGGATCAAAAATAAGTATTTTACAAGATTAAAGGACACGAACCTAAATGGCACAATTATCGGATTTGTTTTTGCTTGAGAGAAGGGGAAGAGTACAAAACGACTAGGCGATCGGCACCTTCGCGCGAGGATAGGGGATGCTGAAGCATTCAAACTTCGACGACAACCAAGACTACTGGCCGATGAATACGAGAGATGGTTCCGGTCTTTTCTCTGAAAATTGTGTATAATTTGCATAAATTTTCTATATATCAAAAAGAGTATGCAAAAACAATTATGCGTCCCCGATATCTGCATTAATAAGAACCCACTGAAATGCAGTGATGTCAGATATACAGGAAATCTCTTCATTTTTCTCCCATCCTGAAAAAAAGGAAAAAAAAGAGATCAAAGTAGAATCTAAAAATATAGCATACTTGAAGACGAACAGAAGATGATTGAACTGATGCAGAAATTTGTGGATCGGAATGACCTAACGAAGAGTTACGCATTCGCACCAAATTTCCCACTGTCGTATTATGATTTGAATACGACGAGTCCATTGATTTTTGACTAAGCATACCTAAAACTTAAAATTCAAAATGCATAGCGAAGCACATTTTGCAACGATATCGATAAACGTCAGTACATTCATTTACTGCTTAGCAGTTCTAGTTTTGACAGAACCATTCCCTACATTTTGAAATCGGTTTTCTTATAATTCTTTTATAAAATAATCAGTAATCTGAAGTTGAAATTGCCATTAAATTAAAATAAGTCACGAACAGGAGATTAGAATGAGATCCAAAGAAAGGTTAGAACATTTCATGAATCAAAAAAAGACAAATACGACTTTGTGGACATCGTTAAGAGTGACACGGATGAAAAGTAACTGAAACGAAAACTAAAAAAATGGAACAAAAGTGTGAAGTTTACGGATTCAAATTTACGGACACACTTTTGAACTCATACATCGATTGCCAAAATAAATGGAGACCAGACACAAATTTGTCTCAATACATTTTGCTTATAATTAGTACGAAATAAAATTTCATTGCCACTTAGAGAAGTTGCAAGAAACAAGTATCTCTCTTTTCCTTAATATTCCATAAATCGCTTACACTGACTAATTATATATAAGACAAACTCCTTGAACAGGGAATGAAACCATCTTCACATAGTTGCATTCGTCATGTGAATTAATAATTAATAAAACGACAGCTCTAAAATATTCATTTCGGAGTGCGAATAAATCCTAATATGGCGAGGCTTATCTAAAATTACTGACTGATCTTAGCACTAGTTTTTTAAACAAGAAATCATCGACAATGCTTTTGCTCTCGTATGGAAACCTTACAAACAAAGAATCTAAAAATTCTAGATTATCTTACACATAGATTCTTCAGGTAAATAAGCTGTGAGAATGAAGGATTTAACACTTTATCCATTTAGAAGTGGAGTATTCTTCATGTCTGCAAACCACACCACATGAAGACATAGAAAAAAACAAATAACTACAAAAAAGCGACATTGCCAATTTAAATAATTAATTTTACTTTGGAATCTAATTTACTGAGCAAATAGTAAGATACGTACCTCATCCTAAAAAGCACCCAAGGGATAAGCAATTTCAGTGAGCATAGGTGGTATTGAAGAGAAAAAAATGAAATTACTGAGATACATATTTCAGAAAAATGCAGAACAGACACAACTTATCCTAATAACACTTGAGAGATTTAAAAAAAATGGTTTCACGGAGACTGAAACAAATCCGAATCATCGACGCTTCACACAATCTTCCTAACAGGTGAAATAGATGAGTGATTCGATGCCATGTTTACGTTTTCCTTCAGACCACGTTTCCTATGCTTTCAATAATTGCTCTAAAATGACCATGCACGGTCAGTGATCCACAACTTCGTCGAGTAGAAAGATAACATAAGGTTGAAAACGATCCTATAGCAAAAAAAAAATGAAAAAAAGGACTATGTAACATAATCTGGCTATGTTTTTCGAATGAATGTTTCGAAACAAAGAAGGGGAAAATCAACTGCCTATCTGAATCCGTAATAATATACACATCAAGTGGCCTGTTATTCGATTTGCTGGTGTAATATTTCTCAAAAATTTGACTTTGTCGCACCTTCACTAAGTATAAAATTATCAATGGTTCATGCTTTAAACTAAAATTGCTGTCCTTACTGTTTAAAATATGGGTACTTATTTCGAAATTTAACAAACCCTAACTGCTAACTTGTCTTAAATTACAATTAAAATGACAGCAAGAAAAAATGACCAATACAACAGAACGATTTCAGACCTTCATCTTCAGCAACTACCTAGTTGTGCGGCTAACTTTGAGACATTAAATTTTGGACAAAGGCATCACTCCATTCTTTACACCTTAATAAACATGCCTTCTTTAGCTGTCAAAATTTAATAAAATGGTAAAGTTTAGGAGCATTTAAGTCCATAATATCAAGCAACGCAAAATACATAAAATTTACCACGCAGAACTTACTCTAAATCAATATCGACCATAACTAACTTCCAGTTTCAGCAGCACAACTTATTAAGTTTACGCTTTTTCAACCTCAAGATTAACCTTGAAAATGACATTCTAAAAACCACCACTTTAATTGATGCGGCTGATGAATGTGCTCTAATTTGCATTCGTAAACAAGCAAATGAGAGTTGAGAGTTAGTCAAATTACGCCATGCAGTGTAATGACAAATGACTTCAATCTCAGTCCTGTTTTATATTTAAATAGTAATAGAAACAACCATTTCTTACCAGACAAACGCCTTCTTCGTTTGTGTGACATTTGCATTACAATACGACTTTCTGAATTATCAGCACTACCTCTATCAATAGCTGTTTTTGTGCCTGGTACTGTAGTACCTAAAATTATTGTGATATCCAGACTGATGAATTTAATTTCACCAAAACAATTGTAGTTCGATGATCAAAATTTATCCAAACGATGTGATTAATTTCAAAAAGAACGAAAATTCACTTTTGGATCAATATGATACTATTTCGACAAAAAAACACACCTTTTGAGGCTGCAAAAGTACGTGGCAACTGATACGATCCAGCTATCTTTTGCCGTGACAAACGATGTTCTTCATCATATTCTGACGGTAGTCCATAAAAATTATTTTGCGTCGAAAGTGAGCGAATCGGACGAAGTAATATTGGTGAAAGCAACAGAGAGTGAGGGGAGTCGACGGGTGATGACTAAAAATTATTTAAAATATCATTCGAATTCCAGTGTTCCTTCTGAATGATAATGGTATGGAAAGCATTTCTTTGAAGTGTTTGAATTTTAATTTAAATATTGTAAAACTTCAAATAAGTGATGCGAAGTAATCTAGAGAAGAGATGGCATTAGAGTAAAGGCAGGTGGGATGTATGGAGAGAAAGATAGTAGACAATTCAACTTAATTTTACTGGCTCCTTTTTATTGCGATATGTGCATTCCTGAGAAAGTTTGTCACTAGGAGTTAAGTAGTATTTCTTTCAACAAGCACATATGTTTTATTAATTTTATTTCATTCTTTCTCAACTTTTTTCAATCTTTAACTTCTAAAGCAATTCGCTCATGTTTTTCATCATTCCTATTATTAATAATTATATAAAAAAACACAGCAGGTAGGCTAAATCGAAGCAATATATGATAGTATTCTTAACAGACTAAATTACATTAAAAGAACTGATAGTCATTAGATAATTAACCATGAGAGGCGCAACCGCAGGTACTTTCTTCCGGAAAATGATATGAGTATCGGTGAATCCAGAAAACTGTGGTGAGCACATTGATTGTGAATTTTTTTCCGCCCAGCTTTTTTCGTGCTCTTCATGTGTGATACCTTTCTCAGATAAATCGTTCGGCCAATTACTATCATTCATTTCATTAAAATTACCACTATATTTCGAGGAAAACTATCTTTCTTCATCGGTATTTTCTGGAAATATTCATCTCAAATGTTCATAAATCATTAAATGAACATTTATACGAACACGAGGAGAACGCCGAAAAAAAGAAATGATATGTTTTGATAAATAATTCGTAATACATTCGGCCATTAACAATTCCCATCAACAACTAAAACCAACAGCAGATGGTGATATGCACCTCGTAAAGAACTACGAATGAGTCTAACCAGATTTAAAATTCTATTTGAGTAACAAATTATGGTATTGTGAACGGCTATTCTTCCTCTCAATTTCTCTCGAAATGACATTTATTCCTTTGAATAAAAATGGAATGCTATCAAACCAATCCGAACTAATCTATTCGTTGCAGGATGAGTTAATATATTAGAAATGCTAAAACAACAGAAGAAAATTTACAAAAAAAATATTAATTTCCCTTTCGATAAAAATTTACATTATACTCTTGTCATTGGAGTTATCAACAAATGTGTCAGGAAATTTATTAAATTGAGAAAGAACTGACTGAATAGAAAGTAATGTTTCCCTCGCGCAATCTTGCATTTCTTAAAGAATTAATGATGAAGTTTGAAATGAAATTCCGTTAGTAAGAGCTTTCACTTTCATATTGAGGTCGATGAAACCATTGCAGTAGTGTTCCCAACTACCTTAAGCTAGTCAAATACCTCAGTTTATATCATTTTCGTTCCATTCAGGCTTTTTGTTTCCATCTAGTTAATATAATTATCAGAAGAGGTAGCAGTAGAAAGTAGCAGAAAGCGTCACAGTCATAAGTTGTGAGTCAATCACGACTTATTTTTCACTTAGAATATAATACATAAATGAAAATCAGCCCTTGGAGGGAAGAAATGTTATTGTCTACGATGGGAAAGAAAACTGGGAAGAGAGAGGAGAAATGCAAGCGGGAGAAGGATATAAGGAATAGCGTTACACGATCTCCAGTGGGAAGGACAGGCGAGAGGATGTGTCAAGTTTTCATGACAATAACGATCCCGTAGCAGTTTCCATTTATTGACTAAAACGTTCTGTCCCGCTAAACTGCTCGATCAATCAGCAAAGTTCGTCGATGTGATATAAATATCAATAATGTCACGCGCGATAATCGTACATCCTAGTTCAATTACTGTCATTTGACCTCTTCACAGAGTATTAATAAAAGTATTGGAAGTGCAACACTGCCAGTTAAATGAGAAAGGAAAAGTCCATCAGTACTGTGATGATTGGTGTGCCGCGAAAAATTAAGGGCGATGATTGGATGGACAGAAGTATGTAAACTAATATTGGCAAGTTTCTTTTTTTGAGGAGATATATGCTGAAGGAGAGGAATTATATAAATCTTGAGATCAGGCGTTACGAAAACTTGAAGTGAGCAAATCAGTATCTAAGTAAGGTTCCAACTATCCGTTACGGGGGTGAACGGCTCGTAGTACTGGTATTCACAAGGAGCGTACAAATATCTCTTTGACAGACTAACCATCAAACAATTCTTAATCTGTGAAGGGACGCTTTCGTTTTCATTCCGTCTTACTAAATTATCGTTACGCTGCTTTAGCTCATGGAAGTTTGACATGTGCCAAACGAATTCAGGGATAATCTGCAAGACAAACTGATAGACAAATGGCCAAGGTTCTCATTGATATGACGTTTTGCAATAATATGCTAAGTTTGGGAATGTGGCGAATGGCGGCGTAAGGTGTAAAACTATTTAGTTGGAGGTTTTTTGCTGCTTTTTAAAATTTATAACTGAAAGATGATGGGAGCTAATTATGAGGAATGAACAGATTAATTGCAGTGATTGGGCTAGTGAAAAGCCTGTTGGAAGAATAATGGTGCATGAAGTAGTAGTCAGGGAGGCTGATGATCGTCGCTATGCTGCCTTGATCAGGGTCTGATTTTGATTTCATTTCGAGTAAATTTGTTTCTCATTGTTCACAATGTTTCTAGTTCCATAGAGGAAGCATTTCATACTTAGCCATACTTTCTGAAATTTCATCGTTTTAATAGAATATTATGAAGTATTCTCATTTGCAGGGCGTTGTATGCAGCGGTGGAATTTTAGGCATTATCTTATTCGCACGGAAAACACGGATGGTACTTTCTTAGCTTTTGTCGCAAAAGTAATTTAAGCTGTTGTAAGATATTAAATGTTTTTCTTGTATTATTGCACATCTATTTGCCGAAGATTTTTGAAAACAAAATCATTCGTTATATTATGATATTTATTGTCTTCACATTAATTATTCATGTTAATTATTGAACTCTGTGTTCACATTAATTATTGATAGAAAGTGTTGGTTGATATTTCAATTTAGTTTTACGAGTTTCAGTTTGCGAGGTACGAAAAAGTATCAGAGATACCACTTGAGGTATATAAAAAAGGAATTGAACTGAAAGGAATTGTTCGTGCTGTTCATTCCAATGGATATATGAAAGTCGAGCATATACCAATGTTCACGTTGCCGAAATTTCTTTCCAGAAAGAAGTCAATTCAGGTAATATTTGAATATATAAATAGATTAGAATGGCCACTTCCAAATAAGCAGTCAGTTAAATAATTTTCGAAACTTTTAGTTGGTTACCGAAAATAGGGAAAACAATGTTTAGACAAGTGTCCAATGATTAAAGTATTTTTGAATTACTTTAAAAAATTTTGTAGCCAGGATTGCTGGACTTACGACTTGCGGGTATTGATGTTTCGGATGCTGGTTCGAACTATCTTACGAAAGTGGTGCGCTTGCGTAGTAATCAAATACTTTTCTCTGCCATCAAGCCAGTTGAAAATAACAAATGTATCGATGCTGAAATTTTCTTGCAGAGGGTCAGTTTTTGAGTCTTTTAATTTTTTTTTCAAAATGTAATCTAATTTTAAAGTTAACATGCTTTCATGACAAGTTTATGGACAAATTTACTTCATACAGCCTTTCCAGAAGAGATTTTTGCAAACAAATTTAAATGTGGATTTGGTACGTCGAGGTTTTGCACGTGTAATACCGCTGAGTAATCCAGAACATGTGGATGCTTTGAAAACTAATCTCTCATATTCAAGATTAATGTCAAAGTTGATCATGTCTGAAAAGGTTTTTTTTCATGTTATGAATAGCGAAAGGAAAGGTGCTTTAAAAGTCAAATACAGAAGTATTGAAAATCTTTCCAAATTAAAATTAAACACTGCCTGGACTTACTTAGCTTGATATCTAACTAGTCTTATCATTTGTGTGAAATCTTTCAGATCGCTGATCGTCGAGGATTAGGTTTGTGGACTCGTGATACGTGGGCGGAAGTTATATTTTCATATCCTGTCACTTTCAGACAGATTATCCGTTCGACAGGAATAACGAGATTTCTGGTAATTTTAAAGTTATTGTAAATTACAAAACAAGATAACTTTTTTTGCATGACAGAGATTTAAGTCAGTTTAATTTGCACAATTTCATTTTTTGGAAGATGATTGAGTGATGTTGCAATATTTTAGCTTTCATTCTGTCCCGCGAAATATTGTGTGACTTGAGAGTATTACAAGTTCTGCTGGTAACTTTTCGGTAAATATTCTTATTATGAAAGACAGACTACCATCTCTTTAGAGTCAATCTTATTCCAGGAATTGTAAATTCCAACTAATTTATAATGAAACATTTGTAAAATTTAGGTCGCAACTACAGTTGTCTGCAAAGAAATGCTTGTCACTGGAAGTCGTATATCGAAACAAGCATTTAAAACCATCACTGCATTAAGCCAAAAAATGTATATAATAGTGCAACAATTAGCTAATGCATCATTTGGATTAAACAGATCATTGAAAAGGAGGATTGACAAGTTTTCATCGAAATAAATTCGACCACTGGAAATTATTATTACATATGTTTTGGTGTCTAGTTGATTTGATGAGTGTTTCAAGTCATCTCTACCAGTCACCATTGAAATAGTCGTGTATTTTTTTAGTTTTTTAGATATCAGGTTTTATAGATGCGAAGTTGGAGTTCGAAGATTAATTGATGTGATATGTTATTCGATTTATTTGTAAATATTAAATGGTTTGAATGAAAGGTATCTAGAACTACGCTGGTAAAGATTTTATGGAATAGCTGTTTTTCGCTCAACTTAGCAAATACATGTTCTATTTCATGTGTTTGCACCTACTTCTGTAGTTCGCGTTTTCAAATCTTTATAACGTTGTGTTCCTATAGAACAAGTTAGAGTATTATTTAGGTCCTTCCTCTGCTCTTTTATTATATATACATTGATTGTAATTAAATACGTTTAATTTTTCAACTTTTTTCTGAGATTTTTTAGGTTTAGATGGTTAACTTGGAAAAATTATTACTGGATGTTGGTCCGAAAGGCCTCACTCTTATAGCTGGTACTGTGGCTGCTGGCTTTGGCTTTAAGGAATCACTTTTTTCCGGTATTTTTTCAAATTGTTTTGGTATCGTAAATTCTACTAAAGTAGTGAAATAGATTTTGCGAATTCCTAAAAGAATTCACATTTGCTGAATTTCTGGTACTTCCCTTCACTTATATGCACTCTTTTCATTTTCAAGAACTTCACAGTTTTACAGCATGTACCTCCAACAGCTCCTCCTAGATTATATGCATAAAAAAAATAGGGAACTTGTGGAACTTTAAAGTCGAGCTGTGGTTGATGTTTAAGAGAGGATTTGCAGTTGACGCTGGACATAGGGCAATAATGTTCAACAGAATTGGTGGTGTTGGTGATGTTATTTATAAAGAAGGACTGCATTTTCGAGTTCCATGGTTTCAATACCCAATTATATACGATATTCGTGCTCGCCCCAACCAGATTCGTTCACCAACTGGAAGCAAGGATTTGCAGGTTGTTTTTAATTTTTCAGTAACATATTTTTTTGTGCCTCATATCTGCCTCAGGAAACACCCTTATCGATAAGTATTACATACAAAAATGTTGTCTATCAACATTCTTGCAGTATGTAACTGCGCAACAAGTATACTTTATCGTTGTTTTCTAAAATATTGTGTTCTTCAAAAACAGATGCTTCAGTTGATAATTATCTCTGTTTGAACATTCAGATGGTGAACATTGGTCTACGCGTTCTTTCACGTCCGGATCCTTCGACATTACCAAAAATATATCGGATGCTGGGACAGAACTGGGAAGAAAGAATTTTACCTTCAATCTGCAATGAGGTTTGTGGTACAAGGGTTCAAGTATTTCAACACTCTAAAATACACTTCGAAAACTGGTAGAGTCTGAGGAACAAGTTTGTTTCATATTTAATACATCATGTGTGTAACGGCATTGAAGAGATGTTCATATTTATAATATGTTTAGGATAGTAGTCATCAGTTGCAGGAATTTTATATAACTTTTTAAATCTAAGCAAAATAAAGTTTTTGTTTACTTCGTAATATTCTGACCATTCATGGAAGTTTTTTAGTGAGAACTTGTAAGGAACTTGAGTTTACATTCTTTTGCGTATTATTCTTGAGTCTACATTCTTTTGCGTATTATTTATAAAATTTCCAAATTTCTTCTGCGTATTTGGATTGTTTCTCTACGTATTAAAGTTTTAGGTACTCAAAGGTGTTGTAGCGAAATTTAACGCTTCCCAGCTGATAACACAACGACAGCAAGTTTCTTTACTTGTTCGTAAAGGTCTTATCGGTGAGTATTATTTGATTGTTTCTTCATTTGTTAACTGCCAGTACTTTTAATCAATTCTTTTTGTTCATTTTGACATTGTGTACACCAAAGTCCGAAGTGCATTTTAAAGATTATGAGTGTTTATTTGTCAAAACTTTTTAAGAGAGAGCGCTGGATTTCAATATTATTTTGGACGATGTGGCAATTACCGAGTTGGCTTTCTCGCCGCAGTATTCTGCTGCTGTAGAAGCGAAACAAGTTGCTGCTCAAGAAGCTCAGCGTGCATCGTTCTTGGTAGAAAGAGCAAAACAGCAGAGACAGGAAAAAATTGTGCAAGCTGAGGGTGAAGCTCAGTCTGCCAAACTTGTTAGTTGATTTTTTAATTTTGTTGAAATTTTATTTCTAGACCTCTTTCTCTATTTTATGTAAACGTCGTTAATCTTGGCGAAGCTGAATAGTTCAAAAGTTCTCGCTGTAAAAAACGACGAAAATCATAGAAGTACAGCTACGAAGGCATTAAATATGAGAATGACAAAATATAAATGTTTTTCAGCAACATGTGCACAATTTTCTATCTTTGTTATATCCATGCAAATTTTGATTTTTTGTTAAATCATAATTCATCGGTCAGGAAGTGTTTTTCAGATAGGCGAAGCAATTAGACAAGATCCGGGCTTCTTAAAGTTGCGCAAAATTCGTGCAGCTCAAAAAATCTCAAAGATTATATCAGAAACAGCAAACAATAGAGTTGGTTCTTTTTATTCGAACAAATCCTCGAAAATTACCAACATTTGTAAAAGTTGGTCTCCGGATCATCCGAAGTTCTCTTGTTCTTTTAGTTCAAAGATGTCGAAATTACTGATATGTTCTCAGCTAGTTCATTGGATTTGAGTAACTCATTTAACTTGCAGGTGTATCTACCATCCGGTGGTCTCATGCTAAATATTGCCGATGGAGATTACCTGAATGTTGACAGTAAAGACAGGTTGAGACGGTGAAATCGTTATCGGAAATTTGCGAACATCAATATTGGGAATTTTGTTAATTTTGTTCCTTAATCACAATTTCATTTTAGTAAAAGTATTAAAACTTCCTGGTTCCATACTATTAATTTTTCATGGTAACGTGAAATGGCTCATAAAGTTAGGTAATGAAAAGAATTCAGTTAGCAAAAGCAAAGATTTTGAGGATTTGTGAAATATTGTCGTGGATATCATCGCGACATATTTCAATCTTAATCTGGAACCAGTGATTGAAATTTTGTAATTATTGAAGTAAAATTTAGGGGAAGTAGTTTTCAATAAATAAAAATGAATTTTAGTTCGCATGAAATCAATCGGAGACGTTTGATACGGCATGAATTTGTCGGTTTGGACATTATGTAGCATTTTGGATGTTATGCTTTTCAATAAGACTAAGACGAAAGCAATGTTTGATTTTCTTGAGTACACCCCAACATGGCAGCATACTTACATCTGCCTGAAAAATTTTTTTTCATTGAAATTCTTTCTGAAAATTCATCCTAAAGCTTTTGAAACTAAACTATGAGTTAATCCTAAGATTGTTCTTCAATGCTTATTCATGCATCATAGTGAATTAGGCACAGAATTGGTTATAAAACCTGAAAGTTGGATCCGGGGGTCATTTGACAGAATCTTAAACATTTGTCACCAGCAGCTGTCTGTTGTACACCTCTTTCACGGCAGCAGTTGGTATGGTCGGAATCCTGAGCAGCGCATGATAATAAGCTCCTACCGTTACTTCGAGGGCACGGATCTGAGCCAACAAACATTGCCGTCAGCTGCAATTTCTTTTTACAAAATTTGATATTTTCATTTCGCATAGTAATTGAAATTTACAACTTCACTGAAGAGAAGAAATGATTTGCGGAAAATGAAAAGTTAATTCTGAAATCTCAATATTGCATTTACTCAATATCCTTCGGTAGAATGATCCAAATCATTTTCTAGAATTTAACTTCTCCGATCTAGTGTACTTTCAACTATTAAAGACCACTGTATAGGTAAACTATTCACATTCATTGCATTTATATGTTATTTGTCGGCGTCAAATCCATGTACTAACATTTTAGTCTTCACAGTTTTCGAAATTCTTGATATTCTCATACTCTTCAGGTTATTTTCTAATTATAATTGTTAATTTGAAAATAAGGGATTAATTACGTACAAATTGGTCTTGAAAACTCTTGAGAGTGAGCTTATCGCAGAAGACAATGCATACTATAAACGTGTTATGATAATATGAGTTCCGAAGGTTTTCCTTCTACAGTTTATACGCGTGAGCTAATTTTCATCACTCTTTTCATTAACAATTACGCATAAATGAAATCATATATAAAAGTCTATGTTAATGATAAAATAATATATAACTAACTATATTAGATGTTCACAAATAAAAAATAAAATTAGAGAAAATTAAAAGTGAAACATTAAAAAAGAGATCAATGTTTACCAATCTGCGATCGATAATGTCGAAATTACATCGCGATTCACATTTAGCATCGATATTTTTCTCTTTGCAACACTCCAGAAATGCGTTATTGGCGCTCTATAATGGCATTATTGATACAGGGATGAAGAGTCATCCGATTCTTAAAATATTTTGCAAATTAGGTGTTATGAAAACAAAGCGAACAAGTAAGGCTGCTCTAATATCTTCTGCAGCTATAGGAGATCGATTTTGTTTTAGAGATGTGTGAGCTGGTTGTAGCGTCGTCGTTTGAGATGCTAAAACTGGTTCAAGAAGTGCTCTGTCGAGAGTACTAGTCTGTGATAATCTTCGCGGCGCAAATTGTTGCGTTGGATCGTTCGGTTCAGACGTAACAATTGCTAGGATCGGTAACTGTGATACTTCAGGCCGTCGTTGTGCTCTAGGCTGAACTCCAGATAATCGTTTCCTGGAAAATTAGTTTATAACACACTAAACAATTAGTAACCTAAGCAGAAATTATGAATACAAATGGTTTTCATCGTATTCCTGCTCATCTGTGTAAATTTTAAATTTCAAACTGTGAAGAACTTACAAGATATATGGTGATATAAATTGTCGAGATGATGAGTGTCTGGACCTTGAAGTATTCAGTGATTGTCTATTGGATATGGTTGAAGCTGGAACTTTTATATGAAGAAGTGCCAACCTGAGACTGGCTAATTCCGGTAACTGTTGTTGTCTTGCATTTGATCTTGTACCAAATTTTACGAGTTGTTTATTTGACTGGGATTCAGAAGCGAATGGATGGTGATGAACATTTATTGTGGAAGGAATTTCTGTATTCAGTGAAGTTCCATTTTCATTCATTGAAAATTGAGAAGGGTTATTATTCGGAAAAGGCACACGCTTAGCGGTATCCGTCGTGTAGGTTTCATTAACCGCCTTTTGATGATAATGATGCACTATAGGTTCAATAGGCAAATCTCGGTGTCGTAGCATTTGGTCATTATTCTGCAACAGAAACTTGCTTTCATATCATGTTGAAATCATTTAATACTCTTTCAAACAACTTCACCTGTTATCATTTTTGTCATCTTACTATTTTTACTTTCAACTTTTCTATTCCATATCTAATAAAAATAAAAGAATGAAAAAAAGTTATAACATAAAATAGACCTATTTTGTTTTACTTATTTCTGATAAATTTTCACCTCTGCAATACTTTTCTTTCTTCATCATGAATTCCTCATTTTCTTTAGTAAAATTAGTAGTATAACAAGTTATTTGTTGCTTTGAGCATTCTAATTTTTGTTTTAGTTTTTATTATGCTGAAATAATACAAATGGAAGAAAATAACTGATTCTTTTCTGAATAGTTCTTTTCTTTAACCTTGTTTGACATTTGACCTCAACTGCTCATATCGTATAAATCTCATATTATTCTAACCCAAAATGTAGCAAAATTTTATGATAAAAAATAAATTACGAGAAATATTCACAGTACTTCCTAATGTAATAAAGTTGCAATTGAAAAAAGAAGTGAAAATTAGTTTAATATATTTACTAAATTTTTATATAAAGGATATAAGAAAATTCAAAAGTACAAATAAATAATTAATGAAATTTTTGCTTGGCTTAAAATACAAAAATTATTCAACTATTTGTTCCCTTTCTTCACCTTCGAACTTATTTATTAGTTTTCTGCACTTTTGAAAAATAGTCATCAGTAAATTACAACTAACCATATATGAAACTAATTCCGGTGTTGCCCCTGTTGAAACTTGTTGTTGTTGTTGTTGTTGTTGTTGTTGAGTTCCATGAATCGTAGCTAATAAATTTTTTTGAAAATTTCTTGGATGATTTTCTATTTGCGATTGTTGCAATAGCGATTCTGTTGGAATGGTGAAAATCGAAGAATTTTGTGTTTGCTGATTTTGAGATTGTAATGGCAGCACGAACCAGGTCTGCTGGCCTATCAATAAATCTGTATCTTCCTAATTATTACTAATTTGATTTATCACTAATTGATCGTATTTTCCAATGAAACATATATGCAAAAAGTTTGGAAAAAAATTCAATAATAAGAAATGAAGAAAAAAAAAGAATAGAATAAAATTGGATAATTATTCGTATTTTCAATCTTTTTCTTCTTTACTTAACAAACAATCAAAATAAAATAGTTAATGATAACGGAAATATTCTATAATGTGAATGAAATATCATTTTAAAAAGTTTATTAATTAATTCATTAATTATTTCTAATTCTAGGATCTCTTTTAAAAAGGATTTCTTTTAGGAGGGAGGGGCAAATACATTGTAATCTATGTGATGAAATTTAAATTTTATATTTAAGTATTATTATATTAGATGGTAAAGATTACCTGATAACATAATTACAAGAAGTAGAAACATTCAAGCATCAGCGTTATATTTCTTCTTCGTCTTCTTCAATTTTTCTTTCTTCTTTCCTTTTTACAATACACTTATGATTAATAATTTAGTTAAGCCTTAATTTTTTTTCCATTTTAAAATTCTATTAGATAAAATAAATAAATTAAATAAATATATATTACTATTTCTACTACAGCTATTTAAGTGTACTACCATTTTCTTCATCCTTTCCTTTAATAAGCTCATATAAAACGTGTTTCGAACATTTGTGTAAATATAACGATGCTTCTTTCCTTCATCTTCCATGCATGGCAACCATCTAATATCCCAACATTATTACTACAACAACAGTAGCATTGCTTCTTGTCATTACATTCCATACTTTTCCTCTCTTTAGCTTGTTTTCATTTTAATTTTTAAAAAGGAAATTATTGGTTTAAGATTTCTCGTTTATCTTATACATATATATATATATATATATGTACATATAAAAATTTGCTCCATTTCTTTTTCCTTCTCACACTTTTGCAAAATGATATCAAAATGCTATGTGATATTATTGGTCGCAAGAAATGTACGCAAACAGGTTGCATTCATTTATTAGCACATTTTTAAAATTAGTTAAATTACTACTGGGACTTAAAATGATCATACGTTATGCACCGGTAATTTCTAAAATGTTAAAGAAAAAAATTGTAATTTAATTTTGTTCCTTCCAGGTGCTATTTGAATAGCTAATTGATATGGAAAATTAAGCTTGCAAAATTCTAATTTTTTTCATAACTGAAGCAGTTTGAAAGAAATTAGGAAAAACATCTGTTTGAAATAAATTGATTTGAAGGAGAGGAGGCATATATGTGTGCCTTCGATTTCAAATTTATAAAATTAATGCTCAAGTTTATTTCAATTGCCAATTTATATTTAATGGCATGGCGAATTTTGCAAATTTCATTAAATATTTTAAGATATCACAAATTGATATGAGAAAAGATTTTTTCACTAAGTTTCTTCTTGAGTTCTGCGCACGCATTCAGCAACCTTCTTTTTAAATGCTGGATAATTTTCACGGAGCATTTTCTGAAATATTCTTGGAAATCTGCTTGCAAAACGTTTCATCACTAAGCATTCGTTGCAGTTACCAAAAGCATAACAGAATTTATTTTTAGGCCAATAGTCTTGAAAAGAAAATATCAGAAAGCGAAAAAGTTGGAAATTTAAAAGCGAATGTGAAAATTGATTTTTAAATTTCCAATTGAAAAAAGATTTTCCAGCAAAAATTTCAATAATATTAAACGAAATATGTTAACATACAGCAGCATCAACATTAGCAGGTGATTCGTAATTTGGATCGGCAAGCATAGATATGACTGATAGCAAAATGGTTTCTACTGTATGAACCGGTAACCAACGTTCCTCCGGTTTCTCATAACCGTAACGATCATCGCCTGGTTCATGAAGAATTGATATACAAACATTGCCATCCATGTCTACTAAAACTTTATAAAATTAGCTAAACAATTCCTGCATCATTCTGCATCATGATTCTAATGATAATTCAACAGATAGTAAGCAATGCTTTATAAATGGCTATTTGATTGCTTTCCAAATTTTTATTCAAAATTCAATTCCTGGATAGTGTACAATCGATGAAGCATTCATTACTGTTTGGATGCCAGATTTTTGATATAAATCGCATTTTTGGCGGTCGTTGCGGATAATCAACGGGGAAATCGAGTGTAGCACGAAATACTCCGCCTTCGCTGAAAATATTTGCGATATTTCACGTGACGAATTCATGAATAATTCGTGGAAAATTGTGGATTATTTTGATCACCTAATAGATATAATCAATAGGGTAATTGAGTGTAGCTTAAATTTATTTATCAAAACCTGAACTCGGCATTCTATTTGTTAAAACCTGAAATGCTTCCTTTATCAAATATATTTAAAAAAAAACAAAAGAATTGAACGATGTTGCTGAAGGAAAGCTCGAAAAGAGAATAAATACAGCATTCGTTTTTTTCCATCAGAAAGTTAAAGACAAATTTACTATGGGGTATCTGGTGGTCCAAGTACAACCACTTCCCATTTGTAAATATCTTCAACATCACCACGAAGACCAGCTGAAAATCCTTCTACTGGTGATCGCTTCAAATCTGTAAAGAACAAAAACTTTAATTTCACTTCAACTTATGAGTTTTTTTTCTAACTTATTTTCAAAATATCTTTTGTTTTTGTTCCTTCTAATGATGATACAAATTAGAACATACAATAAACTAACTTGTCAAGTAAAAGTATTTGAGATTTGTAAAAACACAAAAATTGCCGCTATCATTGAACTTCATTCGCGCAATAAAATATTAAAGTTATTGCGGAAAAATTGATAAGTATGAAAAACTATATTAGGAGATTACAAAAGTTATTCTATAAATTGAAAATTTTTTGTTTAAATGTGTTAAAACTAAAATCATATATATACTATTCGAAGTAGTCTAACAGTCATGGAATTCATCATCTCATTAATTAAAACCTCGAAGTTGTCGTTTTAATAAGAGCGCCGATTGGGATATCGAATTGGTGGTCATTCGTATTGCAGCCGCTCCCGAGTTATCTTTCTAACAAAATGTTTTAATGTTACAAGAGTGAATATTTTATGTGCTTAATTCGAAGCTCCAGTAGCTAACTGCATATAGTGAAATGTTGCCGCATGCAATGAACTGTACTGCAATGGATGATAATTTTTTGAGGGATAAGTTATCCAGTATATGAGCAGAAAAGGTCAACTCAATTTACATTACGTCTGCAGTCTAGCCGATGCTATTAAGGAAAAATGTTAAAGGAAAGAGAGAAAAGAAAAAGAGAAAGAATGAAAAGATGAAACAAAAAGAGGAGGGAGAGAAGGCAGAAAAACTAGAAAGGTCACTGAACGTACCGGAGGGTAGATGTAATCGCGGGCCGGTTCGTAAATATATTGCTTCCGGTTCTTCCGGCAATGCTATATGATATGCGACGCGATATCCAAAAGAGATCAGCTTCAAAACATTCCGCTGATGAATTCATCCCTAGCTATGCATGCAGTACTTACCTGCGCTGCATCGCAATTGTTACAACGTTTCATTTCAATACAGTACCTATGTATATCGATTTCGTTGTAGATTTTTGGTTCTACTTTAGCATTCATTTACACCCATTTTTCGCTTGAACTATTAATTTTCTGTGACCAAGAGAGAAGTCAAGTGACCTTTAACCTTTGAACTTTCATAACTAATCATTTTATTTATTGCGTTCATTTCCTTCTTCCTTTATCTTGTTTCTAACTAACACGCCTTCACTTTTATGTTATAGCTTTATTGCAATTATTTAACTTTCTCTCGAATTCTTCCGTTTGTAAATGATTGGGAATGAGACATTGATTTATTGATCCATGGCTGAAATTATGGCTTACTTCACTTCTCCTAATTTCATATTGCTATATAGAATGCTTTTGCATGGCTATTCTTTGGGAGAAATCATCAGTGCTTCTGAGATTTCTGAGACTTACCTCCCTCGCTCTATATCAAAAGAATTTCCATGGCAATCATCCGTGAATCTCACTTTTGTGGTGAATGTCGGACCGTTTCATCCTGTTTATCATGTAGCGGTAAAACTATTAATGATCATGGGAGAATTAGTTGCAGCAGCAAGCCAGTACAACGTGCACTTTCACTTCACCTATGCTATCACGCACCACTATTGCAATCGCTGCTTTCAAAATTATTTCGAAAACAAATGAAACGCATTATGCTGAAATTTTCGATAACCAGTAATACATTGCTAGCGCACACTGCTGCAATTCCGATTTTCGCTACCAGTATGGACAATACTGTTGCAATGTATCAATCATTATACAGTACTGCAGCAACGACGCAAATTCAGACAAGTGATAATTCCACCAGAGCTGAAGAAGTTTCTTATTTTTTATTAACTAGGGCGTTAATAGGATTGGAAAAGCATTGATAGAGAGAAAGCATTGATTCAGTACAAATACTTTGAACTTTTTAGTCAGTAAGCTTCATTATCATTGTACGACTGAAATTTTTTGCTTCTGTATATCCTTTTATAGCTCTACTGATGACATTTTTTGGTCGTATTTATTACTGGATTAGTTCAACTACTTACTCTTGTATTCATTTGCATTTATTAACATTCTGGAATTGATAAATTTAAGTTGTGATATTTCAGAAATGTGTTTTCAAACCTAAGAGGATTCTGATTCTATCTAAATTAACGCGATTGGAATATGAAAGGCAAACTCATCCACTTCTCAACGAAACTCAGCTGAAAAAGGCGGTAAAATTTATTTGCCTATTAAAATTTTTCTTTATCTTTCCTACATTTAAAAAATTGTATGGTTGTTTTTGTTTCGTAAAATCACATTTTTTTAAGTTAGCACGACGAGGATCTAATTATGAAAGGCTTCGAAGGCGGTATGACGAGCATTACCAGTTTTTAAATGTCGTGGTATGTGAACTAAGGTTTGTAGATTTCCTTTCAGCGAAAGTTTAATACAAAGTTATAAGTCTTTTTTTCCTACTCGATTTTTTTCTTAGAAGAATTTCGCCCGAGTGTGGATGTTTTGTCTGGCTGTTTTGCTCATCACTAATATTTACTCTTAGAGCTTGTGGTATCGAAACTCGAACTGTGCAAAGGTTTGACTACAATAATGCTGCAGTTTCATGGGCTGATGCTGTATTTTCTGCGGGTGGTGATGGCACGTTTTTACACGCAGCTTCAAGAATTTCATCAATGGAAAAACCTGTGATAGGGATAAATACTGATCCTAAGGGGTTAGATTTTTATAATTTCTGAATATTGTTTGACGCTAATAGCGGTTTCACTTCAGTGTCCTTCATTTTTCCTACATTTTCGAAACTTATGCCAATTGGGATTGTAAAACTATATCGTTCTTCATGAAATAATGACCTAGAGTTCAGATGTTTTTTAATGTTGAAGTGTTTAGCATAAAATAAAATTTTGCAAACTAATATATTTTTTGCAAACTAATAAAATTTTGCGAACTAATTAAAATATATGATATACTTATTAATTTTTCACTTTTAGAATGTATGATATACTTATTAATTTTTCACCTCTTTATATCCAAAGCGATGATTACAATTTAGCTCAGAGGGCCATCTCTGTTTGCTGAAGAAATTGTCGCACGAATATTTCAGAGATGCCTTGAAACGATTACTTGCTGGTGATTTTAGGTACGCTTGTGTTATTGTTGGAGCTAACTTCTTTAAACTTTGTTTCATCAAAAAATTAATATAGGAGTTAATTATTGGTTATAAATACTGACAGTCAGCCTTTCAATGATGGTTCGAAAATCGACTCGTGGTACACACTATTTTATTCACATATCCCACAAGTCATAAGATTTTGAATGTCGTTTGGTGAAACGATTTGAGAGATTCTGCTCACATTTTATATCTTCTGTTCATCATAAAGCAATGAAAAAAAAGTCTTCTCATCCTTCTCCTAGCGACTTGCATTTAGCATGGGAGTTATAATTGAAAAATAACTGATATAAGTCAAGTTCTAATTTAAGCCAAGCTGTAATTTTTTTAGAATCACAAGCTCCAAGTGTCAGTTTTATTTCATGAAAGTGCTAATTTCAGGTGGTTATATCGACAACGTATACGCATACGTCTGGAAGGTGATATTGGAAATAATGAACCATTTTATTTGCATGAAGAGCAGCTACCTTTTCATAACTTGAAAAAGCAGTATGATTTATCTATTACAGATTTTTTTTTCATCTTCCAAGTTTTCCATCAAGATTTTTGTGCGCTGGGTACCATTCTTTCCTTTCCATATATCACCATCTAATAACTTGTTGAATTCAAACTCAACTTATTTTAGATTTCAAATGATATTCCATCATCGATATTTTGTATTAAGCTTATTAATCTTCATGTCAGGGAAATATTGAAATCAAGAAGAAGATCGGAAAACAATGTTGAAGGACATGTGAATGTATTGTCGGATCCGGCTCTAAATGACGTTTTCATTGGCGAGAGCCTGTCATCTCGTGTATCTTATTACGAAATTCAATGTGATGATGGTGAAATGGTAAAACAAAAGAGCAGCGGTGTTTTAGTATGCACAGGTATGATGTTTCGAAGTTTTTTGAATAACCGAGGGTGCTAGTAAACATTTTTCTGTAATAGCCCTGATATTTTAAAATTATGAACCAAAACTTTTTACAAAATTCCAAACACGAAGTGAAAACACAGTTCATCTTCCAATTTTTAAAAGATCAATTTTTAAATTCGGTTTAGTCGGAGTAGAGCATAGCGACTGATGGGGAGTGACTGTTGAGGAAAACGTGTAGGTTTTACATTTCCTTTTGCTTTTTTATATACTATACTGCAATATCACTAAAATTTCAGTGCAGTATATTTTATATTTTGTTCAAGGTGTTAACTGCTTTTCGTCAATATTAATATAAAAAAAGCACTAAATAGTTCAGGATCTGGTTCAACTTCTTGGTATTTCAATATAAATAAAATGACCGATCATTGTGTATCTGATATTCTGGGTATTGCTTCGAAGGAAATCGGAAGTGCGACATTGGGAGAGGATAAACCATTAATCCGTAGAATTCGTGACATTTATAATAGTCGTCTATTGTTCACTCCGGATTGTGAAAGTAATTTTTTTCGCCATCAGTTTTTATTTCTTTTTTGGTCTAACTTTTCAGATAAGAATTTGCTCTGATTTTATTTTGTATTATATTTATTCTAGTATCTTTTGCAGACATGGCTTACTGTGTTCGCGATCCAGTATATAATTCGACGTATCCAGAATTCCCACCTCGTGGACTGGTAAAGCGTTTGCGACTTCACTCACGTTGTTATGATGCTCATTTGGTTATTGATGGTCGAGTTGCTTACAAATTTAACGATGGTGCTGAAGCAGTCCTTGAGGTTCTTTTGTTACTTTTTGTTTACATCAATTTGTCGCTAAAGATATATATCCATAATTGACTTGTGAAATATAAATTCTTCTTTAATGAATATTAGACTATTTACATTATGTAAGCACCATTCGTTAATTTGATAAAATATATCATAAACTGTAATTAAATAATTGAACTGTTGATCCCGATTATCCGTTCCCATACGTCATTGTGCAGATTTAATTATTCCGCAAGAAAATAAGTGCAAAAAAAAATTATTAATTGAAGTTATTAGGGAAAAAAATGAAAACGTTATTTGGAAATGCTTACCATCTAGAAATGTATTGTTGCACGAATTACTATAGGAAGTACATTCTGGAATACTAAGCTTCTTTCATGTAACGATGGCATTAAAACAGCCTATTGCAGAGCTATCATAAAATGTCTAAAACGTGCTAAATACTTTCCAGACAACATTTCTGTTTCATTCAAGAATATTCAGGGTTTCTGTAGGGAACAGGAAATTTGTATAGTTCTCTCTTATTCACGAAAATTTTATTGCCATATTTTACAATAAATTTGCAGATTCATCCCGAAGATGCGCTGAAAACAGTCATATTTCGATGATAAGCGTTTGCATTTATTTCCCATCGTTTGACAATATCTTGGTAAGTTGTTGATGCATATTGCAGCTTATTCAGATCGGGCAAAATTTTATTGGAACTCATCTTTTTGCAACAGGTATATTAAAGTCTTCATGACTTCATCACTTATGCTTTGCTTTTATTTTTCTAAAGCCATTATAATGACGTTACAATTGTCCTATATAATTATTGTGTATACATTAATATTTTCTCCAAGTGTAGCGCTATGGTTTTTTTCCAAATGTGACATCACATTGCATCACTGCGGCATATTGAGGGTGCGTGACACTGACATTTTAATCGATTTCGATTTTGTTTTGTTTTTACTATTACTGGACAATTGAATGAAATAAATGGTTGGACCGTTTGTGTACAAATAAAATACTAAGGGGCCATTATTTCTGAAGTACTATTTTTTTTCCAAATTTTTTTATTTTGGGAAATATATTCGTCTCGTCCTTACAACCGCTTTTTATTCAATCTTATGAAAATCTGCAGTTACCTTGATAGTCTTACACAATGGTATATGTTATCCCATCCCCATTTGTATCTAACCGGTTGACTTTATCTGAAAACAGTTGTCAAAAATCGCTGATAACTATATTCATTATTTAGTTAACTATGCATAGAAGGTTTTACATTTCCCTTATATAATGTTATCCATTCTATGTAAATCATGAGCGACTTTATCTGAAACAAGATATAATATAATAACAAAATATGTTTTGACAAGTATTGCCGAATAAGGCGATAACATGCACTTTGAAATGTCAGGTTTATTTTGAAATTAAACGCTAAAACATGAAACAATACAGATCAATATAAACACTACATAAGACCAAACAACAGTGCAATGAAAACAAGCGCAGCTTCTAGCAAAAATAGTATATCTCATTCCTTCTGTATTTGGGGTTAGTCATCGGATACAGCATTCCAGTATCCAGAATAGATCAGCTCCGAATCATACCAACAGGTGCTAGAAAATCATGATGGGCGGTCAATTTCGGAATTGGTACCAAAAAATGTAGCGCCATCTGGATCATCATCAGTTGGAAGAACGTCTGGAGGAGATTCCTGTACAGAGAATACCTGAAAAATAAACTAAAACTTACGTTGTCCCAATATCCTTCAAGTTTACGTTTTTGTAGTGGAACTCCTTTGAAATGCAAAATAATATACCTCATCGGGGTCTAGAAGGTCGGGTGGAACTTCTTGCATTTGCACCGAAGGAGCATGACGAATTTGCCTCAAATGATCCAACACTTCTTGCCTCAAAGCAGTGATATACTGAAAATTATGATGGAAACGCGCGAACTTTTCATAAACAAAATGACATGTAGAGGCATTTAAACTGTAATATGAATTCAAAGAGTATTTTTATAAGAATTGGGTTTAAGAGAGATCAAAATAATTGAGCATAATAAACATATTCCACATTATCAAAGTAATGTTTTTTAGGCACAACATTCTTTAAAAAAAGCTCATATTTGATTGGACTAACTTCTTTGGTATTTTGATTCTCCTGCCTTTTTGCCAACGTCGGTCTTAGTGTGAATTCCGGGGCAAAGAACTGTAGGTATTCTGAAACACAAACATTATAAATAGTTGAGAATCTGGAACTGAAATCTTAGGAAAAAATGAAAATATCACCAGTATTATTCGGGATTTCATCTGGAATTTCATCTTTTTTGCCAACCAGAATTGCAGTTTCATATGTCCAACACCGCGCAACGTTACGTAATGTATATCCTCCACCACCTACTGCAAGCATTGGAATTCCCAAACTGCGAACAAAATCTACACATTCCCTAAAATGATATTTGGATAACCAAAGGAATGCCTTGTGTATATTGATAAAAATCAAGAACAGAATATTGCAGGAGGATCTTTCGCTAGTCGATATACAGGAAATATTGATCATACCTTTTTAGTAAATAGTTATTTATAGTAATACGAAGCACAAAATATATTGACGAAAGCATAAAAACTATTTTAGCGAAGAGACAACAGAGATAACGAACCCATGGCCGGAAAAGCTCAAGTTAAAACACCCTAAGCGATCACACCCCAATGAATCAGCGCCACATTGCAGTACAATAACTGATGGATTGAAACAATCAATAACAGCTCGTACAACTGGTTTGAACAAGGAATGATAATCTGAAATGAATTTATTCCAAAACTGAAAATTTAATTCAATCTTCCGTAGAATTTCTAAATTTGAAAATGGATGTCAAATTTATGCATCTTTCATATACTATTCTATTCTTAAATACTATTCTTAAAGCAAAAGTCTACAGAAATAAATGTAATAAAAAGCTGCATTTTCTACAAATCTATAAAGATTATCTGCGCCAGGATTAAATAGATGAATATACTTTCATCGTCCATCCCCTCTTTCATGGGAACGTTCACAGCGTAATAACGACCACTGTCTTGTCCAACATCATACATATCTCCAGTTCCTGGGAAAAAATAATTGCCGTACTTGTGAAACGAAACTGTCATCACTCGATCAGTCAAATAGAATGCTTCCTGGAAGTATTCTGCTTGAGAAAAGCAACAAGAAAGTAGACAAATTAACCAAAGAACTATGTTACTGATAACGACAATTAAATACCGTTCAAAAAATTTTCATCGGCTTGTTAACAAAGATTACCTGAACTCCATCACCATGATGTATATCTATATCAATATAAAGTACTCGAGGATGGTATTTGAGCAATTCTAAAATTCCAATAACAATGTCATTTACATAACAAAATCCTGAAGCTTCACGTTTCTTAGCATGATGAAGACCACCACTCCAGTTAATAGCAATATCACTTAAACCATGATTCAAACGAGCAACACCTGCAAAACGTTATTATTTGTTACAAATGAAAATATTACGAATTTTCTTGAATAACTTGATATCTGACTTAAAAAAAGTTGAAAAGGTCCTTATCATTACATATATTTTTTTAATTTAAATCATACCGCTAAGTGTAGCGCCCGTATAAATGGAACAAAATTCGAAAATTCCATCAAAAATTGGACAGTCTTCACCAATATTATATTGCGAGAAAAGATTTTCATATTGGTCAGCCGTCCGGGGTGACACCCGCTGAAGAAAGTCTACATAATCCCTACAAGCATAGAATTTCAACACTGTAACTTAATTCTTTTACAAGTCATTAGAATCACTAAAGTAAATTTTAGACAAAAGTTCAGTTTTATTTATACCAGTTTATATGCAATCGGAAGGCAGTGACAGAATGATCTCATGTTTCTTAACAATCTGAATAATTGTGAAACCAAGATAATTATCTTCATCTGCGTCAGAATTAATGAAATAATAGCCGATGCTACCTCCCTAATTACAAACGTTCAGAATGCTTACAGTACAGCCGACGATACAAATCAATTCAAGTTGATTTGTCAAAAAAATCTCAGCAGACGGACAAGAATGATGTGAGAGGGAAAGTGTTAGTTTTGCATGACTCTGAGTTGCAAAATTTGGCGTTAAGGCATGTGTGGAAAAGAAAAAACCATTTTATATGTAAAAGTTTAAGGTATAATAAGATAGCTGAGTGCCAAAAATAATCTAATCTTATAACCTCACATGTTCATATCTCAAACTTATGTAGGTAGCTGGGAAGGAGAGATAATAAACTTCCATTACATAACAGTAAAATTGTCGCATGTCAGAAATGATTCTGAAATACACAAACAACTTACTTCGAATGGAATCGCTCAATCTCCATCGCAGATGCACGGGGCGGCGTAAGTACAAGCATTTCTTTGTGTAAGCCATAATTGACGATGAGACTATGAAGAGCAGCTAAACGTTGCGGCTTCATAGGATGCCTCGAGCCATAATGAAAATTTGGTACGTCGTGGTGAAAATAGTAGCACACCTCCCGTTTTGATGTCATCTCTTCCAATCTCTCTTCACTACATTCTTAGATATCGAACCTAAGTATCAAAACTTCATCTCAGCATTTACGAAGATCCGAAAATTCCAGCTTAGGTCCCTGACCTAATCCAAATCTATGAGTACCCAAACCTCTACGATTTGAACACTATTACACCTTATGCAATATATGGTTATGACCCAGCTATCAGTATAACCCTCTAAATTCATTACCAAAATCATGCGAATGCTTCCGGTGTTTAAACTTTCTGCTGTTGACATGATTTAAGCTGTCGACTAGAAATATATGTGATTCGACAACACTACCAGTAATCCGTCGGCACAAATTTCTTTCCTTAAATGATATTCGATTTCAATCCCCAACGACACAATTTTATGTCACACAATATAATAAAAAATCACGAAAAATGTAATAGGACACATATGAACATACACAATCCGAAGAATATGATTTTACAGGACACTATAAATGGTCCGCAAAACAAGGAGCATTTATACAAACGTAAGAAATATTTTCTTCATACATATGCATTATGAAAGGAAATTGTGAAAATGAACAGGTAAGAGAACCTCGCAGTACGAAAGCGATCTTTGATCAGATTCTATATTCAATAATGAATTTTCAATTAAAATTAAAACTGCGCTTCAAGCCCTGAAATTTGGGCTTACTTGGATACAATATTAAATAATACCTATTAAATGAAGGAATTTCAACTGAGAATATTAACAAAGACAAGGCGACAACCACTTACTCAATGGAAATAAAATCACGTGCTTGCCAATATAAACACAATGATTAGATTATAGAGATTGTTATATTACTAAAATAATTGATTCTACAAAATGACAACATGCCCCTTACGACGATATAAACATTTTTCATTGGTCATAAGGCTTTTGCAACTGTAACAGCATTTAATGCATTCGGCACATAAGTACGATGAGGTGATGAGGATGAGGATGAATAATGAGGGGAAGATGAAGAAGACGGTTGAGAATACAGTTCAGCAAGAAGTTGTGCTAATGCTGAGCTACTTTCCACACGCGATAATGACAACCAGCTAAGCAAACGCTCATGACGGCGAAGAAGTCTGAAAATCATGAGGCAATTAATAAATGGATAACCACTTCATTTAAGCTGACAATGAAATTTAAAGATGAAATTGATCCGATAAGCATGCCTACATTCGTGCCACATTCCACGAATGGAAAAAAAAATGAAATGGAAATATTTGTTCTCAGGCCACAAAAATTCAAGTCAAAATAAGCAGAAAGAAAAAGGAAGAAAAAAATTTACCGTCTTCCATCACTTGAATAGCGCGCCAAATTTCTGAGAATGAGACAGCTCGTCAAACGAATGCTTTTTGTCACGGGTCCTTCGGGATCATCCTATAAGTTCTCAATAGATTCAGATAGCTGCTCCTTCAAAGATTTTAATCCTTAATTCTAATTTAGGTCAACATTAAAAGCAAAAAATAAATTGAACACTACAAGCACACCGTAATATCACGGGGAAGATAATTGAAAGCATGCCGCCGGATTGCTTCAACAGCTGCATTCTTCGAATATCCCGGATGTTGCACAATTTCTCGTGGTCTTTCCGGATTAACTGGCCCTAAAGGCAAACCATGTCCTGCAAACAATAAAAAATGAAATAAAAAAAGTCGTGCATACGGATAATTATTGAACAATAATATAGATTTTTCTTAGGCTTGCTTTCATCTCGTTATAATTTGACTATTAATTAAAGAAAAACTATATTATAGGGAAATATTTTACTGCATCAGTAAATTTTTTAGCTATCAACCTTCTTTTCGTCTTTTGGCAGCAGCTTTCAGAGCAACTTCATTGCAATGGTGATCTTGTAAATGCGTCACCATAGACCATTTGGCGCGCACCGTTGAATCACATCGTGGCCAGTGACACTGTATGCTATGATCTTCGCCAACGTGTTCCTTGGTACAGTGATAAAGAACGAAAGATGCAGATGAAAAGTGCCTAAAACATGAATATTTTGTAAAAATCAGGAGAGAGAAATGAAAAAATGCAGATTCTTCCCTAGAATATGACGTAAATTTTCTATCCATATATTGTTAAAAACGCACTCAAAATTGCAAATTTCCAGCTAAAAAATATTATGTAATAGTATAACAAAAGACTGTTCTACTTACTTTCCACATCCGTTCCATTCACACAAGTAATCATCGCTGTCAGTTGAAGATGTAGTTGGTCTGTTGTTGGAACAGGCCGATACACGACGCCGCTTCACAGAGACTGGAGAACAAGGTGTAGATGCACAAGATTTCAGTGAATCACAATCATCATCACGAGTGATCCCCATTACAGACGTTGATGGATGTATCGTCTCAGTACCCGCCTTTACAACATTTGCAATCGGTTTCCCCTTAAATTAAATGTTGAATCACGCTTTGATTTTTAGATATGACTAAAGATTAATTCAGTTAACAGTGATACAGTAAAAACTACAAACCATTAAAAAATGAGGGCATAATAAAGATTCAAAAAAAGAGATCAAAATTGAAGATCTTGCATTACACGTAATCTCATCGCGATATACAGGTGATACAGCTAGATAGCATTAAAAAGATTACTTTGCTGGAATATCAAAGTCTAGACGAAGTATGCAATCAACAGTAAGTGTAAATTGTAGCAAGTATTATATATCACAGTTACGCATCCGGTAGTTCATATATAAATAAGAGACCTTTATTAAACTTCCCCCTGACATAAATAATTTTCAACAAAAACCTAGCATAAAAATGGTTGACATTCAAGTAACATCTAGTTTACAAAGGTGAAGAAACCCTGCCTCTTTCGAGCCTGAAGATGCTAGATTTCCATTCAATGCTTGATTGATCGTACTTCCGGAAGACTGTGCGAGTTCACTATCAAAACCGTTTGCCACGCCCTCACTATTTATAGCTCGATTATCACACATCCCATTCATACGCCTAGCAATTGCACTTTTGGATTGTACTTGATTATGTACCTGCAATTTCCAGCCACTGACAAAACCCTGTTAAGACCAAATCTATCGCCATTTTCAAGGATGACTACCTGTCTACGGAAGTAGATCCACAATAATTAGAGATTTCTGGTATTAATCGGAATTAAATACAACTGGATAATATCAAGTAATTATAAATAACGATTCACTTGTAAAACAAGTTTATCATCTACAGTGTTTATGACTGCTCCAGAAGCACTTTCTACACGCAAAATCTTTGTCTCATGCCGTTGTTCCGGTATGAAATCATGCGCCTCAATCGTTACTCGACCAACCTCAAATTATGTCAGTATATCAGAACAGATTGATTATTCCATCTCCCATATTTCTACAAAATTTTATCATAATTCTCTTACTCTCAGCGAAATGTGTGCAACCAGTTTTCTTTTACATTTCAACAAAGAAATTAGGCTTATTATAATAAATACCTGTTGGCCAAATGATAAGCTAGTTGATGGTTGCGCACTCGCTACATGAGAGGAACTGGGACGTAGCGTATCTTCTGAGAGATATGACGCCGGCAAAGTTGTTGATGTATTGCTAGGTGTTTCATTCAGTGACCTGCAAATAAAAAGTGTCACAATCAGATTCGGCCAAGATCAGCACAGAAATCAGAATTCACCAGAGTTTCAAGATCAGCACAGAAACTGGAATTCACCAGAGTTAAACTAAAAACGTACACCTAACCCTGACGACGAGTTTGAAATTTTAAAAATTTTAACATTTCCTATAGAAGAGAATACTTCTTATCAGTAGTTGCAGCAGTAGCAACTACGGTAACTGTGGTATGGCCGTTCAAAATCGCTGGTGCATTCGCATTATCTGCAAGCATTTTTTGCACGAGCGGATGATTCGCCACCAAAGATGTATGCGAATCTGTGTTTGTAGAAGCTGCAAACAAAAGAATTTCAGACTTAATAAAATAATTCAGAATTTAATTTGTGGAAAGCTTAATATCAACGAATCCTAAACTAGTACTACACATAATTGCTTTCCAAAGCACATCTAGCACCTCCAAAGATTGAGAGAATTAAACTCACCAGCAAGGTTTTCATGGCTACTCATATTCGGATTTAATCGACACATCCTTATATTTTCAAAAACTGGCATATTGCTACCAGACGAAGACTGAACTCGAAGTACGACACCTGGATACACCGCTCTGAATTAAAAAATTTTAATTGTGCGCAGTTCCGCGTAAATTTAATTTGACTATATTTCTGATAAGCAATAATTTTGTTTTTTTTAATATTGCTTACAATTTTCGGAAAGTATCCCAAATAAATGTAAGGAAAACATTGGAAAATAAACCTCATGATATTTGTAAAAGTTTGAACAGAACCCGAAAGGGCACCATAACGGTGTCGAAGGTCATCAACATAGCTTGCATATAACTCCCCGCGAGGCACTATACTGCCCATTTCAAAGACACAATTCATTCTAATCCACTTTGCTGTCAACTGCTCAACCTACAAAAATTATGTAAATAAACCAAATTATAATTGATTACAAAATTAACGCATTTTAGAAACAAAGAAATTGGGAAAAAAGATTTCGTCGCTATCTCACACGACACAGGCAGCCAATACTTGAAAAAATATTTAAAAAATTTGAAAACCTTAGAATCTCCAATTACTGGCGTTGATGAATTGGAAGTACTGCGTGGGGTTACCAACCTGGACGAATAACTTGTGGAATGTGTGGGTGTTGCGAAGGAACCTGGCCTGACTACCTAAAAAATTTATTTTGAAACTTTTACTTTCAAAACAAAAAAACCAATCAGATGAAGCAATGTCTTTTAGACTATACCTGATTTTGAGATATTGATATGTTTTGCGGAGGTGGAGGGGCAAGCTGTGATGGTCCATGAAACTCAACCACTTTCATTCCAATTAATCCGGATGGACCAAAAGAAACTGCTTCAACTGTTGCCAAAGACACCAATGTATCAATTGCATGAGGAAAACGAGATAACTGGTAGCAAGCGGTTGCTCCCAATTCGGAGATCTGCAAAAATTATCAAAATTAGATAAAAAATTTAGAGAAAAAAATAAAATACCCCAAGCACTAAAAGTACTGCCAATTAAATTAAAATAGTTGTCAGAAACACTATGAAATACAATCATAATTAATAAGCTATTGAAAGCTATAAAACTCGACCAGTTTTATATTGATTAAACAAAATAATGGTCGGAAAAATATCACACCGCAAACGCTTAAGTGTCACAAACAAATATACCTGATATAGAGATTCCAAAGTATAAACACACATCATGATATCCTTGACAGAAATCACGGTAAATATTTTAGATAAAATACGATGATCGAGAAATTCACAAATAAGAGATTCATTACGCTCGTTATTGCACAATCCGGAGAGAATTTCGAGGGCTCGAATAACCTATAAATCGAATTTGTTTAAGGTGGATGGTACAATTACTTTGCAAACTTCTCACCAATTCGAGTCATAAATATTGTAACTCTCCTCCTGAACAAGGTAAGATCATAAAATTCAGTAAGAGAATCAGTTTCACTATCAAAAAAATGTTCTGATTACTTTGTGAATAGAAGGCACAAAATCAGATGTGGATCTAAAGCACGCCTTTACTTCCAAAATTATTTAATTCTTATATTGAGCCAAAAGTAAACAAGATTAGCACAGAAGATTAACATATTAACATGCTTACTCGAAATTTATCGTCAGAATGAAGACAGCATGAAACCGTTTTTAGTAACAAATGATTGGTTGAAGATGACTCTTCCGCCATAAGATCAATCTGAAATTTGACATAATATTGAAGTTCTTTAAGATCTAAAATTTTTTAACAGCTACAAAAATACACATGGAACCTAAAAACTTCATAAAATTCTAGAAAAATGAAAAAAATAAAACTCTACGAAATTCTAGAAAAATGGGTGAACAATAAAATAAACGTTAGCTTACTTCACAAGCGATATTACTTAACGCATCAAGCGCTGCTGTCCTCAACATACTCCATTTACAATTCGAACAAATAAAAAGAAATCTGAAAAAAAAAATGCATAAAGAATGAGAATTAATGAACCACGAATTATGATAGATATTGCTGGTGTGATCTATTTAGGCAAAAACAAACAAGTTTCTAACTCTTTTTAGCTAGTAATCAAAAAAGGAAGCAGGTATAATATATACTCTTTAACGTCTGCCACACTTAAAGTGCAGTTACATCGGAAACATGAGGTGATCTGTGCTTAATGTGTCAACTATCGTGGTAATATCAGTAAACGACCAAACTAGAATAAAGATAATAACTAATCTGCATCCTAACTCTAAACCTTCAAAAACATACTTGAGTAAAGGCCAACTCGCTGCCAGTATAGCTTTATTAATCACTTCAAAAGAAAGATTCCTTATGATTGACAACACCTGTTGTACTCGCCATGATACAACATTTCGTGGTTGAAATTCAGTGTCCAAACCACAAAATATATTACTTTCTTCTTCCGAGACCTGAAAATGAAATAACTGATAACATGAAAAATTTAATCAAAAAACAATATCCCATATCACCCTCCACTGATATGTGACTGTTCTATATCATCCTCCAATGATATGTGAAAACAATATTCCGTACAAAAACCCTTGCAATTATTGACATCGTAAGCCAAAAATGGAAAGAAAAAAATATACCGTAGAGGGTCTGATATGAGGAATAAGTTTGAGAACTTCGTCATCAGTGATACCAGCCCCACTCCAAAATGCAATAAAATTGTGACCAGAAACCAATTCCCAACTTTTGTACAAGTCGTAAAATGCTCGGTCACCTACAATTAAAGTCCCTTCAAAAGTCACAATAGAACCCATTAATATTTACGAAAAATCAGACATATAAGCGAAGTATATCTTAAAAGTGCATTTATCAAAAGTTGATTAAAAAGAAATCATTATTTAACAGTAATGTTCTTCATTATCACATATTTTTTTAGAAATTCTCAGGATCCACATTCACTTAATTTTTTAAACAATAACTCACAATCTGGAAAGATCGCGAGATGGGCAACCAGAAGTGTGATAATTTGCGGAGCAGCAACAAGTCGAAGAACTCTAGGTCCAGGATGAGATAATAGGGTGCATACATTCACAGCGAAGTCCACCTCAAATACATTAGTCAGAAGTCGCTATCCAAGAAAAGACATCAAAAATCAAGACACCTATACTGCATAAAAGATAAATCCATTACTTCATTCGGCAATCCAGAAAGGAGACTTTTAACAATGCGATCATACTCCGCTTCTTTCTTTTCTGGCCGCATTCGAAAATATTCTGCAAATTAAACGTAATACAGTAAGACTCGTCGTCAGATGATTACCAATATCCTAAGACGAAATACTGTATAACTGCACTTTATTCATCCCGTAACAAAATGTTGATATTAGAAAGTGGAAAAAAGTGCAGTGAAAAGCAAAAATTTCATGATACTAACAGCTTTTCATATAATTAAAATTAGATTTAAATTTGTCACAAATAACTTTAATCTTCATAAAATTATATATCTAATTATGCCGTAGCTATACCTGAAGCCTGCCTTTGCCCCATACTGATCGGACAGTCAGCAGTGGCCAACGATGAAAAACCTTTACTTCGACTTCTCGAACTTAAAAGATCTGAATCTGCATCATCCACTTCACCAACTAATTCATTCTGCTCATATTTCGAAAGGTATCTAAAAAATGATTGAAAAAATAGATGCCAACTAAAATAAAAACCATCAAAAGAAATCACAACTAAAATAAAACCATCAAACAAAGCCCTAATCACGGAAGATGAGCCAGAAACAAGACGTACCGCATATAAAGCACTTTGATTGCATGTTCGGCAACTGCCACACCATTCGTAAGACCGATTGCACGAGCAATATCACCCCATTTCTCGTTAAATGAAACCTGAGAATGAAAAAATTTTCAATATACCATGTGTTCATTTTCTAAGTTTAAAAGTGTGTACGAAATTTTTAAAAACAACCGAATATTAACTTATATATTAAATTGTACGACGGGTGCTTACTGAAGTCTTTCTTTACTGGGAAAACTTGAAAGTTTTGCAATGCAGTTTAGATGTGAAAAATTGAACTGTTTCATCAGGAAACTTCCAACTCAATCATCAAGCAGTAAAAATGAATGAAAAATTTCATGGATAAAAATGCTACTACAACGGAGGGGAAAAGCTCTTTTTGGTAATGAGCGATAGGCCCACATAAGAATGCTCCCTCCAGCCATTCTGTATCAGGTCCCAGTGACGCAATTCTCTAAATTATCGTGAACTATAAGAAAGATGACACATAAAAGCAATAAAGAAAATTTCGGAAATCAAGGAGCAAGGAAGCTGTTTAATCAGATTCAAAGATTATTAGAGAACATTGTTCTGCAGAAATTGAAGCGTCTTCTATAATATAAAAACACTCAAATAATCGAATACTTCTGTTTTGCACTAATCAACATTTTGAACAAAATATGTACACCTTTTGCCAACCACCCATCGAAATAACAGTGTCATACAAACGAAAAAGATCCACTTCAACACCTTGAATATGCGGAGACTTTAACCGGCAATTCCTGTAAATAAAAATTTTTCAAATTAATTTCCCCACTGACATCACATACATGATATTAAATTATGAATAAAAAAATCCTTTGACGACTCTGATCTTTTGAAAAACTGATGCACGACATGCAGTCCCTTCATTAATTGGAGAAGCGTCATCCCCAACAATCAAACAGGTTAAAGGCTGAAACGAACCAATGGAAAAACTCTCCTCAAGTAACGCTGATGATAAGAATTAGAACGCTTTTGGAAATTGGAAATTTTTAAAATTATATTGTAACGATATAAAATGAATATTGTGCCAAAAATGAGTTAATCATGATTTTGTAAATCATAACTAACGAACGGATTTTTAAAATGCTACAATTCACATGAATTATCCGAGCAACAAACCAGGACCTGCAACATCTCGACTCTAAATTACCCAAAATTAGGAATCCTAGCATAAAAGGCAAAATGTCAAGAAATCTAACCATCGCTTTTTGTAAAAAGTCCGTAAATGCATATGAAACTCCGAACAACGCTGCACTTTATCGGGATTTTCCATTAACCTATTGAGATACTCCGCAACTGACGATCTTCGTTTCCGTCGCTCCATTCTGAGATCTGCAGCGCACTGCCATTGTGAATTACACACTCACACAAAACATTATGCACAACATTTCGCGAACATAAAAAACAACAGCATAGTGACATGAATTTCAATGTCAGCAATAAGTTCACTATTTTTGCAAACTTTAAATCATGATAATATTTTATTCTGCTGTGTTAGGAGAGTTGTCATTTCATCTTTCTCATCTTTCAGACTATCAAGACATTCAGAATGAGTCTTCGACAGTAATGAAAAAAAATTTTGAATATGTAATGAGTTAAAAAAATACCACAAATGTGTAAATTTTCTTTGTTTCGTTTTTGATAAAATGCTTTCTAAGATACATACAATCCGTCATTTCCGTAAATAATCTTAGAGGTGAAATTGCATTTCGGAACGACAAGGAAACTGTTTTGATCCACTAAAGTTAATATAATAAAAAAAATACAAGGAGCGAATGTATCATTCAAAATGCATTTTCGTTGCTTGCAAGTGTACATGAGGAAGAAAATTTTAAATTATGTATTTCTTCTCCAGTTTTTTTCAATTTGGAAAATCAAGATGCCGAGATGTAATTGTTTTGTTTATTTTCGCCCTCACATTTTCCTCACTCAGCAACAATATACTTCACCATTAGCTCCATTCTGAAACCACAAAAAGAAGAATCACAACGAAAAAAGTATCATGAAGAAATGATCAATATTCAAATACTTAAATAAAAGTGAATCCTTCACTAAACCAATTTCCACTTGTCTACCACAATTTCATTTGTCTATCACAATTCCATTTGTCTACCATATTCCATATGCCTACACACACAGAATACATAAAAGCTTCTCATACATGCACATTAAGTTACACACACATTGAGCACATCCAGAAATACAAATAAACTGAATAAATTAATCAAACAATGATAATAAATTATGTAGATCAATTCAGCTGGATTCGGACAAAATAAAAACAGAAGAGCAAACAAGATTGTGATGGAATTTCATCGATTATAACAACTAAAGAGTTTTAAACTTACTGTGATGTGTCAATGTAAAGATTAAAACATAATTATTTGGAGTACTCTACAATTCAAATCTAAATCTGACAAAGATTCATAATCTATTAACAATAATCTCATGCGGAAGACGACCCATTCCTCCGAATAGACATGTTCATGAGGTTTTCAAAACGCGATCAGCTATAGAAGTCTTCAGATATTTTCAAGTCGTTCAAGTTTTCAAAAGAAATGAATTTTTATCAACTGATATAAAAACAGTCTTTGCTTTTTTCCTACACTATCTTTGTCATATAAAATTAATCAAAGAAACTAATACAATCCGAAACTTATTGTAACTTTAATTAACATTTCGTATTAAAAAAACCATCCAGACGTATATTTGAGTAACTTCTATATGGCTAATACATAGTTTTAAAACAATTCGACACTAAAACAAATCTAAAATTAATGAAAGAATATTCAAGCAACTCAATCACTCGAACATTTTGTAATATTTTACTTTACTCCTTTTGCTGTTTCACTCCAACTATAATTTCCACTAAAATTCAGTATGCCATTTGCTGCATTTGCGCCATGTAAATGGCAAAAATGTTTAAAGACTGATTACAAAATTCCAAAGTGAAATATAATTGTCATGCAGACGCAACAATATTGTCAGTAGTAAACAGTAAAAGCCAGCTGATTATGTCGTAAAATAGTTACAACTCTATCATAACAATCAACGCACGAGCAATCATACGTGACAGGTGGGAGTACACAAGAAAGATACGAGAGTTTGTAGCAGTCACATGTGTATTTTAGTGTATGAGCAGAGAAAGCGAAGCAGTAACATTAGTGCGGTAAAATGGCATCATTTCGAATGAAATAGCTAAAAAGACGATTGAGAGTGCAAATGACATCGACAGTTCATCGCATCCCTTACCCATATTTTTATAGGGGTACCACACGTATATTGTGTGATTCTGATCGACCTTGTCGAAAAGACACGTGCCATGCAGTGTCGTGCATACCTATGCACGCACACGCACACAACTTAGGGCGAAAAGTCCAGCGATAAATGCACCTACCACACACTAATAACGCCTTGTTTCGCTGTTTCTCTATGCGTGCGTGTTAGCAACAGCAGCGCCATTGGTTGGCTGCTACAATGGAACAGCTCACTGTCTAGTCGCCTGGCAAACAGATCGATTTCCTAAGCTATTCTATTTTATTAACATACTAACTATCTGGATGTCTCATATCAATAAATAGCTATCCAATATTATTTCATCTTCTCTGCAATTTGTCTTTTTTCATTTTCCATCAACAAAATACCATATTCCTCTCAAATCATCTCTACTCCTCTTCATTATTTAGTTATGATTAGCACTATTCAATAAATCTGTACGTCAAATGCTCTCCTTTTTTCTAGTACTCTATGATTACCTTCTCACCATTTCTCCTAATTATTACGCTTCGAGTACTTTCTTACATTATTATACTGTATCACATGTAATATCGTCGTCTGCAACATTCACTATACTATTTTGTTCAACAATCGGAAAATTCGTTCATTCTGCGATGGTGTCAACATATCAGATCGATAAGTTGAAACAAGGGTTATTAATTGATGGGTATAGTGAAAAAAGAAGAGAAGTAGACAGGTGGATGATATTTGAAAGAATATGGAAAAGGGAGAGATGCAGGGAAAAGGTAATGCGGATCACTTCAGAATGCGTGTGGTACCTTGCGTATGTGGTTGGGTGCGAGTTAATTGGGTGCGAGTTGATTGAGTGATACTGGCGCGTCTTAGGACCTGTTGGTGTATTGTTGGTTGCCTGGGGTACGTTATTCATGAGAAACTTATTAACGCTGTAAAGTATAAATTAGTTTGAGATGTCTAATATGAGATGCTGCAACCCAAACTGTACTCATTGAGAATTATTGGATAATATAGGTGAAAGATGTTGCGATGCTTTTACATGAAAAAGCGGAAACGAGAATGGCGTGAGATGAAAAGGAGAGGGATAAGACATTTGATTTGTCCGAATATGTATTACCGTTATTTAATTAGCATTGCTCGTTTTTAGTTTATTTAATTTAATTAGCATTGCTTTGATTGTTTAATTAGCACTGCCGTTTTTAGTTTATTCAATTAGCATTATAATTTTGTTACAACTTATTTGATTTCAATTAACGCTACTTTATTTAATTGCAATTAACATTTGCATTACACCTAATTTATTTAATTCTAAATAACGTTATGTTATGAAAAAAAAGTTGATTTATTTCACATTAACTTTTTAAGATTCTTTCTGCAAATATATTAATTTGCAATAACCTGGCGGAAATTTTTTGATCACTGCAAAATTCATTTGTTCTCGGGATTAATTTTTGAATTACATTCATAGATATATTAGCACTAACCTGTAGGCAGTTGACAGCGAATTTCTTTACCAGTGTAAAAATTGCAAGTCGATGTTACCAATGTTAAAAATGGAATCTTATCTTCAATGTTACGAATGAATGCATGCCAAATACTGCACAATATGTTAATGGGGTTGCTTGAAAGGTAATGCTTTGAGTCATCCTTATCTGAGACAAATTTGTGAATTCATTTCATTAATACTTCTTGTAAATAAATTTTTAAAAATCGTTGGATGAATCATTTTGTATGTCATTTTATTGTGTAAGTAATTTGTTTATGTGTGAGTATTCGTCGAGTAATCCATCATTATCTTATTCAGAAATGACTTCCATGATTGGCTGGACAGAGAGATATTGATGCATAAGAAGTTATATGAAGCTTAAAGATTGATCGTAAATTTTGGAAATGAACCAGTTATCACACAGATGTAGATGAAAAGGTATTGTCACTATTGATAAGAGTGACGTTAAATGGAAGTTGAATTCTTCACCAAAGAATTGATTAAATTGATTTTTTCAACCTTGCTGAATATGAAGACTTGTAAATGAAATAATAACTAATGAAAGAATAAGAAAGATGATGAAAACAAGCTCATCTCAAATGTATTAAACTTTTAGAGAAATAGAGAAAAATATGATTGAAGTGTTGCAACGTTTTTTCAAGCCTGAGAATATGCAATTTTGGAATTAGCGATATAGAAAGATAAAATCTCAAAGATATGAATCGTTGATTTTTCCGACTTTATTCAAAATACTCTGAGCCTTTTAAGGCTTCAAAATATAATTATATAAAAAAATATGATTTATTGACTTTTTCTAAGGCCTTAAATCATTTAAATATTGTTCTTCATTGTTGAATTTATTGCAGTTTTATTTTCTAAATTATTCATTTATAAGCCACTCATTTCACAATACTTTGCTTAGTGTGGATGCTGGATTTAGCTGATCAATTTATAAAATTTGATCATCTGTTATCTCATTACAATATATTTCTTCTTAGCCATCATTACAATCATCCCATACATATCCACATTTTTCTCCTCTTAAAGTGAATAAGGATTTCATAAATTCATCAAGCTGGAATGTTGGCTAATACTTCTTCATATGATCAAAAAATTTGATCCATTAAATTCACTGATCACATTATCTTATGTTCAAATACGTTACGTGAGAAGCATAAATAAAGCTGAATTTATAACTTAAATTAGTTCTAATCCTATACATATTTAACTTTTTGCAACTTATAATGTTGATAAGCTGACCACCGTTTGAATTCTCGAAATTTATCTGAATTCTCGAATAGCAATCGAAAACATATTGCAATATCATGATAGTGTTACATATTATAAAAAATTACTTCAAATTTTGATTATCTATCAGTAACGCTGATTACATTATGATCATTAGCTCATAAGCTAAATTATTTAATTAATGCATGATTGAAATATTCATCCTAAATAATGATTTAATTTTTGCTTATTATGGTCAAATAAAATGCTACAAAAATACATGATGTTTTCATTTCACTTCTATAGAACTAATTATAAGCCTTAAAAATAAACTTTCCCAGAAATCAAAAAATCAAAGA